ATATATTTAGTATATTCTATGAAAATATTATTAACTTCTGCCTGTAAATGGTACTGTCACACTAAGCATATTAATTTATTTATGTTTTTTTTTTTAAATATATATAATGGAATAAGAAAGATACAATTCAAGGTAATAGATCACGGTCATAAAGAAAAAAAAACAACAAACCCTGTAATTATACAAATATATTTAAATAACATATAAAACTTGAAAGACAAATACAGTGATACCTGTATTAAAGGCACTGGACATTAACCGATACTAAAAAAAATAAATTAAAATCTGAATAAGCATTATTTCAAAATCATAATACTACACACAACTACGTTTATTTGGTTATTTCTCTTAAAACTTAGGACAAAAATATTTCCAATTAAAACATTTTTAGTTTCCTTATTAATGCTAAATAATGTAAACAATAGTCCATTCATTTATTTATAAATCTCTAAATAATAAACTATTGCATAAATGCTTTGGATGGAACAGTTTTAACTTTATAAATTAAGTAGATTTGTCAATAAATTACAATATAGATAACTAACATGCTTAATAACCAATATCTGGCTATTCCCTATTGTCAGTTTTTCTTTCTAACCTAAATCAGAAAGAATTTAATACTGTTCGTTCATAATGCAACCTGACTAGATCAGATGCAAAGAAAACATGCATACAAACAGAATCTATTTTGGTACAGAATAACCAAAATGTGAATACATGCCTATAAAATTTACAAAATACTGTAAAATGGGATGACAATGTTACATCTTGGGTGACTTCGGCACAATCCTGATTTTTAAATTAAGATTTTTCTGGCAGTCTTAAAATTATAAGGAGCTAGATTTTTCTTTTTTTCTGCTCAAGCAGTTCATGTATCAACTTTATACCTTTCAGGACTGCCAGAAACAATTTAACTTAAAATTATATATTTCTAAAGTCACCCTATATGTTATCTCATTTTACAGTATATAAAATTTAAAACACAGGCAAATGAAAAAAGAAATAGATTTAAGAGAGCTAAAGAAAACTAGAATTTTTAGACACATTTTTCTTTTTGTAAATACATAAACCTAGGATGTAATGAATAAAAATTAACCGTACAAGTTTGAAGTAAACAGCCTTAAAATGAACACTGTCATAAACTGGCTAAATCTCAGTAACTAACAGTGGAACAGAAAATAATATTTGATGGTTATTGTAAAAGAAATGTTGTTTCTACAATTTATTAGGATATTATAGTACTTATGTCCCTCCCTTTCTAAATCCCAAACTTAACATTGAAAGAAAATCATTCTATATAGATGATGAATGAATGAAAAAACAAAAGTAATTAACAGGAAAAACATTTGAAAAAAAGCAACTTTATAATTTAAAATTGTGCAAAACAGATTGATATTTATTTTTATCATTCCTTACGAGTTTTATTATCTCTGTAAAATACAACTTTGAAATGTTTAGAGCAGCATAAACCCAAAAATTATTTTTTTTACTTTGCTCAAAGTTACGAAAATTACCATGTATTCGTTCCCATGTTTTGAAATAACACATATCAAATGTCTTATCAATTATGGACACATTTTTACTTTTTAAAATCGGCATTTTTATAAACAAAGTTCACATATAACATCAGGGTTTTTGTAAAAAAGATTAATCCAAAAAATGACTTAATTTTTAAGAGATCATGTTTTACAAGACATTTTAGAAATTGATGTAGTTTTTGCTACTGCTGCATTGGGACATCTATAAGAGGGATATAAAAGTAAAATATTCTGTTTTTTAATGAACAGATTATTGATGTAATGTTTCTATTAAGACCAAAATTTAAAAATTTTTAGTCCTTGAAAAAATGTCTTCAATCCTAAAAAGTTAACTGTAATTATATTGTAGGCAGGTAACAACCTCTCTTGTTTTTAGATTTTAATAAAATAATAATAATAATATTGTGATAGCATTACACAGTTTAAGGAGGTGTAGGATGAAGTGGGGTAAGTGCAACCACGGGATAACTATGGCTACAGCCGGTTTTTGTCCTAAAAAATAATTATTTTTCAGAAAAAAAAAAAACACTTGGTTTGTAATTTTAGAACATTTTCTTTATATGTCCACCAAAGAGCCCGAGAAAATTCAGCTTATATATATTGTTTTTTATAAATGCTTACATTTTCGCACTCAATGAAAGTTTGACCATGAAATTTTGGTGTTTTTGACTTTCAACCCAGGATAACCAAACCTTGTATTTTCATAAAGTTTAATGTGTAGTTTCCAGAAATATACCTTATTTTGTTAATGGGTTAATAATTTAAAAAAGAGCCACTAGCCCCGTCATTTTTGCACATGGGGCAAGTGCAGCCACGGAAACTTGGACAAGTGAAACTTGTCGGTTGCACTTACCCGGTTGTAATTCTTTCTCAGTTTAGCTAAATATAATCAAGAAATCAGACGAAGGAAAAATAATAGTACAAATATATGGTATTACATATAATACATACCATTTTATGTGTATATACAAACATACAATGATAAATAGTATTGAAAACTATAAAGGCCGGAACAGTTACAACTAAGATTCAGTGTTTAAATATGCAGGAAACGGTTTTCACTGTGGAAATATATAGCATACTTTTTATGGAGACAATATCTGAATAACAAAAATTTCAAAGAAAGAAAAAATACAAAAACAGAAGACCAATAACTCAACAAAGTAAAATACATTGAAGATATCGACAGTTTATTTCTAAAACCTTGCAATTTTCAATAAAATAATACAAAATTTACAATTTTAACTCTTTTCCTTAGGAGGTTTTAGATGTAAGCCATTGATAAATTAGTCTACTACCTTTCTGAGCCAGTTAGCTCCAACTAAAAAAATATATATAATTCCCCTGATTCCTTTGTTAAAAATAACTGCAATCTACAACACACATAGCCCTCTCTAGTACCCCTAAATAAAAAAAATTAATCACCTCAACGGCAAAGAACTATAAGCTGAAAAAAAAAAACCCAAAACTGCATACAATTAAAAAATAAACCCTTCATCATTAAAAAATGAAATTATATAAATATAAAATGGTCTAATTAAGGTGTTTTATTTTTAAAAATGAACTTCCCTTTAAGCTAATTAATAGATGCATTTAGTCAGCTAAAATTCATCTTTTCCTAATTGATAGCTCAATTATCATCAATGTGTACATAAGGGTATCTTCTTTACACGAGTTATGAAAAAAAAGTAAAATTTTCCATAGGTATTATCAAATTTAAGACTTTTTTTCATAACAAATCGAATTAGTAAAATGAGATATAACTTAAATTTTTGATTTTTTTTTTTTTCATTTTGTATCGTTTAGCTACAACAAATTTTAAAATATACAAGGTCAATCTCAAAAATAAAATTTAAATATTATCATAAAAAAAAAAATTAATTAGTTGAAGATAGGAATCTATTTTTTATTTTATTTTATTTGTATTTTTCAATTGCCTTGAATAGATACCTACAAATTTATAATCAATGAAAATTCCCTATTTACCACATTTCGTCATAATTTTATTCAGCAAATCCCTACACCATCAATGAAAAAACGAGCATCCTTAACTGTAATATTTCCTGATAATTATAATCAAGAAAAAACATACTCAACAGAATCAAGAAAAAAATTATGCATTGGCTGGCATCTTTATTCGATAACAGATAAAATTAAATTGCCTATTGTAATACAAAAGACTACATTAAAAAAAAAATGTAAAATTCAGTTAAAATAAAAATGTAATCAGTCAAGACTGTTCAGTCAAAAACTTTTTCAAACAACCATTATATTTTAAGGCATTTGACAATATTTCAACTTAACAGTTTTAAAAGAAAAACTCTGATTATAAATTCAAATTAAAAATACAATGGACAAAAGGGCTAACACTAAGTTCGACAATTATAACAGTGTGCAAAATAAATAGGTAAAATAGAAACCTAATATCTGCAGCATGGAACGCATACATAAAGGCTTACCATATTTTTAAATACAGCCCTATTGAAAAAAAAAACATTATCAATATGGAAGAAATATGTCTTAATACAGTAGTGAAGAGGAGTGTACAAATTACACAAACCATTCACCTTGAAAAATAAGAGAGAGCAGGTATATAAATTAGGCTACAAAATAAATACCTAACAGCAGTATAGGTTTTAATAAATGTGCGGAAAGTATTTTTAGATTAGATCAATAAATTAATTTGCTTTTAATTTATTAAAAACAAATAAATGGACCGCAAGAATATGTACAGTTTTTAAAAATTTGTTTTATGTTAACAATATTTTGAATCTTTTAAAGCAAATATTATATAAATCTATTAATGTGCCTAAATAACAAAATTGATACAAATGAAAACCACAGTTTTAAATCTGTTTTCTGTTCTGCTCATTGAACATTTTAAAAATTATTAAAATTTATATCTGTAATACTTTAAGTAACATACTGTAATACCTGTTTTTTATCTTTGGCTCCTAAAATGCTAGAGATTTAATAGAAGATTTTTAATATATTTTATTTAGAGGAGATATATAAATGATAAGTATATATATATATGATTTCAATGAAATACATTAAAATCTCCTCCATTAAATCTCTAACTTTTTAGGACCCATAGATAAAAGCAAATATGTCTAGAACATGATTCTCAAACTTAGAGATACTTATTTTAATATTGCAAGTTTGGATTGAAATAAAAAATAGAGCAACAGATAAATATTAATTGTAATTAAATCAATTAAAATAAAAACTAAGAAGAAATTTTTATAAGTTATTTTATCATTATTACTTATGAAACAGGATTTCATTGTTTTTGTTTTATAGAATGGGCCAAATTCAAAATGAAAATTTAAAGCAACTTTTTCTGCTTTCTTTCATTACTTTAAATTAATAATTAAAATTAAAACCCTAATAACAAATATCAGTAGTAAATGATGAATATTTAGACTAAAAAGGAACCTAGAAAAAGTATATATATGTGCACCAATATAGATCTTTTTTTTAAAGCAAATTATTTCATCATTAAAATGATTCAAAATTAAAATATTGACATTAGGATAATTCTTCAAGTATTCAGTTAAAAAAAATAAAATAATGCAAGATAAAAATTTTAAAAAATGTGAGCACTCCTATATGTACACATACATTTTTTTTATAACATGGCATCTATTAATAAATTACTAAACTGCACATTAACAATAAGATTTAAGTAGCATTGCTGACGATTATCACATTAATAAGTATTATACTTATTTATCTGCATATTGCTTTATTCTGCTTCTAAACAATAGAAATTGAGTCACTAATGTTTTGCTACAAGCCTCAAATTTTATAGTATATTTGAACTTGAGAAAAATAAATATTTAAAATATTTTGGTTCAAAATGCCCACTACTTTCATAACCCACATAATATTAAAGTTCAACTGATGAGTTGAAAATACTTAATTTCATTCAGATCTTTATCACTTTAAATGTTTTAAAATAATTATAAATAATAGGAAATTATGAACCTTTGACATTCTAGGTTGGAACTAGTAATCATACTCAATAACAACTTACCATACCATACCAACTTAATATAACCTAAAGAAAATTACTTATAAAAATATTGACTAGTTATACTGGCATGCATGGCCACAGCCAGTTGGACAAAATTTTTTTTTCTCTATCCATTCCTTCATATGTGTCAAGTGACCACCATGCATACAACCTTGGCACCAAGCATAGAGTCCATGGACAACCTGTAAAAAAACATATTATTTAACTACCGAAACGTTATGATTGAACTAAACTAATAGTGAACTGAAATAAGAACTAATAAATATTTTTTGAACCTTTTCAAAACTCATATTTTGATGTATGTAACTACATATGAATTATGACATTAAATTTCATTATTGTATTCCAAATAAAAATTCACATTCTCGTTATAGACTATATAATTATATGATAATTACTTTTCAAAGAGAAAGAGGGGAGCAGTCTATAAGTATGAATAGATTAGAGGGGGAAAGCAAAGGTGGAGATGAGGGTGTGTGTCTCACTCATGCGACAAAAAAACTGGATAGATTTCTGTGGGTTTGATGACAAATTATATGGCAATCATTGACTGCAGTTCTAATTTAAGAAATTAGTTCGGAGAGAAAATGGGGAGGGAGATTTTCAGACGTGGAACATGAATTGGAACAGGAGAAGAGAGACAGTCCAAGAACAAGGCACCTGTTCAAGACTGCAGTAAAACCCCCTCACCCCACACTGCATAGTGGTACTTGGGGATTAAAGATTAAAATGATGATAAAAGGTGAGGTTAGATGTGGCCAACAGATAATAAACTATCCAATTAACATTACTCTCACATAGTGTATGTGAATATTGACCGCAATCTCTTCTAAGTATTACTTAAATAAGAACTTTGATAATACAAACTGACACTTCCAGTTAGCCAATTTTGAAGAAAAGGGTCCCTTGGGATCTCCCGGTCATATACATAATTTCAGTTTGATAAGAGTTGTCTTTTTGAGCTGAATTATTTACACACACGCACACATGCAAACATTTTGCGAAACTGAGTTACTTGGTCTCAGGGGACATCAAAATGTATATTTCCATTGAAAACTCATATTCAAATTTTTTACAATCACAATATTTTCCCTCGCTATATATTTCATATATGAGTAAGAAGGAGTAACAATAAAACAAATCCTACCATACAATGCATAGAAATGTTTTTCAATTTAACACTAATAAAAAAGATAATTGGCTGACCTGGTGACAGAGACTGCAAACGACTGATTGATCACATTTAGAACACATCCAGCCTGCCTGCGTCAAAGGTTTATTACAATAAGAGCATCCAGTATATACAGTAGTTGATTGCTGGTTCAATTGTGAAACACTTGGTAACCATGAAAGCTTTATTATCTGCACAAAAAAAGAATTATATTTTTTAAAATATGAAGTTATTATATTTTAATTGTCCATATTGTTATACCTGATTAGAATGAAGCCACATCCTCTGCTGCGAAAGAATGTCCAAGTAAGCAAACGTCCATGTTTCTTGTTCTACAGGTTCAATATGAGAGATGAGATTGCTTCTCTTTTCACCAAGTGCTATCAAAATACAAACAGGAGTTTGTACATCCCCTTGTTCTGCATGACTGCGCAGGGCATCAGCAAGTGTTACTCCAGCCTCCCAGCTCATAGGCTTACAGCTCCCAATAGCTTTAAGGGATAGAGAATTTTCCAAGTTCAAACCCTGCATCTCGCCTAATCAAAGAATGAGACTATAGCCATAAAATATAAAACAATAAGTTCAATTATTAAAGAAAAATATGTAGATATATTCAAGTATTTTCAATAGTATCTTTTTAATTAGTACTTCCTAATTGAAATCCAAACTGAAAGTGTTTAATTCACATTGATGTCAGTCAGCAAAAATGAAATTTCATATTGAAGCAACAATCGCTTTGGGTTACAATTTTATATCAATTGGTGGAAGAACCCATATTTCATTTACTCTTAACTGGCAGAATCAAGTTCGTATTTATTTATTTTTACATACTGTACAAACACTATTTTCTGTTGCAAAGAAGAAGTTCTAATAATTTTAATGAAATTTGCTTAAAGTTCTCACCTTAAATCCCCCTTATTTTCTTTTTTTTTAAAATTAAGTAATCACTTGGAAGGTAACTAAATTCTAAAAAAGAGAAGAAAAACTGAGCAGCAGTATTAGCAAGATATTGGATTTAATAACCAACAAATAAAAACACCTAAATTAGACCAACATTAACAATCAATTTTGTATTCGATTCCTAATCCAAAGCATTAAGGAAAGTCATGTGAGTGGATACGCCAGATATTTTAAAATTTTATAATTAATTATTGAAGGGAAGTTGATTGGTGACTGACAGTCATAGGAAGTTTAATGTAAAAAATATTGATTAAATACATCAATACTTATAAATTATAATAATAATTGAATAAATTAATTATTTTTACTTCCAATGACTGTAATCCCTAACCAACTTCTCTTCAAAAATATCTTACAATAGTCAACAATTATCCACCATCGTTATATTAATTATTTTCAAAGAAACACTGGCATTGCCTTTTACTGTATGGAGGATCAACAGGAATAAATTTTTACCTCTTCACATTAATTAGAAATTGTTGGTAACATGTAGGACGAGTCCTTCTAGACATAGTTGGAGTAAATAAGGACAATAAATCCAAATAAACCAACTAATATTATTCTCTGAAATATTTTTTTAAAATATTGATCATCTCTTTCAAAAGTTAGATAATTGTCAACAAATAAGTAGTACATAGAGACCATTAAAGAGGAGAAGTGATCTCTGAAGCTACAATAAAACAATGGAGTGAAACAAAGTATTTCCTCAAAACCCTCCTTTTTAATTTTGCGGGGAGCAAGCAGTACATTGATGATATGTCCAAACTTGGGCCATACTATATATCACTGCTAAGTTATTAGGGTATGCAGACAATTATAACATTGCTGCCAGATCTGTGCATGCCCTCAAGATGCATTCCTTGACCTTGAAGAATAAAAAAAAAAAACAAATTTGGTTTTGTTATTAATGAAGCCAAAACAAGTATTTGAGAATAAGAAGAGCCTAGTTTTGAAGTTGGACCATATAGATTTGAAAAGTAATAAAATTTTATAAACTTTCGTTCAGAAGAAAATTCACAAATATATCTCAAGTATTATACAGAAGGAATACTGTAGCAAACCAAAGCTACTTTGGTCTAGCTAAAACATTTCAGGAGCAGGTATCTCTATTACTTTACCCTTATCAATCATTATAAGACCTTGGTCCATCCAGTTTTTACAACATAGGGCTCTACAATGACATTAATACCGTTAAGTTCACCAGGAGACTGCATGGAGACCAGGATGGAGCGTGGCATGATTCATAAGAGCTTCATAGCAAGAGGAGAGTGGGTCGAGATGGACCAATTCCATTGTGGCAGACACCCAAGATAGTTCTTCTTGGAACCCACAACTGCAAATCTGCTAAAATAGACTAGACCAACAAGCAGAAGTTCTGGAAGAAATCAAACTTGCAAATGGTTTGTCGAACTACTTTTGACGATGAAAGAGGAACAGCATTAGAATTAACTAACTTTACTTGAGTAAACTTAAAATATGAAAGCATACCATCAGCAGAATCAGGTGAGTCTGGTGCTGTGTACTGTTCTGGTGGAGGAGACCTGTCCAGAATTTCGTGCCTTAAAGGAAAAGCTTCCATAGGTATACCCCAGTCTTGAGAAATCAAGCCATCTAAACCGTTTATTTCAAAATCCATTGACAGAGGATCCATTTCTGCATCCCCAAAGAAGAAATCTCCAACAGAATCACCAAGTCGTGTTCCTAAGTCATCATCATCTTCTCTCCTAATTTCATTATCTCGCTCTCCTTCCACCTCACCATCAACTTGCTCTTCCTTAGAAGGAGTCTGATGGCCATGATCTGACGTCCTTGGAGTATACAAAGTCTTAACTGTTGTCCATAACAAACTTACCTACAATCGAAGACAGAATGTTACAAAAATATAACGAACACAAGAATGATGTAAAGTTTAGACTAATTCTCTACAACTCAAACTCAAATCCGACCTTAAAAATGACAATACTCAAGAGAGAATAATGACATGATTTTTAAAAGAAACATGCCTTATTTTTATGATGTCAAGCTTGATAATGAAAATTTAATTATTTTCACAAAAATTACTTTATAACCAATGTTCTGAAACCACTCACTAATTATAATAATGAATATGATTGATTTAAATTACCGTTAACTTGGGACTATTTGGCTCTGAACCAAAAAATTTAGTGGGAACAAGGTTAAGCTTCAGGGCCTAGCTGTTAGCCCAGTCAAATTAGCACTAAAAAAGAGGCTTGCCCTGCAAAAGATTGGGATAAGTCAAATTTCTTATTTATATTTCTAGGTATGTGATGAACATAAAAAATCAAAGTTTACGTCCTCTAAAGCCTTGTAGGTTCGCTGCAGTGCTCCAAAAACCATCGAATTTCGAACTTTTTTTGGCTTACGCTAAATATCTCTTTTTTAGAGTGACATAGATAAAATAGTAAAAAATAAAAATAGTTATATTCAATCTTAAACAACTTAAAATTATCTAACATTTTTTTTACATAACGTTTTTTTCTAAATCCAACAGGAAGCGAACTATCCAGCTGTTGAAATAGGTAAAGTTCTGAAAATTCTTAAAAAACAAGTATAATTTTTGTTTTTAACTAATTATCTGTTTTTATAAGTGACTTGGTTCAAATTGTTAAATTAAATATTAAAGTATACACAATATACTACAGCTTTTATATAAAACATATTTTTCTAAACTTAACAACTTAAAATACAAATCGTTAAATAGAAATTGTTCATCAACAATTACTGTTTTTTTAATTTTTTACTTTTAATGCCACATTATTCAATTTATCATTACAATATAAAAAAGAAATTTGAATTATCCAACCTTTTGCAAGGCAACACCTAATTTGACTGGGCTATGTGAACACCAATAGCCAGGAAAATAGTGAATAAAAAAAAAAAAAAAACATTCATAAATAACAAAACATGAAAATTTTGATATCCCACTTTTATTAAAAATAAACTGATTTTAAAATTTGATTAATCATTTATTTAAGAAAAAACTAAAATAAATCAATGTTTTGAGAAAATTCTTTTGTGAAAGCCTTAACCCTTTATATCATCACCTTCAGTAGCACTGGCTATGTAAGAAATGCATAAAAAGACTGCCACATCTTCTAACTAAACCAACCTCTGCAGGTACATTACAGAATCTTCTGCAGTCTAGTATGGTCACTGCTGACATTTTTTAAATTAATTTTTTGACATAATTTAAAAAAAATATATATTTTTAATCTATTCTGTATAATTTTAATCTACTAACATTGTTTTATCTGTCTACATATTTGTAAAATATTGATTTAATTTTAACTTACTGAGATCATTTTATCTGTGTATTGTTATTGTAATATCTCTCTTATATTTGTAACTAGTAATAATATAACCTTGGAAGCTCCTACCGTTGGGATGCTTCGAAAAGAAATAAGAGGTTGGTAAATAATAAACAAAATTATAAGAGTATTAATATAGTAAATTTTAATTTATAATTGTTTTATCTCAGGTGTGGGTTACTGACAATCAGATCAAAACACTCAGACAAACTATTATTATTTACACCATTTATACTAAAATTAAACATCGATTTTAATATAAAGCCTTTGCTCCCTCTCCTCTTTGGGATTTTCCTTTCTGGGACTACTACAGAGCAGCCATTTTCTTTTCTCTCAAGTAGCAGAACTAGATTAGCTTGCTTATTAACTGTTCAACATTAATTTATTAAACCCTTTTTACCCACTTCCAATAAAGGTGTAAATTACAGTGTGTGTATATATATATATATATATATATATATATATATATATATATATATATATATATATATAATTGTTTTTTTTTAATTTATTTATTTTTTAAATATAGGCAAAATTTTAACTTTTTAACTATTTATAAATTATTTAAACCTATTTATTATATCAACTTGTTCTAATAAAACCTATTTAATGAAGTCAAATAAATGCTTTGAATTTCTTCATTTTTATTAATTTCTTATTGATAATTTTTTTCTATGTAATTTTATTTATCCTATTATGTATTAACATATTATTATAAGGATAAAAAGATATGGACTCAAATCCAAGTAGTTTCAAAAGTATTGACATAGGTCAAAAGGTATGGGTTCTGAGATCAGGAAGCCCAGTCCAAGAAGCAGTGGTGGACTCTGTGAGGTCTGTGGCTTCCGCGGGAGGTGATAATAAAAAGTTCCTCAAGGTAGAGTGGCAGGACGAAAAAGGCTAAGTATTGGGCAAAACTCTATCAATAGATGATGTGTTTCCCAGTTTGCCTAAACCAGATCAGACATCCGGAGAGCCAGGTGGTGAAATAGAAGAGAGGTAACAGGACCCTTCTTCAGCAAGTAACAACAAAGTATGTCCCATCTGTGGGCTGGGTTTCAAGAGTAATAGAGGTATCAGAACCCATATAGCTAAGAATCATACTAGGGAGGCAAATAACAATTGACTGAGGGGCTTAATTAATAATGGATTAGATGAAAGAAATGGAGAGGATGGGAGAGATGAAGAAAAAAGGGAAATAACCAGATGGTAGGCTACCTTTCAGAACTTTCTTCAGCAAAATAATATTGATAATGTAGAATTCGACAAAGCAGTGAGCAGTTTCTTTAAATTTTTAAAAAACATCAATGATGAATTGCCAGGCCCACAGCACTCTGCCATTAAATTTTATAAGTTGAGGGAAAAAAATAAAACTGACATGGTTGGCAGGGGTGCAGGGAAAGTGTCGAATCCACAAAGGGCCAACAAGGCAGATAGAAGTAGTCAATATAATTCTTATAATCAAAGAAAAAAAGTTGTTCAAAATACTCCGAATGCCAACGCTCCTAAGCAATGCTCTCTAAAGATAGCCGAGAATGAAGGCCACTTCAGAAGTATCTTTGACAATAAAAATCTCTGCAAACATGTGGATTATGAAAATTGTGCCCCAACCCCAAATGAACATACATCGATGTCCAACCAATAAAAAAAAGCTTTACGGTGTTTTGATCCACATGATAAAATGCTTCGAGGTATCTCATATCATCAAGACTATTGCCGAGATTATGCTGAAGGTGGCTAATGTAACAGAGCCTCTACTTCAAGGACGCACACTCCTCATCTATAAGGGGAAAGGAAATGTCAATAGCATATCTGCATGGAGAGCAATTACCATTTATTCGATTGTGTGCCAAATCATTGAGAAGGTTATGGACCAAGAACTGAGGAAACAGATTACCCTCAACAAAAATCAGAGAGGCTTCAACAGGGGCCTACCGGGAGCACATATGAGCACAAGAATCATCGACACAATCATAAAAGATGCCAAGAATAGAAAGAATGATTGCGCAGTGGTATTTCTTGATGTCGTCGGCACTTTTGACAACATTGGTCACGATCATATAATCAGCTCACTCAAGGCAAGAGGAAGGTCACTGAATCTGAAAAACATAATTGTGGCTCTCCTAGGCTCTAACCAAATCAAGATTGGAGTCGGAGCCCATTCAACAAACTGGATCAGTGTGGCGAGGGGTACCCCAAGGCGGACCCTTGTCGCCTTCGCTGTTCAACCTGGCGGCTATAGACCATCTATACCTCGACCTGTGTGAGCAGGAATTTTCGAAGCGTTATGGATACCAACTAACAAGGGACCAAGAATGTGTGGTCCTCACAGGCTTTGAGGATGACCAGGCCGTTACGTCATGTGAAAGTGGGAGCTACAGAAAGATTATTAATTGTGTACATAGAATCCTCGTTGAGGTTGATCTGGCTGTAAATCCAGAAAAAAGCGTGGGCCTAATAATGGATAAAGAAGAGCTGCAACAAACTCCCTAGAGAACAGAGAAACCATCGATTCAGCAAAGGCTGGTACTGAATGAGGAAATGGTGGCCAAATTGAACAATAATTTGGATAAATGTTAAGCTTTTGCCTTCTTAAACCGGAGCAAAATGTCAACGTTGTCAACCAATACGTGTTGCCAGGACTTAAATACCCTCTCCAGACGGCACCCCTCATGAAGATACGTCCTACGATATAGAAAGGAATTGACACAAATATTCACAGGAGTATGAAGGCCATTATCGGGCTCGCCACTAATAAATCAATGGTGATGTTGTATGCACCGAGGAGGTATCGAGGATTGGGACTGATCCGCTGTCAATGAGAGGCTCCTTTACAGCACAGGTCCATTGTCCAGCAACTGTCCAATGTACCGGATGCCCTGTTCCAGTCCATATTTGATTATAATGTGGAAATTGCAGAATGTGCAGATAGACTGAGAGTGGATCAGGGCCACCGGAATGAAAAAGCTCTACGACAGACGCTAAGAGAAAATTCTTTTGTAAAATAGGTCAGCTACAGGTGGCACGGCATTGGAATCGGCACTTTAAAGAAACGCCGAAAACTAATAAATACATATGCCAACAGCAAGTGCTTTCGGGATCAGAATGTTCCAACGCCTTAAAACTCAACATCAATTACGCACCTTTGCGTGGAGTCTCAGTTTAGACAGCTAGTGGACAGTCGAAGGAAATTGGGTCCCTCTGTCGTAAGTGCAGCAGAGAATCTGAAACATCAGTTCATGTGCTGGGAAAATGGCCCAACAACTCCCTCCTCATAACACGCTGTCACCATAGAGTCAAGTTTGAATTGGTGAGGCTCCTTAGAGAAAAGGAATTCACCTGCTTCAATGAGGTCTATTGCATCGACAGTGAAGGCTCAACCAGGCTCAAAAATTATAGTAATAGAAAGAGATGAAAAGATGAAGGAGGAAAAGTCTTGCCATTTTATAGATATATAGATACGTGCAAACACATTAGTCAGCTCGGCCACTCTGGCTCCCAATGCTATCATATCTGAGAAAACAGGTCGTGAGAGTGAGACATTTTAATCCTCCATTATTAGCAAGAAGCTGTACGTAGACAGCATGATTCCTTCACTCTTATGGTAACAAAATATGATCGTATCTCAATGGAAGTGTTTATTCTGTGAGTCACTGGCCTTTTCACTATTCAGAATTGTGCTAAGTTGACTCTACTAAAGTTTTTGTTATGGAACTATAACTATCAAAACCGTAGTAACTCAGATCATTTTAAGCGCACTGTAAGTCAGCAAAAACATCTCAGGTGATGGAGGAAAACATGGAAGAGAGCAGGTAATATGACAAAAGTAAGGACAAAGTAGTAGTAGAGATTGGAAGTAAATTTAATGTAATTCACATCCGACATGGAAGAGATGTTTACAGAACCCATTTTCTAAAACCATCACTACCCATTTCCTCAGATCTGGTATTGTCTTTTAAATAGTCCTTATATTCAGATCAAGGAACTCAACTAATCAAACATTATTTCTCAAATTTCTTTGCATTTTATCCCTTTAAAGTTTTATATAAAATTATTTAATAGTTTAGAAGAACTAATTCTAAGTGAGAACTTCTATGTGATTTTAGAAATTCACATGAAATTAGAAAGATGAAAAATAATCAGTATATGCAATCAGTAATCATGTTAATGAACTTTGTCGGCATTTCAACCCAAAAGCATGTAGGGTCATCGTCAGGAATAAAAATTAAAAATACTTCTGAAAACTGATAAATATAAAAATATGTAAATGAGAAAATAAAAGGATAGAACATATATACAAGATAAGGGTAATATTAACATAACTGTATTAAAAACATACGAATACACTAAGAAAATATTTTTGAGTTACAAATAACTAAAAAGATAAGTATATAAAAAGTATAAATAAATAAACCAAATAATTAATACTCAATAATTAATTAAATAAAACAGAAGTATGCAAAAACAACATATTGAAAGAAAAATTAAATAAACAAATGTAGAATTACCGATGGTTTGAAGGTAAGACAAGAACTGAGAGCGTACAGAAATCATTTAACAGAAAATATTAAAGAATGCAACTGAAACATAAATGTAACAAAACTAAATTTAAATGTTAAAAGGTAATAAGAATTTTAAAACACATAAATAGGTGAAGAAAGATAAGTATAAAACAATACACCTAATATATGTATGTGTTTTTAAATTTTAATTACCTTTTAACAATTACTTTGTTTTAGTAACATTCTTTAATATTTTCTGTTAAATGATCATTATCACTTCCCCTCCCATCAAAAAACGTACAATTTCCGTATGCTCTCGGTTTTTGTCTTGCCTTCAAACCATTGGTAATTGATAGGCAACTATTTACATTTGTTAATTTTAATTTCTATATGTTGTTTTTGCTTTAAGTTATTAAGATGATTATTGACTGCACATTCTGATTAATTTTCCCACTTAAAGCAAGATTCTGTAAGAAGTAATGCAATGTATACATACCGCTAAGCGTCCTAAACGTCTTGCAACATCAGCATTATGATCACAAATATCAGCCAAAGGTTTTCCAGCTAATACATATTGTTCAGCACATTTTAAAAGCCAGTCTAGTTCTTTGTTAAGAACTCTTCTAATAACATTTAGTGCACTGCTAGCCTGCCAAAATTCCTCATTACCAGGTTTCCTATCAAACACAATAAATTATAATCATAAATGAAAAAAAGAGATAGATACAGAGATTCTATTTTCAAATCTGTTAAAATAAATCACATTACTGCAAACATTATTGAACCTAACTCCAACTTTTTCCTGATTACTTTTTTGTTTTGTTACTTGTCCCTTAGCCGGACAAGAACGACTGCTATCTGCCAACGTTTATAACCTGAACACTAATAATTCTGATAAGGCTTCTCATAATTCCTATCTTGGTATTCATATTTATCGTATTATATTCATATTATTGAAATTGTAAACAAAAAAAAGTAATAATAAAAAAATATTTTTATTTTACAACATATATATTGCTCTTTGCCCCACTTTATCGTTGTTAAATTATGGAACAAACCATAAATGAATTATGAAGCCCTTAAAAACGAAATCCTCCACCCCTCTAACCATACTCATTTCATTATAGAGGCTTACATCTAGTTAGAGCTACCTCGATGAGCAAAAATATACCACTATTGATGAACAAAAGTATACCACTATCAACATTCTTGAGGGTCTCTTCCAATACAAAAGGTTGCCATTCGGAGTGGCTAATGCCTCAGATGCCTGGCAAAGAACAAATGAGAAAGCCCTTAAAGGAATGAAAGGTATAGGAATATTTTATGACAACATTGCCGTGGGTTCGAAAACAAGGAAGAATATTTTCACTCCTAGAACAGCTGAATAAGGAGAAGATTGATTTTTTAAAAAGTAGAACAAGCTTCTGTGTTATCAAAATCAGTCAAAAAAGGCCTAGAAAAGCAATGGGAAAAAATTGAAGTGATGTTGAATGCACAGAACCTGTTTTTCTTATTATTCAGTTGCATCTAATGTGATTATATCACATAAGAAGATATAAAGAAATATGAGAATAACGAAAAAATTCTAAGCATTATTAAACGGGCATTGCTATCAGGAAAAAAATTGCCACCAAAAGTCATTTAACAGATTTGTCAGAATATATATTGGAGAATGAGTGCCTACTCTGTTAAAACTGTACATATATTACTGAGCCTCTATGATATCAGATTCTCACCAAGCTACTCGAAAGTCATCAAGGCATATGGAAAACCTAAGGTGACATGAAAACCAATTTTTGGTGGTCTGGAATAAACAAATAAATAGAAAAGATGGTCAAGAAATATATTCCATGTCAATCTATTCATAAAATTCCACAGAAAACACCTCTACATTAGTGGAAGCACCCATGGATAGAATACATCTAAAACTACATGGAACTTATCAAGGCTACGCACTTCTTGATTACGGTAGATGCATTAAGTAAGTGGGTGGAAGTGTATCCAGTAAAACATATAACTTCAAAGATCAAAAGTTCCTTTTATTAATTATAAAACAAGTCGACTAGACCCGATGATTGTTCCTCCTCCTGTTCTATTGAAAAGTCAGTTCTTTTTATTTTATAACTGAAATGCTTTTTTCTATGGAAAAATGGATAGTAAAAACTTTTTAAAGAAACAACTTTTTACATAATTTTTTGGAAAATTAGTTGTGTCACGCCTAGTTGTGTAATAATTCACAGCATTTTGTATTTCCAATTCCAAAAGTGAGAACAAAATTCAGATTTTTAAAGTTCACATTTAGGAAATTTCATTCATTTTCCATGGAAACATTTGATTTCCGTTAAACAATATTGGTTTTCAGAAATTATTAATTACAATTTTTTTTCATCCCCTACCATTACCGCCTACGATTTTACATTTTCTAAAATCTTCAGCTTTCCTTAAATTTTTTGAATGCCTGCTTGTTGTGATTAATATTTAGTAAGAACCACTTGAAATAATCATATTGTTCAGAAAAAATGTAATGTAAATCTATCTCTTTATTTTGGATAGAATCCATTACATTTGATTTAATTCAATTCACGTAAGTTAACAAATCTATTTCCCTTCAACATCAGGGCGGGCACAGTTGAATAAGCTGAGAAGGGGAGGGAAGGCCAAGCGTTGACGGTGTAAGCTGACCAGACCCAATGATTGTTCCTCCTCAAAAATATTTTGCTCCCTAGACACTAGTGTAATGTAAACGATGGGCCCTGTGATGGAGCCCCTATCTATGACTGGTTAGAGATGTTTTAGAGAAAAACTAAGAATACCATGTGATTTTCTGTTGTTTCTAGACTCGTAAAATATAAACACATGATAAATGTTTGTAAGAGTGCATGGAACCAGTAATGGACATGGATGTCCATAACTAGATTGGTCCAGAGACATCCCCTAAAAGTCTTTAAAAAGGTTAATTTTAATTAAATTTAATGCTAAAATCCAATAGCATAGGTTCTAAAACGGTAAATTGAACATCTTCATAGTGAAAACTCTAAAATTTAAAAGCCTATGAACATCAATGTTGAACTTATCTTTAGTAAAACTGTTAGTAGCTAGTTTTTCTTTATTTATTTCTTATAAAGGTATAAAATCTAAAATTTATTGATATGGTTTTGAAGAGCAATAATTTTGCTTTCTAACTGTTGTAGTAACATTGACTTAGGAGAAAATTCTGAAGAATTATGGATGTTTGAGTGAACGGCATGAAAAAAACTCCTCCCATAAAAATTTACTACTAAATTTACTCCAAGCGCCTTTGGGTTTTTGTAATTTATTATACATTAGAATTCATTTAGTACAATTAACAATATGTTTTTCTTAATTTAAACAAAAAATAAATAAATCAATTGTTATACAGTGATGGAAAAAAGTATTTGCACAACACGTTTTTATGAATAAAGTAGTTCAAGGAAACAAAAAACTTTGCTTTCCTTTGCAAAAATGAAAAGTAAATTTATTAAAAATTGAAAAAAACTTTTTACAAACAAATAGAAACACTTCATAATCAAACAAAATAATAAATGTGAAAAAGTATTTGCACACTTCCACATTTACAAGTTTATTGTAAATTTTAATAGTTTTAATATTTTGTAAATAGGCCATTTGTGTCAATAATTGCTTGTAGACGTATGGGCATTGAATGCACTAGGTTATTAATTAAATCTACGTTTATTTGTTCCCATTCTTGAACAAGAAGTTGTTTAAGGTGATGTCCACTAGTGATATGGTGTTTTCTTACATTTTGGTCAAGGGTGTGCCATAAATTTTTAATGATATTTATATCTGGTGACTGAGGAGGAGTGTGGAGCTGTGTTGGAACATTAAATATTAACCACTCCTTTGTTCTCCTCGCAGTATGTTTTGGATCGTTGTCCTGCTGGAAATAGTACTGATCCTGGATTCCCCTTTTTTTCGGCACCAACACGCAAATTACGTCGCAAAATGTTCACATAGCCTTTCGTAATTAAAATGCCTTCGATGTACACAAGATTTCCCACGCCATGGTAGGAAGCACACCCCCAAACCATAACATGTCATCCACCATGCTTTACAGTTGTTAAAACATTTTACTTCTTTAGGGCTTCATTACGATGTCGCCATATCGTTCTCCGACCACCTGAACCAAACAAATTTAATTTGCTTTTGTCAGAAAATATGACATTTTCACAAAAGCTTAAGGGTTTCTGTTTGTACTCCCTAGCAAAAGCAAGGCACTTTTTGCGATTCGTTTCACTGATGTATGGCTTCTTTCTTGGAACTCTACCATGGAGCACTTCCGAATTCAGGGCATATCTAATTGTTCTGCTAGTAATCTGAACTCCAGACATTGATTGGACCATGGTAGCCAGCTCCCAAGAACTTATCAGAGGATTTTTAAGAGCTTCTTTTCTGATTTTCCTCTTCAGCCTGGGAGTTAACTTTTTTGGACGCCCTTTGCGCTCACTGTTTTCAGTTGAACCACGTTCTTCATACCTTTTTATGACGTATCTCACTGTAGAAAAATTCAACCCTAAGATATCGGCAATTTAGCGATATGTTTTTTACTGACTCCTCAGTAAAACAATTTTTTCGCGAATTGCGGCACACAGTTCACTTGTCTTTGGCATGATAATTGTCTAAAGGAAATTGATTGAATTGATTTAGTCCTTGACTAAAGGAAACTGATTGAAAAACTAGAGAATACTGGCAATAAACGATTAGAAATAAATTAGTAAACAAACCTATGACCTATGGACACAGGAGGATTAATGCCAAAGTAATAGTGTGCTAATACTTTTTTATTGTTGTCATTTTTTTCCAAAAGGTTTTTCTCAGTTTTTAACTAATGTTCTTTTCATTTTTGCAGAGGAAAGCGAAGTTTTTTGGTTCCTAGAACTCATTTATTCATAAAAACATGATGTGCAAATACTTTTTTCCATCACTGTACAATAACTCGTGAATCCATGCAGAGCAGTCAGAAAACAGTATTATAAAGAAATAATAAAATTTTATAAAATATTTTTTTCTTGGCTCCTGGGACACAATGGTAAGAAGCCTCGAATATGGGCCTATTTTTTGATCTAGATCAGCAAAAAAAAATTTCATTGAAATCAATGACCCCATGTCAGTAACCTCTCCTTATGAGTACATAGGGATGTGAGGGGACAGGGCTCACTTTAGAGCACTTAGGATTTCTGAAGTACTTTTTATCAGAACTTAGTTATGCCTGATTACATCAGTCAGATTCTTCGAAAAATCACCCTCCTCTCAGTGATCTTGATGCCATTATTTTTCCACCTGAAAGACCTTTATAGCTGATCAAGCAAGACTTGAAGAGTCTCAACTTGGTCTCTTAACTAATCTCTTGTTTTCCAAACAGAGTAGTAGATTGTCCAAGTAGAATAGTAGGTAATTGGTATAACACAATATTGGTATTCTTCCTTTACATTTTCCAGTTTTTTTTAATGGAATGATATTTAAAATTATCAAGAGAAGACAATGAATGTAGCAAATTATTTAATAGTAAATAATATCTTCTATTGGTTGACTGTAGGTCGTATCCTTATTTGGGTTTCAGCTATAACATACTTTTGAGATTTGTCCTTTTTATTCCAGCATAAAGTACTTTATGGTTATTGATCTCCACAGAAAATGTCTCACTACTTTAAGGCCTTTAAGATTCCAGATGCTAACCATTTATCAAATAGGAGTTCATAACTTTTGTGACCAACTTTCGTCCATATGTCAACAATAATTAAGAGAACTGTTTAAAATGCTTTTTAAACCACTAATGAATTAAGTATAAATGATAGCTAAATTACCTTAAAGAAAGCATGTGTATATACATAAAATAAATCATCAAAGAATTTAAAAGCTACCTAGATGTACCAGCCAATTTATTCTGTCTAGATTGTCCAGCATTAATCCGAAAAGCAAAAGCAATTTCACCTGACGGACTAATATCTAATGCCTTTTGATTTGAATGAAGAGCAGGATAAACAGCATCTTTGAAAGTATGCTGATAGAGAGTACAGTCCTAAAATGTAAATATATGTATATTAATTCATCAGAATAAAGCAATAATATAGCATGAATAGTACTTTCTTAGTATGCCAAAATATATATAAATTTTTTTTTTATTCATTGATATTTACAACTGTATTATAAAAAAAAAAAAAATACAACTAGTAAATGTGCACTCAGGAATATAATAACATGAAATCTCTTGTTGAGAAACTACCTACTCATAGCACTCATATTATTTTAAATTTAAAATAGTTACCCTGCTTGTTGTTAGAAGAACATCAGGGCTTCCACGCCAGGCAATCCCTGTGGCAACATCTTTATGCTTTGTGAATGCAGCATACGGTATGTAAGGCCTCCTTACATCCCAGACATTAACAGTACAGTCAACAACTAAGGCTACCGAAGCTATATGAAATGTACTTTGGGGTCTCCATTTGATTCGTCCAACTGATGCAATAGTACTAATTGTGTGTTCCAAAAGAGGTCTTCCTGACAAATCCCACACCTAATAGAAAATATTTTACTAAATAATAAGATTAATACAAATATTAAATTTAAAGTTTTATTTATCACACTTACTTTAATTGTCTTATCTCTTGAAGCTGTTGCAAGACATGGCTTTTCTGAATGCCAGTCACATGCAAATATAGGGCCACTGTGTGCTGTGAATTGTAAAACACATTTTTCAGTTTTTCTCATGTCCCACAATTGTACATTACCATTTTCAGAAACAGATGCAAAGGTGAAATGAGAGTGCGGTGAGAACTGCACATCTCGAACGCTTTCAGTATTGCTAATAAATATTATTAATAATAAATTTATGACAATAGCAACTAATAACAAAACCAAGTACAATATTATAAAAACTCTACCTAAAAAATGTTTTAATGACTTCTTTGGTCCGTAAATCAAATGTTTTCATGGTTCCATCTTGTGATCCTGATATCAACCAATTCGCTTCAACAGGATTAAAGCAAACTTTGTTGACTGTGCGTTTATGATCCACAAATACATGTTCTTGCTTGGATCTTGATGCTCTGTTCAAGTTCCAGACAACAACAGCTCCATTTGTAGCAGCAGTTGCAAGAATATGATCTATATTTGAAGAAAGGGCAAAAGTTAGATGGAAATAATCTACAATAGCCTATGAAATTGAAGAAACATGGATACAACAAACAGTCAATAAAAAGTCTTACCATCAATGTTGTTCCATGCAACATCATTGCAAGAAAAATTTAAATTCAAATTCTTTCCAACTCTAAGGTTACAGACTTCTACAAATTCCTCCTCTTCGATAGAAAATATCTTAAAAACTGAACACAAATATTTTCTAATTAAAATGAATAGGGACAATAATCGAATAGATAACAATTAAATATACCATTTCTTCCAGCAATAACAACTTTATTATAATCCTTGTTCAAAGCCAATGCATTTGCGGGACATTCTTGTGCTATAAATATCGTCTTTAACATAATTCAAAATATGACAACCTATTTAAAGCGTTCACTCCCATAACACAAATTCTTGGAAACTTAAATTCTTTAATTCTAGTGAACTCTAGGCTCTCATCTCTCAACCATAGAGAATCGTTTATTTGTATTAGGTTATAATTAAAAAATTCACTTTGTATTTTTATTACTATACAATAACATAAAAAAATAATTCTAAAAATTCTTTTACTAGCTTCATTTTTCCAAAAATTGGCTACCGATAATAGCAAGTCAACAAACCCGAAAGAAGGCCGCTTTATGTACAACCTCGATATCAGTCATCGGCCCTTCCTAAATATACACTGTTTCGGGTGTGTTTGACGAATTGTGATGGAATGTACTCAAATGAATTCGATTTATGTTTATTTAGGTTTCAAATTAACCAGTGATCCTCATTGATATGTTTGTTTTGTGTAAAATAAGCTGATTTAATTTTAATAACCTCTTCGGTATTTACATCTGGTTCTCCTTATTTTGCATTACTTGAACTTTGATCAGTTTCTCAAACTTCGGCTCAGGCTATTTGTTTTCATTAAGTAAAAATGTTTGATGATCTACCAGATAAAAGCTAAGACCTTGAAAGCTAAGGACGTTAGACTAATGAATAAAATGCTTTTTACTTGGCAAAACTTATAGTATAATGATTTTGAAAGTTTATTTAATGCATTGGAGAAAGATGCAAGCAAGATGTACTGGTATTGAGTTGTGGATATTTCCACATGTGTAAGTCATTTGTAATTCCATGAAGAAATCAGAATTATCAGGTGAGTCAATATACATTCAGTGACTCAGTCTTTATCTTTACAAGCTGAAGCCTGCAGGGATTACATCAAACTTCCTGCAAATTTGTTTTAGATCAACCCTGAAGAAGACCCTGGCTATCGAAACGGCGCCCAGGTCAAGAAAGGGTAACTCGGTAGCAAGGCGAAGAACTACAATGTCACGGGCGCCAAATGATGATCTTCCAACTTACAAATTGGTTGTTGTTGGAGATGGGGGTGTTGGAAAATCTGCAATTACTATACAATTTTTTCAGAAGCTCTTTGTTACTGATTATGATCCAACAATAGAAGACAGTTATATTCAACATGCAGAAGTAGATGGCCAGTGGTGTATTTTGGATGGTTCGTAAAATGTTTTCTATGGTATTAAATGTACTTAGGTGTTTCATTCTAATGGTTGCCATTTTCTTTTTTAGTTATTATAAATACACTAATTATACTTTATGCCATTGTCTTTCCATATTTAAATTTATTCAGTTCAGGATCCCTATTATTTATTTTTATTTTTTATTAAAAGAATTTTCAGGTGTTGCCTTTAGCCTTAAAGAATTATTTTCATCAAGATATTTTAATTTTATCAATTATTAATTTAAATATCTCGTGTTTTTAATATAAATAATTTTTTTAAAAACTAATATTGCATTAATAATTTTATTCAGTACTAGTTTTGTTTCGCTGCTCCAAGATGAAGGCCAGTTTCAAAATCATCCAGAACACCTTACTCTTAGATACCCGGATATGTCTGAAAGAAGACAAACCCTACCAATCCCGAATTCTTGATTGCAATTTATCTGCCATTTTAAGAGTGAAATTTATAATCAATTATAATAGTTGATAATAATAGTTACAATCTGATAATTGGATTATTAATTACTATTTACAATAATTCAGATGTTATGAATTTTAGAGTGGTCATAATTTTCTTTGTATCTTATTATGAATATTTCATCTTTACTTAGTTTATTATTATAAATATTTTCTCCCCTATCTATCAGTGAGGAGGGAAAAGCTCATTTTAAAAGACTTATTTTATGGGTTTTCTCTATATCTATCGGCACTGGTGTGTCTGAGGGGAGGGAGGTAGAGGGCTATCGGGCTGAAGCCTCTCAAAATACAAAAATAACTTTATTTTTGTTGGTCTTTATTTGTTTATATAAATAATCTAAGCTAAATACTGAAGCTAATATCATATATTCTCTTTTTCAAATTAAATTATAATGTAGGTTCAGCTTGTTCCAGTTAATGTAAGCATTTATCAATAAGAAATTCATTTAATTTTTTTTTTCTTGAAGGACCACTTAAACATTATTTCATACAGATAATTTTTTTACCTTTTTTCCAAATTAATTACCATTATTAAAAAAAAAAAGCTCCCAAAATTAAATCCTGGTTCCACTACTGTCAATCAGTGGTAGAAGACAAGAAATTTAATATTAATTAGGTATTTTAGCATTTTGTGTTGAAGACAAAAAGCTAAATCTACTTATTTTTGAGTAGAAGGTACATTTCTTATGATATGTTTTATTATTTATGTATTAACTTATTAGAAAAGTGGAAATATAACCTAACCTAACCTGAACAACTTGTGTAATCGAAGTCAAAACAGCATTGTCTAATGTAAGCAGGATTAGTGGAGCCAGGGCCCAAAAATCGACCTGATCGCAGGCGAAGTTTTGATTGTAAATTATGAAAGTGTATGTTATTCTGACTAAAAAAGAACCTTGTCTGCCGTTCCAGCCGCTTTCAAAAATTGCAGCTGATTTAAGAATATTAAACTATTAATAGGAGAATCGAAACGGGAAATCCATTGCGAAAATTGTGAGAAAAGTTTTTATTTTTTTAACTTGTATATATGGGTTAAAATATGTAAGAAAAAAAATTGCTAACACAGGCCACTAGGGGAAAATTTTTACAGCCAAAAAAAGACAGATTTTTTTCGATATTTTTTGTTTTTTTCACCTATAACTCCTAAACAATGCATCAAAGCGAAAAATGAATTCTTTAATAAATTAAAGAATGGCAAATTTTGCTTCAAACGAGTACATAAACTTTATAATTTGGTTAGGCGGTAAGGTATAAAACCACCAACACTGATTTTTACCAAATTTGGCAAAACGAGACAAATTACTATAATTGGTCCTGTAACTTGGAAATAAGTTCCCTTAGAGGAAAAACCCGTAGATTCAAAGTTTTAGAGCATCAAATTTTGTATCAACTGATTACCAACTAATTTAATGTAAGTCACTTACTGCGAACAAAATCGGTAATCTCCCGATGGTTAGAAATTGGTAATGAATGTAAACGTGATTTTCAATATTTCAACAGTATGGCTGTCTATTCTATTGATTTATTTTTGTTTAAACTTCTTTTCCACCTCTCAACAGCAAAGGATTTTGGTAAACGATGTGTCGAAAGATACCGAATTTTATAAAGGATTAACGAATCCTGATTTGAGATACATAATTGGCCTACATTAAAAATGTCAGTACTCAGTTTACGCAAAATTTGATGCTCTACAACTTTGATTCTATGGGTTTTTCCTCTTAGGAAACTCATTTCCAAGTTATAGAGCCATTTATAGTAATTTGTTTCAGTTTTTAACAAATTTAGTAAAAACCAGTGTTGGTTGATCATAGTTTTATATCTTACCGTTTAACCAAATTATAAACTTTATGTACTCGTTTGATGCAAAATTTAACGTTCTTTTATTTATTTTAAGAATACATTTTTCACTTAGATGCATCGTTTAGGAGTTATAGGTGAAAAAAACAAACAATATCGAAAAATCTGTCTTTTTTGGCTGTAAAAAGTTTTCTCTTGGTGGCCCGTGTTAGCAATTTTGTTTTTTACATGTTTGAATCCGTATATACTAGTTAAAAAAATAAAAACTTTCCTCACATTTTTCGCAATGTATTTTCCGTTTGAATCCTCAAATTATTGGCCTAATATTCTTTAAACCAGCCTCCGTTTTTGAAAGCAGTGACTCTGGAACGGCAGAGGAGGTTCTTTTTACTCAGAATAACATACACTTTTGTAATTTACAATCAAACCTTCGCCTGCGATCAGGTCGATTATTGGGCCCTGGAGGGGATAAACATACCATTATCTGGAAATAAAATTTTCTCTCTGGGTGATCTTGAAACTAGCTGTCATCTTTTATCAATGAAAGGTAACTAATACCTCTATTATCTATTCTTATTCAATATTGTTAATATTTAAAGAAAATGATTGTGAGAAATGGATCAAAGCAAGTAAAACATTCTTTCTATCTTGTTGATTTATTAGTTTCTCCCATCTTTTGCTCAACTAGAATTTTTTTGTTCCTAGTGCATCTTAATCCTGAACTAATATGAATTGATCTGTTTGTCAAAAGAAATTATATCGATATGTTAAAACATGTCAGAGTTTTAGTGTCAAAAATAATTATCTTGTCATTTACACTGATTAATAAAGGCACAATGAACTAGATAAGTACAAGATTAGAAAGTTGGTTGTTTACAAAGTTTAGTTTATTATTGACTATATTTGTGATTAATTTTTATTTTTTACTTTTTAAGTTGAGTTATTCATTTATATCTGTCAAAATACAATTTGACTCTGAGCTGATTGACATAATAATCAATTCTTTCTAATTGTTTCGAAAAACATTGTTAATATATTATAATTATAAAAACATTGTTAATATATTATCTATAGTAAATAGTCTTTTAACATTAATTTAGCTAATATCATTAAGTGAATGCATCATCACTTCATTAGTCCTTAGATGAATAATTATTATAATATATATGACAGGTTATGTTTTTCCTGGCTTCAAGAAACCAATTTCTCTTTCATACTCTAGGTTTTTGTTCACAAGTGTCACGCTTGGTCAGCAGATAAGTCAAGATCATATTGTAGGGGAAAGGATTGTTGGATATTGATCTATTAGTACTATCTTTTTCTTTCTACAACTTTTTAAGTGGAAATCTGGATGTTTTCTAAATTTTAATGTTTTTAGGATGCTATTTGTTGGCATTATTTTATAGAAATATTGAAAAGTCAAATTTTTTATGGTTTTTATATAAATTTATAAACCCAAATATTTTATTTGAATGAGATTATCGAATTTTATTCTTGTAAAGTCATTGATCAACTCTTTTATCTTTAGAATCTTCTGTAGTAAGGATCCAAAACACAGTTATTTTTGGGTTTATATTTAATATCAAATTAAATATTTTTGGCAAAAACTATACATTGTGCTGAATAAATAAATAAGGCAATCAAATGTAATATGTTTGGTTTACCTTATCCCAAACCAATGCAATTGTTACCTTGATTTATAGATATACCACTCAACCTTTCAATGGTTGAAAATAACACTTCCATTAGAATGAATATTATTTTACCTGATTAGGGCTAAATAAAAGAAAATGATAATTAGAGGTTGGATTTTTGTGCAGTAAAGACCCTAAATGCAAGATGAAATAAGCTTTCCATATATAATTATTCAAAAGTAAACAAAAATTATTTTTGAATGTTTAAGTTATTGTATAACTTCCCAATTTTAGATATTTTGGTTTCTTATCCATTCAACCAATTTCGCATGTTTTTAAAGTGTTTTCCAGGTTTTTACTACATAAAATTCTGGCTTCCAATGCTAATGAGTACATAATCAAATTGATTATTATTTAGCAACTAACACAAAACTTTTAAATGTTCTGTTCTTCAGTTTTTAAATTTTATTTTTTCAAAATAATTAGCTAATTTATTTGATTCTTTTAATTGATTACTTCATAGCAATTGTCATTATTTTACACTTTAAATTTTTTTTATTATAAAACTTATAAATAAAACATTATATGATGAATCATTTTTCTCTTCTAGTTCTTGATACTGCTGGTCAGGAAGAGTTTTCTGCTATGAGAGAACAGTATATGAGAAAAGGGGATGGCTTCTTGTTGGTTTATTCGGTCACTGATAAGCAAAGCTATGAAAACATAATAAATTTCCACACTCAAATTCTGAGAGTTAAAGATAGGTTTGTAACGATTGTTTTTATGTGCAATTGACATTAATTTGAGTAAGTATCATTAATATTGATATTTAATTATGTAATTTTAGAGATGTATACCCAATGCTGCTTGTTGCTAATAAAGTGGATTTAGTACACCTGCGTAAGGTTACAGAAGAAATGGGAAGAGACCTGGCTCAAAAATTAGGCATACCTTATATAGAAACCAGTGCAAAAGACCCACCGCTTAATGTTGATGCAGCATTTCAAGAAGTGAGTTTAATATTTACAGTCTTAGCAATAAAACAGGAAAGTGAAATTCATTGTTCGTTATGTTTGCACCCATATCTACTCCCAACTAGTATAGGAAAGATGGTTTATTCAAAATATCAAAAGAGGCTGAATAAAATAAAGAAATTTATTGTGAGCTTCTAACATGACACACCAGTCTCTTAGATGGCATTCTATATTGACAAAGTTTATTTTATTTTATTGAATACTAGCTGTTGCCTACAACTTCATTCACATAGTCTTCAATTTAAGGGAATAATATATTTAGTATGAGCAGCTAGTATTCTTTTTAATATCACTACAGAAACAAAGTGTGTTTCAACTCTATTTATCAGGATGCTTTTGGACAGTTATTTTCTATATTTATCGTCTTTTTGTATGGTGTATATAAGAATGAAACAGATTTTCTGACATGTGAGCCAACTACACTGAGTTATATATGTGAGAAGCTTTCAAAATTTATCCTTAGAAAAAAGTATTGAAAGATTTTTGAGGAAATCCTCCACATGATAACAGGAACAATTTGGGATCAATTTACAAAAGCATAGAAGAGAAATGCTATTTAAGATCTAGTTACAGAAACTGCTCAGGATATGAAGGTAATTGTATCTCCAAACAATCCATCAGGAAGCATTAACACAACAAAAAATGTTTCAATGGCAGGCAAGTGAGTACATGGAAGCCAAATAAAGTGAGATGGTGCAAAGCTACTGAGAAAATGGGAAAGCGGAAAGCATTAGCTCAAGATAGGCAGAGATGGAGAATATAATTTTAAAGATATCTGTCAGCTCTACAATATCTGTTATGCCAACAGAAAAATAAAAAAACATTTAGTGATTGTCTCCATGTTTTGTTCTTGGTTATTGAAAATGTGAATTACACCGGAAACTGCAAAAGTTTTAATTTTAATGACATATTTGTTGGAATCAGTGTGATCCCTGGAATCTGTACATCTTAAAAGGAGTTTAAATATTTTACTCCTGTCTTTATTAATTTTCCATAGAAGTAAAGTTCTATGCATATAAAATTCAGATTCCAATCAATTTTTTGACCTATAAAAGATCTTAACTTAAATAACTAGAAAATAGTATGTAGCTTACAGTACTATTTGTTGAGTACAAACTTCGCTAAACATGAAAAACATAAGTAAACATTGTAAAAGTGAGTATGCTCAATAAACCATGGTTTTTATAAAAAAAAAAAAAAAAAAAAAAAAAGAATATTAAGAAATAAAATTACTTGATAATAAAAAAAAAAAAAAATATATATATATATATATATATATATATATATATATATATATATGTATGTATGTATATTTGTTAAAAATAATATTTGCTAGATTTTTTGAAAATTCAGCCACATTCTATTAAATTTGAATTATTTTATGAGTCAAATGTCACATTTTCAATGTATCTTTCCTTCACAATAAAAATAAGATGGATTTTTGAGTTTTCCTAGAATCGAATAATTTAATTCTTTATTTAAAAAAAAATGAAACAAATAAACATACCATAGTATGTTTTCAGAGTTTTAATTATGAGGAGGAACCTTCTTCATTCTGTTTCAAAATGTAAACAAAGAGAATTGTTCACAATACAATTCTTGTAGATATTAAATTAGGTAAATGCTTTTGTATTCCTCATAGGACCAAATTTTTAATTTAACCAAGTCGTAAAAACATTTATATAATATAAGATGTGTTCACTCACATGACTTTCCTACTGATTTTAGACAAATTTATAGAATTTTAAATATGTCTATTTAAAAAAAAATATTGATTTAGAGCAATATTCCTGAAAATTGATCAGAGAAATAATTAGATTATGGTTTATTTGATGAACTGAAGCTATGTGTGTGAACCATCATTAGAGCCTTTTTTGCTTTACAATCTATGAAAAATATGCTTTTCTCTTATTATGCTGAGAGGGAGTTCCCAATTTGTTTCACAGGCATTGGTAGTCGAAACTACAAAACGCAAAAAAAACAAATCGGTCTACTCATTCCTGAAATAATCTTCGCACAGACATAATGACAGACCAATGACTGAAAACGTGTTTTTGGGACTCGGGGGTGTTCTGAAACCAAAAGATCTGTTGAAAATTGGAAAAGATCAGACATTTTTCCTGATCACAATACTTTCCCTACCTAGTAGTGGTAGGAAAGTAATAAAATAAAATGTGTTGAAAATATAATACACTCTATCATTGCTGGTATTGGTTAATACTGGCTCGATTCCAATGATTTTTTTTTCTGTTTTGTAGAGAACTTTTTTATAAAAAAATCTGTATAAATTTGCCATAATAATATATACTTTCCGGGTTAGTCCCAAAATATTTTTCTTTTCTTTTTAACTTTTTTTCTGAATTTTCTTGGTTATTCACTATTTATACAAACATTTATAGGGCTTGGTAGTCAAAACCCTAAAACATATTAAAAAAAAAAAAAAAAAAGCCCAACAAAATCAGTTCATTCCTGTGAAAATCTTGGCACGGACAGACAGATCAATGAATGAAAATGTGGTTTTTGGGCTCAGTACACTCTGAAACCTAAAGATCCGTTGTAAACCGCATATCAAACAGATATTTGACCCAATCACAGTACTTTTCTTACTTAGTAGCGGTAGGGCAGTAATAAAACTGTTTTCAAACTTATCGTGGAACAGAAAAATACAAGATTTTGTAACTAACTATGCAACAATGCAAAACAGATAAAGTTATGTTTTATGTTAAAATTAATCAAAGCACTTGTGCGTACTTCGATTTAGAGCTGTGCCAATAGTTGTCTAAAATTAAAAAAAAAAAAAAAAACTCATTTCGAAACAAACGTTAGAATAAATGTTCCTGTCTGGATATATTGGGAGAATCTTGTATTCAATAATCCACAACAATGATATTTGTGGGCAACTCATTTTTGGCCTTATTTTATTCAGAAAATTTGCAATTAACGCTTATCACTTTTTCATGAAAGATAAAAATTTATAGAGAGATTTAAGTCCAGCTTTTTAGGGAAATTATGTATTGTTGGAAATAAAAATCAAACAACAAGATATGATTTTCTTCAGAAAAAAATAAATTGAAAAAGATAAATAATTCTGAAATTGAATACTACAAAGAAATTAAAATTGTTGGTCTTTTATTGGGTCGGAAACTAAAATGGAAAAATCATATAGAATAGTTATAACATGAATTGTATAAAAGTCTGAACCTTTTAAAAGTTCTTTAACATCAAAGCTGAGGTGCAGGCTGAAAAGTAATGCTAATTATATACCAGACTCTAATAAGACCAAAGCTAGACTAAGGCTGCATCGTACATTCCTCTGCTAGCAAAAGCCTCTTAAATAAATTAGATCTCTGTGCAGAACATAGCTTTAAGACTATCAATCGAAGCATTTAGAACAAGCCCAGCATCTGCCTTAGTCAGTGAAACAGCTAAATTATCACTGAAGAAAACTTCTTGTTCTTTGGTATTTGACAAAAATACTTAGTATGCCAGAACAAAGTAATTTTAAAATTCTATATAGAAATAATAATAACAATATTGAGCCTAATAGTTCAGAAACATGAAGAAGTCGAATATTACTATACTCCCTGAGTACCAAATTATAAGACCTATAGAAATTATACCTCAGTCAATAGGAGATTCTCCTCCATAGACAATTCCAGCTATTAAAAATGAAACGGGCCTACACAATTTTACGAATAACACTCCTGAAGCAATAAAATTTAGACATAATGAAATGATCGAAAACCTTATACCCTAATCATGATATAATTTTCAGTGATAAATCAAAATCCAATATCAAACGTAGGGAGTTGTATAATGATCGAAAACAATATACATAAATGGAAGTTGAACATGTAAAAATAACAATATTGCGAAATCATCATCGGATATAAACGGACTGCAAAATGTATGGACCAATAATTCTTTGCAACTGAAAATACAAATCATGTACTTAAAGTTACATAAAAGAGGTCAGAAAATATTACTTCTATGGGTTCCTTCACATATAGGTATGACAGGGAATGAAGGAGCAAAAGATGCTGTCAGGACGCTTATTCACTTTATGTTCGATCGATATTCGTCCAAGAATAGATAGTAATAGTAAAAAATAATTGAAATGAACATTGGAAACGATTATCATCTAGTCACCTCTGCTTGTGCAAAGAGGACAACCATGCTTGGTTATCTCCAAAAATCTAATAGTAAAATAATGCTCTGTGATTACCTGATTCTGAATCGGACATACTAAATTGACACATCTATATCTGGTTTTATGCCTTTACCAAGTATGTGACAATGTAAATCTTTCAACACTTATTTCAATCTAATAAATATTATAAAGAACGATTTAAACTAAAAATTGAAATCATCATCCCATATAAAGAAACTAAAGGAGTTGAAAAAATATTAACTATATTAAACTAATGAAATTAAAGAATTATATCTAAGAAGACAATTGTCGCTAATAGCCACAGTAATCCAGGCGAATTTAAGGAACCGCAAATAAAAAATTGAATGAAATGAAATTTTGAATGCAAAAAAAGAATCTTTCTGTGAATCAAAGCAGAAAATTGATAACTCCCTCACATTTAAAATGCAGTTATTATATTTTACTTACTGTTTTCTTGACAAATATCAGGATATTCCAAGGAGTTTACTGTTTATTTTTTAAAAATTTTAATTGAATTGATATAATTAGATATTTAATTTAGCATAAAAACATAGGTAAATTTATAATACATATTGCAATAAATATACATATGCAGTTTAATCAAACTCTAAATGAAAACCCCAGAATATTTATTTTTTGGGGGACAAAACTGTAAAAATAAAAAAAATTATTTTAGCATAAAAATGGAGAAAAAAAAATTTGTATTGCAAAACAGGTTGTATACAATTTTTTACTTCAAAGATTGGCTTAGATCTGTTGAGAACTCAAATACAAAAAAAAAAAAAAGAGACATCCTTGAAATCCAATCCTTATTAAAATTGGCTAACCGGAAGTGCCACTTTACATTCTCGATTTTTCTCATTTTTACGATATTCTCGTAGCTTGCGCCACCAAAGTTTTTGAATGGGCCATATTTTGGTTAGCCATCTTAAGCACTGACTTTGTACAAAATGGGAAGCTCTGAGATTGTTCTATAAGTTGTAAATCTGATTGATCCTTATCAAGCAGTACAAACCATTTTCTGTAATGGGTCCGATCCAAGGGCCCCAGTTTAAGCAATTAAAAATTTCTTCACGGTACACTAGACAAAATTACTATAAATGAAAGTAGAGTTTATCATTGTTAAAATCATTTACAGAGCACTTTTGAGCAGATTAACTATGCTAAATTTTGTTTTTAAAAATATTAATTATTCGTAATTTTTATCACCCTCCAACTATACTAAATATACCCCACTTTTAGAAAAAATACATTTTTAATAAGCTTTACGATTATATTAATTATGTTGAGGGTTTATGAAGAAATAATTTGAGATTTGCCTTAAATTGTATAAACAAATGAAGTGTTCTGATATTCTAATACTTAAAAGTACCTACGTTGTCAACAAAAATTACTATAACAAATTATTGCTAATCTTTAATTTCTTTTTTTCCTGATCTGATATGTATTATAATAAAGATAACTGCTTAAATACACATTTTATTTACAAAAAAGAAATATTAAAAATGATTTTTACCGCGATACTGTGTTTCTCTTATACATATCACTATTATAGGAAATGATCCGTATTTATAAGTGACCAACTAAATGTTCCTAATCCTAATATTTACATTTTGATGGAATAATGGAAGCAATCGATGCATTTCTTTATTTTAAATGTATATATATATATATATATATATATATATATATATATATTTCAGTATCTTCTCCATCATCTGGAATGATACTGAGACCTATTAATTTGTACTATTCTTATTTTGATCTCCATTTTTAATAATTAATACTATCCTAATCTCTCTCCATTTGTTAATTGTTGGGTGATTGTCCGTAAAAAAAATTTTAATTTTTTTTAATGTAATTTACAAAAATGATTTTGAATTCAGAATTTCTATTCGAGCGTTACAATTCAGAATTTCAATAGAAGATTCAGCATTCAGTCAAATTTATTTCCATTAGTAGTCATTGAAAGTAACTATTAAATTTAATTTCAAACTAGTTTAAATTATACTTTTAACTTTTACCTGAAAGGAAAATTATTTGTTGAAATTGTTATATTACAATTTTTGTCCAAGCAGTTTTCTCTAATTCTTATCTATCAAACTTTTAATAGTAATAGAAGGCTTGGCAAACTTGAAAGTTGGACACTGAATCCACTAATGTTGTCAGATTGACCTTGATGCAGTACTTCCACTCTCTTCTTTCATCAACATTTTTTGAGTTCAATCATTACCAACTGTTTTATTTTGTGATTTATATTGAATAATTAAGTGTTTATACAATCAGGGTGTAATTCAAGTGTTTTTTTCCTTCATAGGTTGTTCGAATCATAAGAAATCAGCCTCCAGCAGAATTGGAAAAGAGTCGAAGAAAAAAAAAGAAAGGTTTGTTAGGTAAGTGCGCTATTATTTAATTGTTAATACCTTGGGATGTGAGATATACATTCCTTTAACATAGCACCATTTAAGCCAATATGATTCTTCATTCTTGGTGAACAAATAAAAAACCTTCTGGTTACATTGGGAAATTTTGCATCTACTGATTCATTCATATATCTTCAAATGTATCATCCATTTTATTTCGTGATCTTATTATGTACCAAAGGTATCTGATAAAGTAAAAATGGCCACAAAGATTCCCGTCCTGTAATAAAGACTATTTTCAAGTGTTGTATTATTATCCATTTAATTAAACATGATTTAATTGTTAAATGTTATTTTTCAAATGACTAGAATATAATAATTTTGAATTATGTATTTGTCAAAAATGGCCTATAACATTTATTGTGCATTGTTTATATGTTTCATATGATGTGTACATAGGCTTCAATGCTTTTTGTGTGTAGCTTTCCGCTTTAAGAGTATAATATTGGACAATAAAATCTCTTTAGCGGTAATAAATAAGGTGTCTTTAAGATAGCCTTCGACTTAATAAAATGACCAAATAGTATCTTCATCGTTCTCTTGTCAAAAACTCCTTGTGATTAATGAGAGTATTATTTGAGATTTTTGAAATTTTATATGTCATATTTTGGTGCAAAATACTAAATTAAGAAAGAGAGTAAAAAATTGTAAGTGATTTATACATAATTGAGTAAATGAAAAATGTACATACATGTAAATGTGTAATTCAATTACTTTTCTTGCACACATATTCAAACCAGGCAGCTGTCAATTACTTGAGAAATGATATAAACCCTATAGTCCTAAGACCTTTTGCTGCTTATTGAAACGAATAGAATATAAAATACTTAAAACAAGATATAAAAACAAAATAAAAAAAATATCCTCACTGTTTTGTTTAAATGTTCCATATTGTATAATTGTAAACTTGTAACACTATCATAATTGTTGTAAAATAATTTTTAAAATTATAATTAGTTCCATTAGGATATAATTATTGTTAGTTAAACTATTGAATGATAAAATGAATGACGATTTTAACTAGCTTGTAAGTTAGTAGGAAATGTGGTTATTTCTATTCACAGAGCCGTATTTTGATTATTAAAACATTTTGGTTGTTAAAAAAAATTCTTATTAAATGTCATGCAATGTAATACTAATATTTATTAAAAGGACCAGCAGTCTGGAAATGAAAAATGATTAAATTATGCTCAGTGTGATGGCTTTAAATTGTATCCAAGTCATGCATATTCTTACTAGATTGCTCAACAAATTAATTGCAGGATCTTTATTTATAATAATTTTTTCTTAAAAAAAAATAGAGAATTTTTGTATGATGTATAAGGGTTACTTGGATGCGAAATGTTACAATTAGCTAACTTTTAAAAACAGAGCTCTGAAATATTGAATTCACTTGTTTACATGGTAGAAAAGAGATGTATGCAGTCTATTTGATTTGCAATAGTATACAATTTTTTTTTTTTTTAAGTCTGACTGAAGTGATATTTTAGCTTATCATATGAAGTTTATGTTATAATTATAGTCTGGGTTTTTGCTTCTATTGACTGTATTTTCAATTTTTCGGTTATGAGTGCTTGCTTGTTAGTTTTTGGATAATTTTTTTTTTATCAAAAAGTATTTTTGGGTTTATATTTGTCTTATAATTACATACAATTTTAAAATATATAATTTGCCATTATATGAATTACAACATTGTGATTTTCCAATTCTATCAAAACTTTAATTTAGATCTAATAGAATATAACCATACTCTATTAAAATAAATAAATTATTGCTTACAGCCTTTCGCATCTAAGTGTCTCACATTGGCTTTATCCAAATAACCTAACCTGAAAGGTTTTACTCTAATACCTTCTTTTTTACTTCAAAAATTTAGAGTGATTGTGCCAATATTATTGCTCACGTGAAGTTTGATTGTCATTAAATCACTAATCAGTTGCATTTAATTACTTTTGTATTATTGAAATATGATATAAATAGTCTGATTAGATTAATTTTATCTTTTTGTATTATGTTAGTGTATGTTAAATTTAAACAGAAGTATTGAAATTTTTCTCGAGAAAAATTTGGTGAAAGTTGTTTTTTCCTTTAAGATAGTCTCAAAAGAGGTGAGTGATTTTCTTGGTATCAATATCATTGCAATGACATTTGTTGAATGTACAACGCACAAATAATATTACTTATATATATATATATACATATATAAGATATATCTTTGCTATATATTTATATGCGTTTGTGTCCCTTTGCACAAACACAAATGCAATAAATATATTTCATGTAATTTAGATTGTAATGTCCTAAGTGAATCTCCACGGGTTGTCTGATTGAAATGTGAGGTATCAAAGGCCTATATTCTCTTAATATATAATTTTCTATCATTGCCATTTTACAACTGTTTGAAAAACATGAAATTCGTTGTATTTAAATAATTTCATGTTAAGTTTGTATTACTTTCTAATACAAATAGTCAATAGCAGTATTTTTATGTAAAGTGTGTTCCAAAGTTGAGCAGATAAAAAGTCATCAAATATCTTAATTTTTTTACTTTTTTGAATAGTGTATGACTCTTAATGACATCCATTGTATTTTAATTGAGATTTTAATTTTATCTTCCTCATAAATTTTTAAAAGTGCTCCTTTTTTTAATATCTTAATTGATGTTAGCATACTTCCTTGAGTATCGAAAATTTATAAGACATTCAGTAGTATTATTTAACAATATTTATACCAGCTCTACTCTAATGCTTTCAAATTAAACCCATTCTTTGCACTTATAGTTTACGTAAGAAGAATATAGACTTGTATATCAATATTTCTTTTTATTATTATTTAATGAAGTATTTACTGATACAACCAAATAGATCAATCCATACTATTCCTAGGTGGCAATAACTTAATCCTAATATATTTTTTTTTTTTTTGCTTACATGTTGTAAATTTCATTGCAAAAAGTTATATAACCAATCGTTTTTCTGTTAATTTACTTACAAATGATTTTAGGGTTTATGAAATTGTACAGGTTATGGATATGATACTAATTTGTTCACTTAAAAAAAATGTAAATGATCATATTTGATTTTGGCATGAATTATTTATGTGAACTTATACAAGTGCACAATATGTATGCACATAAATAAAAACAAATATATTGTGATTTTCCTTAATTTATACTTACGTATCTCCTATTCCTTTTTAGATATGTCACTTGCAATATTTTCATTTTTTCACAGGTAAAAACGTGTTTATGTACATTAACTGTGGGTTCCCTGTTATGTTCACAACAATAAATCATGAGTTTTCCACCTGTAGTTTCTAGGGTGCTCACTTACATCCATTTTTGAAAATGACTGTAATTTTTTTTTCCATTTATAGTTTTTCTTAGATCAGTTGTTGACAGAAGTCTCCATTATTGATCTTGGAAACAATTGGAATGTAAAAACCTTTTTAGTATGCAATTGTGTGCGCAATTCAATAAAATAAATTAAAAAGTTGTCTGCCCAGCTCTGGAATATAGTTTATTTAGCGATTAGAAATTATTAAGTTATTTTTTTGTATTGTGTGATATTAATATAATTTAAATTGTTAGTAGAGTTATATGAATAAAACTCAAATCGCTTTTTTTGCATGTGACAATTATTTCAGAAATTCTAGTTATATGTACCCTTATTGTAGATTATTGTGATTTTACAAATATCATTAATTTAATTGTTTTTTGCCATTTTTATACTGAATTTATAGCAATGCTATTTCTTTACTTGAAGATGTTGCTTTGGAGAAATATTCTTCAAAGACACTACATATTGTTTCAGTGTTTATTAGATGTTACCCCAAGTAAAGATGTTCAATTGTTAATTTTATATTAAAGAATTTTATATTCTATTCACTGTAAACTGTCATTTTACTATAAAAGATCTATTTCATATAATTTGCTTCTTCAGAATTTTCTCTGGTCCTTGAAGTATTTATATGAATCCATTTTTTGTTTTCAATTAGTTTTGCCTTACAAATAATTAAGTAAGTGACAATTGACAGTGAATGGATTTTTCTCAAAAGCTTGACAATTCTATTGAGTTTGGATTGGCAAGCTGCTGCTATTTTAAACAAATAAAATTTTTTGAAGTATTCGTATATTTATATTTACTCTTTCCAATTTCCAAAAACTTAAAAAATGTATCATAAAGAGTCGATAATTTAAAGATAGCTATTATGAAAGCTTATGAAAAATATCTTTATTCTGGTGCTGTTACCTTCTGATTATAACTTTATTGTAAAATAATAATATGAATTTAATGCCTCCACAATGGTCGAGAATAAATTTAAAACTAGGCAGAACAGATAAAAATCTTATTTGATTATTATTTACTAAACCTTACAACATTATTTATTCCCCTTTATTTTATGAACATTTCTTGACTAATATTTCAATTGGTAAATGTTGAATTAATATAGTTCTAATGATGTAGAGATGGTTGACCGTTGATATAATGTGAGGAGTTAATCGGGGGGTGCGGTCAAATAAATACCAAATTGAAATATAGTAATTATTTTTACGTCTTCAGGGCGTAGGTGGTGTTTCAACTGCCTCCTGCAGTACTACATCCTACGCCCTGAAGACGACCTGCAAAGTGGGTCGAAATGTTGGCAAAAATTAAATAATTACTATATTTCAATTTGACCACACCCCCCGATTAACTCCTTCTCATAATACAGTTCTAAGTGGTAAGCTAGAAATAGAGAAGGGATTGTTGGGCGCTTTAATATGAGATATAGATATGTTCCATGAGAGGAACTAATCTAATGTTATTAAGTATAATATACTTATATTATAATACACAGTGAGGTCAAACATCTTTAACATGGAATAAATATATAGGTGAACGATTTTATTTAGAATATAAAATCAATTTTATTCTGAAACTAGGTGCCTTAAGAATAACAATATTGTTCATACCAATTAACAATAAATCTGGCCAAATGACCTATTACAATAAAGAACACTGAAAATATAATTTATAAAATAAGTATATTCATAACTTTGAGGATATATTAACGAAAGCAGAGGGAGGGGTACTAGGGTTACAATATTACAATATTGGTGCAAAAAACAAAACATACAGATAACTAAATGAAATTAGAAAGAAACGCTAAATACATTTTATAGGCAAACCATTGTAGTGATGAAATAAAAAAAAATAACTAGAGTAAATACATGATTCACATCTGTTCCTTAAGAAGTTTAAGTGAATACACATGAAGATATTGTGAAATGCTAGACAGGTATTGTGATCTACCTATTGAAGCGATAGATTAGGAGAAGAAAAAAAAAATATATATATATACACAGACATAGAGGAGAGGAGTGTGTAGAAGATAAGTTACAAATAAAATAAAATACATTTCAAAGAAATACAATCTTATGAATAGAAAAGGTAGAAGTTAAGAAAAAAAAAAAATTATACCTACTCACAATGCTTTGTGAAAAGTGATCGAAATTCTGTTTCATACTCAAAACAGAAGAAGAAAAAAAAATGTATAAAGAACATTAAAACCTTGTTACATAATAAATACTTCAGCAGCATCTGATTGAATTTCAAGAGGAATTTGAATAAGAGGGTACATTTTTTTCCCACCGTTTATTAAAAGATTCATAATTTCTCAAGATTTTCTCGAAATTCAACAATTATAAAACTATTAGAAAGCTGAATTACTGCTGTTGCAATCTGTATCAATAAATTTTAGATTTTATGCCTTCATAAGATAGGAATAAAAAACTTTTCAAATATTATTACCATGATCACACTGCCAATTTGTTTGCCTGCTATGTGGTTTGCAGTATCCATGCCCAGTTTAATAATTACAAATGTTTAGAATAATTTGTAAGAAATTATTTAAGTTTACCAGTAATATGTATTAGTTGCTATTATGATGCTGATGACGATCTATTATATGACAGAGGTAAGTGAATCATCAAAAGAATAAACGTTTCCTTTCATTTGTATATTTTTATCAATGAAAAACAAGTGAGAATTGAAAAAAATACAGATAAAAACATAAAATAAAACAAATGTTATAAAATATAGCAGTTAAATTAAAACATTGGCTATTGCTTGCTTGCTCTTTCAACTTTTTATTTTCACTTGCCTAAACATGAAATATGTAGTAAGGAGAGGTATTGCGATCGTTAAAATTTTTGAATCTCAGTTTTCAACAGAAATACATGTTTTGAGGTGGTCTCCTGAGTACAAATAACCAAGTCCTCTGCCAAATGGTTTGTGTGTGTGTGTATGTATATGAACAGTCTAGCTCAAAAATGAAAAGTTGTATGAAAGTGAAATTGCATACTTAAGATTTGTATATACCTAGAACTTCATCAAAATCAGCTAACCGAAAGTGGCACTTTATATAATCAATTTTAAACATTTTTACAATTTTCTCGAAAACCACTCTAACGATTTTGATTAAACTCACTAGGTCAGTGTATTATTAAGTGGTTTTTAATTTAAGATAGGTTTTATCCTCATTGATGCAACCTGGCAGGGCTTAAATGCCGATTTTTAAAAATGTCTTCCTCAAAAGTACTTTTAATTTTTTTTATTCGAAATAATTAACCCTTTCACATTAACCTCTTATGTAAAAAACAGTTAAATATAAAATATGTAAGAATTTTACAATAAACTAAAGGAGAAAGAAGAGATCATAACGGAAAATAGTTGTAATGAAGGAACCAAAGTAACACGAGCTCGCCCGATAGATTGGAACAGACTTCTATATGTAACATGAGCTTAATAATACAAACTATGACAATATCATGTATATATACATATGCGGTTTTTATAAATGCTATCCTTGGCAGTATTTAATATTTAATTGTATAGATTACAGCGATATGAAAATTAACATTATATATATACCGGTACTTAAACAAACAAAAATACCCAAAATAAAATATAAATAAATATAGCTTTTTTTTTTATCAGTGCCATTCTTGCTGGACTAAAAATATTTCGTGACACTCAATTAATTAATTGAAATATACTGTAGTAAAAGGATATGACTAGCGTCAAGCAAATAAAATATAATACATTACAAGGCTATGAAAACGTATGGTAATTAATTGTTTCAAATAATGTTTCTTACTTTCTTCCATACTACTACTTCTCTTTGTCTTAAAATACTTATTTATGCTAAGATGAGGGTGTTAAGTGAAAGATGTGTGATGCGCGCACTACACCAGATTTTTTAATTTTAGATACCGTGAAGTATCTAGTTTTGGCAGAGAAAGATGAAAAAATCAAATAATAAATCAACAGCAATGATTTAATTGAAACCTATATAAATTAATACAAATTACAAATATCATCAAATGAATAAAACCTGTGATTTTTAAAAATAATAGTGAAAATAATTGAATGAATAATACAATTTATTGGCAGATAATATCTTTTATTCCAAAAAAGAAAACAACATTATAAACTACAATAAGGATGTCAATTCGATGTTATTTACTTTTATTTCTTTATCACTATGGCACCTGTGAAAACATTCTGATGGAATGATTGAAAAGGTTGTCTTATTTATGAAGTTTTATTTTCAATTTTGTCTTTTTTAAATATGATGTTTTATTGTAATGTACTTTGATTTCAGAAATTGTAAAAAAATAAGAATATATCAATCTTTTCTAGAGCTAATTTTAAGCCTTTATCGTCTCAATGAATAAAATAATTTATTTTAAAATTATCCAAATTTTCACCACTTCTAGTATTATCTCATCAGTGACAAATAGAACCAAAATTTCTAGTAAAATAAATTGTTTTTAAATATGTGTATTTTTGGAACATTGATTCGTGAAACAATGTATCAAGAATCGTTAACATTAAAATAACTCGCTCCTAAAATTTTTATTTAGTTAATGTTTCTAAGCAAAAGTAGTTGATAGAGATACAAAAAAACAATTATGTTCATGAAAAATTCTTGTTTCATTGTGTTATAACTAATATTGAAGAAATACCTCTGGCTTATGTTAACCCAATATATATATATACATATATTATTTTTATTTTATTTTATTTTTTTTTTAATACACATTAGAACACAGAAAACCTCATCTATTATTTGATGTGATTATTGGTTTTGGCTATCTTTTTCTAACCTTTTGTGAAACCAAAATAATATGGTTTCATCCATTAAAGCATCTTTTGATATATGTTTTAATTTCTTATCGCTAACATATATTTTCTTAAATTCATGAAAAAATTTAGTAATTTTTTATTTTAAAACAAAAAATACAGCAACTGAGTCCTTATCAAGGCAGTATTAGCAACTGGTCTGAAAGAAAAAAACATACTCGTAAAACAATTAATTTATGAAAAATATTGTTTTTAAAATAGGTTGATGTAACAAAAATACTTTTAAAGCAATCATATCCATAGTTGATTTTAATAAACAGACTTTTTATGATAAATGTTAAATTATATCAGTAATAAAAAATATCTGATAATGGGCTACGGATGGTGAACTTTGCTACATTGCACGGACTGGTTGTTGGAACAACTCTTTTTCCTCGAAAGAATATCCACAAAGCAACATGGATCTCTCCAAATGGGCAAACAGCATCACAGATAGACCATGTACTCATTAGTGCCCGTCACAAGTCCAACATGATAAATGCAAGATCTTATAGAGGTGCAAATATGGACACGGATCACTATTTGAGCATTGCCGAGGTCAGATCACGAATTTCGCTGATTAAAAACCACTACCAACGACCAAAGAAGAAGATTGATGTGGTTAAACTTAAGGACTCAGACCACCAATATTCGTATCAACAAGCTGTGGAGACGAAACTTAATGAAGAAGTAATTAATGACAGCTCTATGGTCGATGAACAGTGGAAGAGATGCAGCAACGCAATGAAACAGGCAGCAGAAGAAGCTCTTGGCTACGAGACTAAATCTAGAAGGCCCCCATGGTTTGATGCTGAGTGCCTTCAAGCAGTAAAAGTGAAAAATGAAGCCTACAGAAAGAAGGTTCAGCGTCCCACAAGGCTCTCCCAAGAAACATATAGAAGAAAAAGACGCGAAGAGAAGAGATTATTCCGCGGAAAGAGAAGAGCTTGGGAAAATAAGAACATGGAGGACACAGAGGCATTGCGAGGCCAAAATGAAAGTCGCCTGTTCTTTCAGAGAATAAACGAGGGTAGGGCAGCTTTTAGGCCCAGAGTGACGGCATGCAAAGACACAAATGGAACTCTTTTAAGCCACAAAGATGACGTACTAAGGAGATGGGTACAACATTTCAAAGGCGCATTAAACAGAGGAACGGTGCCTGGAGAAGTAGGTGTAATGAAGGAAGACTCCCTGAATTCTATTGAACCCCCGGATGAGGAGGAAATGGAAAACGCCCTGAGGAAATTGAAAAATGGAAAGGCGCCAGGCCCGGACGGAATCCAGTCAGAGCTGTTGAAATGTGGAGGTGAAGAACTCAAGAAAGCTCTGCATGATTTAATGCTGACCATCTGGGAGAAGGAAGCTATGCCTACGGAATGGGCAACAGCCATTATCTGCCCAATACATAAGAAAGGAGATCAAACAGAATGCGCTAACTATCGAGGAATCTCACTCCTTTCGTGTGCTTATAAGCTGCTCTCTAACATTCTTTTTGAGAGGATCCTCCCGTATTCTGAAAAGGAACTGGGGAAATATCAGGCTGGATTTCGAAGAGGACGCTCAACGACTGATCAACTGTTCTCTCTGAGGATGATCCTAGAAAAGACTATGGAGCGTAAGGTAGTCACCCACCATTTATTCCTGGACTTTAAAGCAGCATACGACAGCGTTGATAGAACGCAACTATACTGTGCCTTGGAGGAGCTAAGCATCCCTCAGAAGCTCGTACGCCTAATCAAGATGACCATGGACAGCTCGAGATGCAGAATACGCGTCGGTTCTGACGACTCCGAAGAGTTTAAAGTGAGCAGTGGGGTTAGGCAAGGGGATGCCCTCGCCTGTCTATTGTTCAATTTGGCAGAGGAGAAAGCTGTAAGAGACTCCGGTATTCAGACCAAAGATATAATCTTCAATCGCCTGACACAGCTTCTTGGTTTTGCTGATGATATTGACATAATAGGTAGGTCTGAACGGGCTCTCAGAGAAGCGTTTATAAGCCTTGAAGCAGCTGCAAGACCACTTGGTCTAGAAGTCAACGAGAGGAAAACTAAGTATATGAGAGTTGGCGGTGAGGTGGATCTGAACTCTCCATTTGAGGTAGGTTCTTTTAAGTTTGAGAGAGTGAAAAGTTTTATATACCTTGGGTCTGAAATTAATAGCAAGAATGACATGGCTCAAGAAATACAAAGAAGGATCACGGCTGCCAATAGATGTGTCTTTGGACTTGGCCGACACTTAAGAAGTAGGTACCTCTCAAAGAAGACCAAGCTGATCATATACAAGACCCTTGTTCGGCCTGTTTTGACATATGGCTCAGAGGCTTGGACGATGACTAAAAGGGATGAGATGAAGCTGAGTGTCTTTGAGCGAGGAGTCCTCAGAAGGATTTATGGTCCAGTAAAGGAGGGTGATGTCTGGAGGAAAAGAAAAAATAGGGAGCTCAGTTCTCTCTATGCAGACATCGACGTAGTCACGTATATTAAACTGGCCAGACTAAGGTGGGCAGGGCATGTGGCCAGAATGAGCACCCTTGAAATACCAAAAAAAATAATGATGGAGGAGCTGCACCTCGTAAGACGGGTAGGAAGGCCGAGGACGAGATGGTTGGACACCGTGGCCTATGATGCGAGAACCCTGCTTGGTGTGCGGAACTGGAGAGCTGCAGCAGAAGACAGAGCCAACTGGCGGAGGCTCTTGGAGGAGGCCCAGTCTCGGTAACGGGATGTTGTGCCATACATGAATGAATGAATGAATAAAAAATATCTGATGTTCTGGGCCCACAAATTTCCTTACAGCTTTGTTCAAAGTGCAAAACAAAAATTTTAAGCTTTGTCAAATTATTTTATTACATCCTCTTAATAATGAATTAGACGTACAAAAATGACATGTGCACTAATATTTCACATAATTTTTTTTTAAAACATTAATTCCCACTAATATTGGATGAAAGTAATGAAACCCATGACAAAGGAGGGTAATAGAAATGGGACAAAGGCATGAAAACTATGTAGAAAAATAAAAACGCTTAAGAGAGAGAAACTTGTACTAAAATTAGAAATTTTAAAATGTTAATAGTACATGTAACTTTAGTCTGCACAATTTTTTTATATATTTCAAGCAGACCTATGAATTGATAGAGGGATCAAATGTGGAAGTGGATATTAGAATTAGAAAAAATAGGGAGCTAGAAAAGCTTTTTGGGCAAATCTAATATTATGGTCATAATCAAAGAAGGAAGAATGCGATGACCAGGTCATGCACAAAGGATTTCAGATGAGAGGCACTATCACAGAAGATGATGAATGACAAACAAGGTGGGAAGTGTTTGAATGGGAGACTGTGGCCGAGGCATGAAAGAAATGGAAGATGATCTGAGGCAGATGGCAATGGTAGGTGTAAGATAGACAGGAATAGCTATCAATGATTGGTGAGGCCAGGGCCAAACTAGGGCTGTAGTATCATGAGTGATAGTGATGTCATAATAGCCAAGTGTGTTAAAGCGTAAACTTTAACATTCTTTAGTTTAGTGATGCCTGTTTGAGACCGGTCTGGTCGGGTTGAAATTTATTTTGCGGTGAACCCACGGAATGAATCTCGACCTTCCCACTCTAGGTAGAATAGGTTTGGTTGCACCTCTAGAACCGCTTCCCGTATGGCAGAAATGGAGAGGTAGGAGGTAATCGAAAAAAAGTGGCGTTTATTGAGTGTTTTGTGATATTTCTATAGTCACATGGAATAATTTGGTAAGTAAATAATTGGTCCTAATGAGGTGTGTATATTGTGAACATTTTCCAAGCCCTCTGCACACTGAGAATAAGTTTGTAACATGCAGACCGAAATCTTTTCTTTATCTAAATGAGAACTGTGAAGTAATGTCTTAATACTCATAAGTCATAAGGACCATTGTGTTTTTTATTTGCCATGTTGTTATTCCCTGAAAATACAGATTTATTACTAATACTTTTTTTATTTTTCAAAATCTCTCTATGAATTTGTTATTAATTTATCATTTTATAAAATTTTTAGAATAACTTCCTAATGAAAACAGCTAATAACCTTGTTGATACAATAAAATGTATATATTTGGATGGCAATTTAGTTACTTAAAAATGAAAAATGCTGAGTTAAAATACCCTTTCATCCCAGAAAGAGAATTTTTATAAAGCAAATAATACATTTTCTGTTACCATAGTTTCTTTAGGAAGTTATAAGGAGATAGTAGTATTATCTTTAAAATAGCAGAATCACCTTAGAACATGGAGGGCCCTGGTAAGTAACCGAAAGTTTGAGTATTCGATCTGCTTCACGGATTCCTGATAGTCTTGCACCATGCAAAGTAGAAAAAAATCCAGGAACTGTTGCCTCACCAGCAAAAAGTACAATAGGTGGTGGGTCACAGGCGGCTGGAATAGGGCACGCTAAGGCACATTGATCCCTCACAGAAGAACTCAATCCAAGAAAACTTTTTGCACCCATGAAGTAAATATCAGTAGACCATTTCGACCTGTACATAAATAATAACATACAGATAAATAATTTTTAAAATTTATTTTTAAAATATTTATTTTTTTAAAAAATAGTAGTTTGTTCTTTTTAAAAAATCAGTTTGTGATCAAAATAACTACTGTTTCAATATTAAAAATAATTATTTATTAAATTTGAAATGCATTGACCAAATAGACATAATATAAATCTAATAAAATGTCAAAATCTAGTAAAAATGTATAAATGAGTATATTATGGTAATATTTCCCTGATAAATCATCCAGGTTATAACACCCACCCATATGGATTTTAATGAAAATCTTTATATTTTAAGCAAATCAATTTTTTTTTTTAAATACCAAGTTTTACCCTGATTCTAATGTGTAGTTTTAAAATACGGTCATTTGAACTTTTCAGTGTAATATCAATATTTATTGAATTGGAACTTTCAAAATATATTCATTTTTCGACATTAAAGTGGATAAGATGATATCAATAATAATTTAATAAGATGATATTAAAGTAAGATAATAACATGAGTATTAGCATTAGCATTATAATTCTTAAACATAAAAGTTAACATTTTTCAAAGTTATTATCTTTAAATTAAATACAGTAAATCTAAATCTAGAAATTATATGTACAAGTAAGCATTGTAAAATCATCTCTTCAGATACAAGCACTTTTCAATGAAAAGAGCATACAATTCTTTATCCAATGATGAAATAATATTGGTGGGTACTTGAGTTTAAAGAGATTTTTATAATATGAATCAAATAGTTTTTTTTTACATGTGGAAATTGAATGTTCAACAAAGACAAAGTTTGTAAAATTAAATTTAGAAGTTAAATAAAAAAGTAAAATTCATAATTTATATCCAAGTAAACATGGCCAAAATCTCTTCCCAGATACAATAATATTAATAAAAAGAGGATTCCCTTTCAAATGATAAAATATTATTGAGAAATAAGGGAGGCTTTTGTGTTAAGAGTTTTATTGAAATTAAAATTTATTTAAATTAAATTAAACTCACAGGTTTATAAACAGGATGTCCCGTAAGTAGAGAGACATTTTTACAGGAGTGATAGCAGACCTCAGGCCTATAAAAAATTTTATACAAGCAATGGGCCAATTTTCAGCAGGAAGGTAGGAAGAAATCCAAGTTTTGTGTATTTTTAGGCAAGTTGTTTTTTTGTTGAATAGGATGCAATAACTAAAAAAATATATAATTTAAGTAACTAATAATGGCTTCACTATAAAAACCTGCACCACTATAACTCACAAAGGGTCTTGGGTTCAGTAATAATTAGGGAAAGCACTGTTTCTAGGTCAACCGTTGTGCAAGGAAGTGATTTGACCCAGATCACACTTAATTGCCAGGTTTTTCCCCTTAATTAATTATTTAATTAAAGGTATCCACTTTTATAGAGGCTGGGTGTGCCCCAGGAGGGTCTCCTGACCCAGTGTCGCACCTTGGCTAATGAAACAGAATAAACAAATTTTCTACCATGAGCCGGGATCCGAACCTGGAATCTTTAGAATTGGAAGCTCAGTACCCTACCATTGAGCTATCCCTCTCTGCTTCACTATAAACTAAATAAAATTTACTTCAAATGAAAATAGAGTTTGTCATTGTTAAAACCATTGAAAGTGGACTTTTGAGTGGTTAAATTAAGCTAAGTTTTGTTTTTAAAAAATTCATAAATTATTTGTGATTTTTTTTTATCATCATCCAACTATACAAAAGATACTCCACTTTTAGTTGAACTTCCTCGTATAAGCTTTAAGGCCGACCATATTAATTAAGTTCATGTTTATTAGGGGAAAAACTTGAGATTCGCCTCAATATGTGTAAAAAAATTATGTGATTTTTTGTCCGGTCAAGTAAATGTACCCCTCTTTTCAGTAAAATTTACTACAATTGATTTGCTGCAAAGCTTTTCTCTGATATGGGATGTATTTTAATAAATATAATTGCTTAAAATCACATTTTATTTGTAAAAATTAAAAATAACAATTTAACTAATATTTTTCATGTAAAGTGGTTATGAAACTGTGTTTTCACCCAGATTTTTCAGACCCGAATTTCTCTATTATAGAAATTAATTTGTATTTATAAGAGACAAACTAAATGTTTCTATTCCTGCAATTTACGTTTTAAGTAATGACTACTGCTGATTGTTTCAATTCTTTTTTTGAAAACTTAAATATTAAGATCAGATACATTTATTTTGTCACATATAGAGATCTGGGTGAAAAAACACAGAACCATAACCGCTTCATCTGAAAATTTATATGTGACAAGATAAAAAATCATATCAATTTTTTACACAATTTGAGGTGAGAATCTCTAGCTTTTTTTTCAAATAAACCTCTTAAAGCTTATTATATGAGGCAGTTTTTCTAAAAGTGGGCTATCTGCAGCATAGTGATACGATAAAAAAATCGCAAATAATTTATGATGTTTTTAATCAAAGAATTTAGCTTAGTTTAGCCCTTCAAAAGTCCTCTTTAAATGGTTATAACAATGACAAATTATATTTTCATTTAAAGTAAATTTTACCTAGTTTACAGTGAAGGAATTGTTAATAACTTAAACTAAATATTTCTTTAGTTATCGCTACGTATTCAACAAAAGATCCGATATCTAAAATACACAAAACTTAGATTTCATACCTTCCTACTGAAAATTATCCCATTGTTTATATGAACTTTTTTGTAGCTTTTGAGGTCTGCTGTCACTCCTGTAAAAGTTTTCCTCTACTTACGGGACACTATGTATAATGAAACTTAAATAAAATCTCTTTGTAGATATCCTAATACAACCATATAGTACTTATACCAGGGGTACCCATCCCTCCCCCGGGTAGATGGCGCATAAACATCTCTTCCCCTCCTCCCAAGATATTCTTTGTTCTTCTCTTCTAAAAACAATTTAAGTGAAAGTAGAATTAAAAACGTTGTAGATCATATACAATTACACTTGATGTGGTCCCTCTTGTCCCTTGGTTTCAAGCTTTTCATTTCGAAATTCATAACCCAGTAAAAAGTTGTCTCCCTAAAAAATGATGATGGTGCAACTTCCGCCACTAAACTCCTTTCTGGACACTCCTGAATTATACATAAATATTATTTTTGAAAAGAGCTTGGAATTTTCTTTCAAATAATAAAGTAATATTGGAGAGCTTTACAGTTTAGATAAAGGAGAGTGGGGTAGCCCAAGCATAGGGCACTGATTTCTAATGCTCAAGATCCCAAATTTGAATCTGGCTGATGGCAGATAAATTATTTACTTTGTTTCATTGGCTGTGGATTGACCCTCGGGTCGGAGAGACCATCCTGGGGCACACACAGTCTCTATTAAGTACAGTATTAAGTAAGTCAGTATTAATTAAAAAGGATAACCTGTTATTTGAGTATGATCTAGGTCAAATCACCTCCCAGCACAACCGTTGACCAAGAAACAGTACTTCCTTACAAAGTACTGACCTCTAGACCATGCAATGCATAAATGGAGCTAGAAGTTTTCGATATTTTCAACTCGTAACATCTGAAGAAATCACAACAAAAAGAATGAGTTCAAACTCTAACATCTGTTGAAATGTTAGAATGAATACACACTTTGAATGAAAGAGTCAAAACACTTGTTATTAGTACATCATCTATAGAACAATAATTCTGATGTGATTTTGAAAGCAACTGGTGAACTAGAAGGGAATCCTCTGTTCAGTAATGTATGGTTGTATTGAAATTATAAATTTAGTTTTACAATTTTTTTTTCCAGAACATACAAAAACATTATTTAATTTGCATTGTAATAAATCTCTTTAAACTCAAAAGTCCACCAATATCATTTTATTATGTGATAGAGAATTTTATGATTTTTTTTTTCTAGTAATATGTGCTTATATTAGGGTATTAAGAGAGATTTTATTTAGTTACAGATATTTTTCTTTACCTGTATCATCACTTGAAAAAATATTAATTTTTATCTTTAAGAATTATTTTATTCATGAAAAAGAATCATGATAAGATAAAATTTGAGATATCTATATTACTTTCTATATATAAATTTTCATTAAAATGTTGGGGGTAAGTGTTGGCTGGATTGATTGAACTTTGGCTGCATGATTTGGTACGGAATGGTCCACTATTAAATAATATTAGAATTTTTTTTTGTTGGTTGTGCAATCCTCATAAACTTTTTTCGACTTAGGTTTTTAAGCCTTCTCCATTTCTGCCTGTCTTTGGCTATTTCTTTCCACTTATCTGTATATAGCTCTAGAGCACCTTTGTTAATTGGATGATATGTCCATCTGGTTTTTGATCTTCCATGAGGTCTCTTCCCTACTACTGAGGCATTCATTGGTTGAATAGAAGCTTCCTCATGGATTGCTGTGAGCTACATGCACCACATTTCTTAACCTCTTTGCCTTCATATCATGAGATATTCATTGGTCAGTTTCTGAAAGCAGTTCTTTATTGGTCCTTCTGCTACATGTGTTAGTACTCAGATCACAGATCACTCAGGTTTTTCTCTCAAATTTTTCAATACATCTTTCTAGAGTGTTGGTCACAGGTGGATCTACTGGAGGGAGGCTTTCGGGCTGAAGCCCATCCCTCTCCCCTCCCAAATGGTAAAATGTAACCATGTTTTATGAAAAAAAATATTAATAATTATCTCTTAAAGTATTATTGTTCGTGTAATTACATTTAATAGGACTTCAAGTATCATTTAAACACCATTTAGTATAAGTATTTAGTTTCTTTTTTTTTTCAAAGTAATTATCGTAATATATATGCATATATATATTTATGCAAAAAAAAGCTTTCGGGCTGAAGCCCACTCCCAAAAAAATTAAATTCTGGATCTGGTAGTGGTGCTGGTTAATGCCAAGGTCTCGCAACGATGAATCAAAACTAGCTTTATTTCATCACTGCTTTATATACTCCTATTTTGAGAATTCTAGATAGTTTTAGGGATTTTTGTACTTTTGAAAGAGAGAAGAAAGTTCTGTTTATGCTTGGTATTTTCCGACCATTAGTAATCCGGTTATTATGGATCTGACATACTGGAATTTGTCTAATTTCATAAACTATTTCTCTTCTAAGCAAATCCTGTTGTTGGGTAAGAATTTTCGGCTTACTATCATATATTTAGTAATATCTTCATTTAATAATAAGCCGATTTGCTTTGCTTCTCTTTTCCGAGTATTAGCAAGTTTGTCAATGTCCTCTTAATTGCTTTTCAGGACAGCTATATCATCTGCATATCCAAGGATTTCATGATTCATTCTGACGTAGACTCCTTAATTTTTAAGTGATGTTCTTATCACCTCTCCAGCACCAAGTTGAATATCATCAATTAGAGTTCATCTCCCTGCTGCAAGACAGTCCAAACTTGGAAGGATTCAGATATTTTACTCTGAATTAGGACTTGATAATTCCTTCGTCAATCTCACTAACTTCCCGGGAACTCCTAGTTCATTCATGACTTTCCAAAAACAGTTTCTGTAGAATTGGACTATTTGAAATCAATAAGTAAAGTGTGCACATTCTGAGCAACTTTCCATATTTTTCAGCACTAGTTTTTAATAAAATACGTTAAACTATACGAATCTCGATATAATAAGGTCATAAGGCTGATATATTGGCATTGGTTATTCACTATTAGAAATCATTTTTAACCTATTTATCTTTATCTTAAGTTAGTGCATACATGGTAATAATCGTGGTATTAAACCAATGACCTTTAACTTGTAATACACTAGCCCTTTTATTAATCTGGTTGAAGATAATGATTGATATCCTGGCCACTAAAATAACCATTTTTATCATTTCTTTCAGTATAGAGTTTGTATATTGATAGTAGTTTCACCACCTTCTGACCATCTTATCTTTTTAATGGCTGTTAATGGTAAGTTGTATCTTTTTAGTTCATTAACTACCATTTTTGCATCTCCTGGTCGATATAAGTTACATTCCAATATAGTTCAAATATAGGAGTAAAACACAGAGGTCACTCACCCCCATATGAATCTCTGGATGAGGACATTACCCTTACCGTCTCCAAGCAGAATTCGAATCTGCGCCATGATGGGAAAAGTTATTGGTTTATCGCATGCACTTTTTTTTTTTATAATTTGTTTATTATTATTTTTGTTACGGAATCCTTCGAATGGGATTCGAACTTATAACTTTTGGCTTTGGAAGTAATAAGCCTCTTCAGTCGTTGAGTATATTTTTGTAGGCACCAACTAGCTCAAACACCATGGCTTTAATATGAGAATTATCAGTGGTTAAATTAACTGTAATTTAAAGTCAATTATATTTTTTTATAATTAAGGGTAGTTACGAATGGCACAATAAGATCTCCACTTGCACAAAAGCTAAGGAAACTCCTGAAAAGTATTTCAAATATCAAGAAGCTAACCTCATCAACTACAACAAATGCAGTAAAGTGTCAAGAATGAGACCTCAGGTGACAGCAGTGGGACCAACCAGCTTGGAACTAAGCCCAGCTCTGTTGAGCCTCCCGAAATTAACTGCTCAATAATAGGAACAAGACCACTAGATAAACTAATATTTTTTTTAAAATTCTCCCATAATAGTGATATTACAGAAAACATATGACTCACTGCTGTTACCCCCCTATCCATAAAATGTTTTCCCAGAAGTATTGGAAAGAAATTTGAACGTGTAAACACTCACCAAAATGCTCTCTATAAAATCATGGATGGCAGCAATGACACTAACTAAAGGTTCAGAATAATTATTACTTAGGTCTAAAAGAACCCAATAGACAACCAACTGCTTCTGATAGGTTATAAAAAAAAATTAAATAAACATACCTCATGACACTAACAGGGCATGGTATAGAGGGATCTCCAGTTAATTTTCGAAGAAAATTAGTTATATCTTCAGCTAGGATAGAACTAGAGCACGATTCAGTCTGCACAGCTTCCCGTCCTCCAACATCAACACGTAGTATCCTTGGAGCTACTTCCTTAAAACAACCTATAGATCTTACCCAACTCTCTGTTTCTTGTAAAGCTGTGGGACTCCAACCTATCTATTAAAAAAATTATTACTATAGGATGCTACATTCTAACTTTTAAAAGAACACTAGAGGTATACCTTCATTATTCCTTCTCCTGGGCCCCAGAAAGGTTTATCATATTCCAGAAATATATAATTTACATGCCCAAAACCTAAATTATTAATTGCTTCAAGTTTTTCAAATGGTAAAGGTGGAGAAAAAAATGTATCAGCTTGTGCTTTCAAAACACCAAGTGAAACTGTACAAATGACGAAATCGCAAGGAATTTCCTCTCCATCACAACATAAAACTGATCCTCGGTTGGTTAATTCACATGATTTATTATCCCAACGAATGTTTTGCACTGGTTTATTGAATCTTTAAAAAAATTCATTAATAGTTAAATTCTTAAATAGTTTTTAATTCTTCTAGGTTTATTATCAACTTGTATTAAAACATATAAAACAAAGTAAAAACTAAATTTTAAATACCTTATCTTTTCCTTTACTTTTTCTAATAGAGGATCAATAAGTGTTTTTCCTCCATCCTTTATTATAACCCTCCCAGCAGGAATTCGAATATAACTTCCATAATAGTCAGCCGAAATATTAGAAAGGTTGTCTCCCCATAAAACTTGTATTTCATTCATCATGCCTTCAAAAATTCAGTAATCTATACCATAAAGACATAAACAAGATAGTACTTGAAAATTTAAGTAGAAGTTGTAAGGGGTGCGAACTATTGAAGATTTGTGATAATTACCATTCATTACAAGATTATGTTCAGTTTTCTCAGGATCTGGTATATCGGAAACAGCTTCTCGGAGTAATGGATCAATATAACTCCTCAAACTTGATTTTACTCTTTTGTCAGCCAAGAATAACGTTGCAGCTTTGGTAAAAGCATTTTTGATAATACTGTATGGCCTATTTATTTCATAAATTACTAAACCATCTAGTGTATAATATGGGCTAAGAAACATATCCCTTGTAGTGGCTACTTTTTCTGAAACAGCTAGTGAGAAAGCAGCATTCGCTAAATTTGCTCCCAATATTTCATCACTTCCAAGATCAATTTTAGCATTCTGCATTAGGCATGTATGTATTCTTCCTCCAGGTCTGTAAGGAAGTGATTCATTAAAAACAAACTTAAACACTATAATTATAAAGGAATACAATGTTGTAATAAATGTGGAATTGAAATAAATAAACATGAAATTGAAAAATTATGTATAAAAAGTGCAATATCCAAACAAGATTGATAATTATGCTGTAACTATTAACTGCTATTGAGCAACTATCTCTTTCTTTCTTACATAAGAATGCATAAATAAAACAAATGTAAATGCTTTTCAAATAAATTTACTACAGAAACATCATCTTTAAAAAGCCCATGGTATAAGAAGTGAACTGGACTGACGTTACTGAGCCATAATTTGTTCATTTAGAGATGGTAAGAAAGGAAACAGTTTGTTTGTAACTGTAACTGTTGATAGTTATAGTACCTATTATTTTGATTCAATATAGTAGTGAAATTGTAAATTATTAAATATATTTTGATTACATTCTATAAAAAATGTCTTGATCAAGGAAGCCAGAGCAACCTAAATAATCTTGAATGTTACTTCCTCTGAAATTTTGTTCCAGTAATATTTCAAAAACTTAACTAATTAAATAAAGATATACAAATAATTTGACAGGAAAAAAATATAACAATGATAGAAATATATACTTCTATAATTAGTAATTAGATAAGCTTAGAAATCAGATACATTAGGTAAACTTATAAGGAATGTGGCAGCTCATTGTAAAAAAATTCCTTAATATTGAACAAGGATTAAAATAAAAACAAATGAGTAGGCTTTTCTTAACTATATTTTTTGAAAACTGAATGTGCTTCAGCTCTAGCTGAAAGAAAACATAGTAATCATCTGAAGAAACAGTTTTTGAAAATCTAGCACATAGTGAAGTCCAATAAGTTTAATAATTTTTTATACTAAAAAAAGAGTGGCAGAGTTATATTTAAAACATAAAGAAAAATGAGTGTAAATATAAACTAATATTAAAAAAAATATTGAATAGTGTGTGTAAATAGAATACAATTAAAGATATAATATTTTGTTACTACAACTATTGGAGCACATTGGGGCATAGATCCCCAAGTGCCTGGTTCTGAACATTATGAATTCGATTTCCACCTGGGTCAGTTAATTTTCATTTCTCAGTGGCTCCAGGAAATGAATCATGAAATTCACACTGTGGTAAGTGCGCATCAGCGACCTCAAGGTTGCTGTTAGTGTCAGGGTTTGGTAAAAATACCTCAATATGACCCACTTACTGGACTAGTTTTCCTCACCAGTGCTATAGCTATTAACATATGAATTATTCAAGAGTTCCTCTTTCACTTTTATTACCTTCCCAAGGCTTCTAAAATGGTGAAGTTAGTTAATCCATGTTCAAGAAGTCGTTCAGCAGCTGATAAACCAGCCATCCCTGACCCAACAATAACCACTTTCGGTTGTTTCCAACTTTGATCAAACTTGATTATTGGTTTAATTGGTTTCATTAAACATTCTGGAACAAGTCTGTGTTTTTGACCTGCTTTTGTATTATCAACATTTTTTGAAGCGCCCGGTTCCATGCGAAGGTAGCAGCTTGTGTGAAAAATCCTAACAAACAATTTAATCTTTATTCAAATATCATGAAATAATAAGAACCTACTTAAGTATAATAATTTGAATATAACAAATTTGTATTTTTAATATTAATTTTAATTTGTAAGTTAGGATTGAGAAAAAATATATTTATAATAGTTAATTCAAACCCAGTACAATGCTTCAAAACTGTTTTCAGGAATGTTTAGAAAAGGCAATTAATTCATACCTACTGTACCAGCCTTAGGGTGGGGCAATCTGGACAATTGCCATTGGGAGTGCTTGCTACTTGTTAAAAATTAAAAAAGGATACAAAACGTATTAAAATAATCAAATTTAGCCTATGAATAAAGTAACTGTACTAGAGAAATATTTAATGAAATAAAATTCAAATATTAATTAATATAAAATAGCTTAAGAAATAAATTTCATTTTGGGGAGAGATGACGTCATTACCTAGAGACGCTGAATGTCTATGACCGGCACTGTATGCCTATGAGAATTAATAATACTTTCAATGAATAACTGATGGCAATCCCAATTGCAAGTGTATAGAAAATAAATGGCAATTACAGATAAAACCCAGAGGAAAACTTCAAAAATTCTATATATCACTCATATCAATGGCAATTTGATTTCAATCCTAACAGTTCAAACATTGAGCAGTTACAACTTTTAAAGCAAGTTTAGTCAACTACTGTAGACAAATTTTTAATAATTTAAGCTGGATTCTTATTCAGATGGTATAGTCTATTCTTCTGGCTTATTAAAATGAAAAACTTTACTATAATGTAAGACTAATGCAAAAAGAGTTATCCAAGAGAGCAATGGGTGTTAATGCAGTGAAAGAATATATTGCAGTCCATTTTAAATGAAGATGAAACTCTCAGTTTTTCCTTGAGTATAAGGAGTATACAAGCTTCAGAGCTTCAAGTGCTTGTGAATAATATTAAGAAAATATGGAAAAATAGAAACCATAATTCTGTTTATAGGAGAAAATCTAGTACTATTGACTATGATGGTGATCTCTTTATCAAATTCTCTAATATATGTTTACCTCTTGTAGTTTTTGTCTACTTTTCTCTCTGGCAAAATATTTAGGTACTTCACAGCGTGGTGGGTACAAGTCAGAAGTGCCTTGGCAGTTGCTTGTTTATGGTTGGGATAAGAGAAAAAAAAGTTTTGTAGACTAAAGATTATTTTTCTAGAGCAAGGAGTAAACAAAATTAAATTGATCTTAAAAATGGTGAATCTAGCATGTTTGAATTTTTTAAGGTCTTTAGCAGGATTTTGATTATTTGTTTAGTTGATTAAATGGTCATTCAATAAAAAAAACAAAAACAATACTCATATGAGAGAAGCCATTACTCCAGGAAAAGTCTGCTCATAACAATATTATTTAGTTTGAGGTATTTTGTCTATATTCAATTTTAATTCAACCCATTATTTCATTTTCATTATAAAAAAAAAGATGAAAAAATAAATTAGAAAATAAAAACCAAGTACCTAAATTAACTTTGACATCAAACTATAATCACAGAAAAAATAAAACATAAACTTGGTACTAGAGAATTAACTTGGTACCATATTCAGCAAGTTTATATAGTAATAAATATAGAGTCTGTGAAGATTTTAAAATATTTAAGCACATGCCCAAGAAAAAATTTTGACAACTTGAAACTTTGCCAGCAGAGCAATCTGTCATCAACTCAGTGATGTGTTTACGCAGCCTCTGGCACTTCCGATTTCGGAGTTTTGGGAAAAGGCCTTAGGCTAACCAAAAGACAGAGAAATGTGGAAAGAAGCAGCATGATCCCATTCGAACTTCTACATCAGGACAGGTAATCTATATTATTAAGGTATTATAGAATATATGTATATGCTAACATACATCTACTAATCGTTAAACATCCTTTAAAAAAAACTCTATTCCTCATTATGTAATTGTATACTAAATTGGTATATTAATATTATGTGTCTTTACTCAATATATATGTAAAAAAAAATCTCAATTAAATGTTTAAATTGTATAGTTCCAAAAAATAACAACTTACACTAATATATCTTCTAGCTTTAAATTATTAATCTACAAATAAAAATAATCCAATCTTAATCATTTATTTCTAAATAATTTCTTTTAAAAAAATAAGCATGAAAGCAAAAAAAAAAAAATAAATAAATATTTTTTTAAGAAACCTTAAAGTTTCAAAATAGTGTATAAATAAATACACAGTAAAAGGCTATTTACTATTAATGAAATCTGGTGTGGGCTTCACACATAATTTTGTGATTTTAAAAAATTTTGCTGATTTAATTTTCTGAAATGCGACTTAATGATTTTTCATAATAAAATTACCATATATACATAATTGTTAAATCTATTATCAAATATAAAGTTATTAAACTACTGTAAATTTATTTAAGGTTATAAAGATACGTTTTACTCATCAACAACACTGCATCAAATATTTGTAAATTCTACTTCTTCTCTCACATAAGAACAAAAAAATTAATTTTTTAAACAATTTCATAGCCTTAATTCAGTGAATATATATATATATATATATATTTTAAGCTTAAAATTAATTTTAAATGTTCCTACTGAAAATCCATTTAGTTTCCATGGATATTTATTTTTCATTCAATAATATAAAAGTAGACATTATTAACTCAGACAATTATTCGTTAGTTTTTATTACTTTTCAATAAGTTCTATGACTTTATAGACAAGATATTATTTTTTTCTAAAACCCTGAGCTTTCAAACGATATATCATACATATAAAATTCTGACTATTATTTCTAGAAATTAATTTTCAACCTGAAAAGATATTTTTTTTTTTTCAAATTCGATTCGATTAACAAATCCTTTCATTTTTTATAGGTAGTCATTCTTTTTTATTACTAACCATGAGAAACTGTTAATTATTTCAAATAAATAATATTGAAGGTAATTTAGAGGAGGCCTATTTGAAAATTTGGCATTTGAGCTCTATTAGATTACAGAAACAAAGATAAGCCCTAATTTATATTACAAAATCACTTAAGTATAAACTGTCAAAATGAATTTAATCAATTGTTAGAGCTGTTTTCAAGAAAATCATAAGAATATTGTTAAAACAATGGTTTAAAGTTATATTTATGGAAGGCGATTTTGATGAAAAATGTTCTGCGATATTCTAGGCATATATCTACCTTAAATACAAAATTTCAGTACCTTACAACTTTTTGTTTTAGAATTAGAGAACCTTAAAACATGTATTTCCTTGGAAAAGTGAGATTTGAAATTTTTTGTAATCTCAATACTTTCCCTTACATTTATATTTCATGTAAGTAAACGTTTGATAAAGCTGATAGGACTTTAACATAAGTGAATTTTCAAAATAGTGGATTGTGAAAAACAATGTTGGCTATAACTGCCAGGGTTAATGAAAAATTCATTTCTTTAATTAGTTTTCTTTCCAAAGGTTTGAGAAAGCACTGTATTTCACCGTTAGGGCTTATTATTAAGTAATTAGGAAAGAGAATACAGGCAGGGATAAAATGGTGCCCAACATCGTAACAAAATATAAATAAAAAAGAAACCTTATAACATGGAACTATATAGTATAAACATTTTGAGGTATTTTAAAATAATATCTAAATATTTCAATCAGAGGAGTTTGTGGAATAATAATTGAAATATAAAAGAACTAATACATAAAGAAGCAATAACAAAAATGGTGATAGAGTTCTTTCTTAACACAGGATTTTCAGAAGAATCTGAAACTGAGAAACAGCATTACTGTTTGATGAAAGTAAATGATTGCATTTCAGTTGTGCAGATGCAGCAATGGAGGGAATTTAAAACAATAGTGAAAAATTTTCTATGATTTATAAGGGTTGTTGAAATGCCAAGATTTCATCATTTCAAAGTCACTTATTACTGTCAAATTATTTAATTATTTGACCAATTAATTCAATATTAAACTGCCAAATAAACTTGATATTCTAAATGGAGTCAAATAATATACACTGTGCTATCATTAAAATACATATTTAGCTGAATTTATTAGGAGATAGCAATAATCGTAACATCAATATCGGGAAGCCGAATATTTGTACTTTTGGTTGCTATAAAAATTTGCTAGAACATGGTGGCTAGGCACAAAATCACACTATAGAAGTAATTCTGAAAATGGTTGACTGTAACTGAAAATAGATGAAGGCGACCAATCCCAAGGTACCACTGATTAAAGCAAATCCTGATGTAGATTAATTGATATCATAAATGCTTATGAAAATTATTACACTTTTATAATTGTGAAGAAATAGATGAATTTATTTTCTTATTTTATCTTCAATAAAACTAGTTATCAGTTGATTTTTGACACTATTTTTCACTTTCCGGCTCTCTGAAACGGTGTCGCGTTAAGTTACAATTTTGAATAATAGCTCAAGAGGATGAAATGCTGAAAATTTACCTTACTTACATAATGCAAGTCCAATTTCTAGTTTCTAGATATTTTAATCCATATGTTCAACCAAACTTGTTTCGCTTACCCCTTTCACCTCTCTAACAAGGCGTCACTTTAAGATAAAATTTTTAGTAATAGCTCATTACAAAAAAGATAAAGTTCTAAACATTTCCCTCACTTACAGTATGCAGGTCTGATTTTTATTTTCTGAGATATTTTAATCCAAATGTAAAAACACTTAAAAAATTCACAGATGTACTTATAGTAGGGAAGAGCCAAAAATATAATAACTTTAGTTAGATAAAAGTATAGTCTTTAACAGGGCTCTCTAAAGAACAGCATATAGACTGAAATTAAACTGCCAAGGAGCATCAACAATATTGGCCCACTTTAGTCAATTTGATTAAATTGTAAAATTTACAATGCAAGTAAATTATACAAAATAATAATAAATGTTTTTATTAAATACTAGTTGAGGAACACAATAACTGATCTAAATAATGAAACTGTACAATTTAACTGTAATAGATGATATGAGTGTGTTGGTATGATGTCTTGGCCTTTAAGCTAAAAGAATTGGAGACCTCTTGCCTGTAGCAACATAATAAACCTGATATATTAAAAACATTATTCAATAGTTTTTATATGCAAATAATAATAATAATAATAATAATAAGGCTTAGCGAACCCGAAGGTTCGATGCCGACACCACCAATCGCTTGTTACACACCTCCCTCCACCGTTCGCCGTCCAAACCCAGTCCCTTCAGATCGGCTTTAATGCAATCTTCCCACCTTCGCTTCGGTCTACCCCTTGGACGCTTACCATTCGGCACAGCAAATATTAACCTTTTAGGAATTCTCTCGTTATTAAGCCCAACAACTTTACAAGCCCATTTGATTCGCCGCGATGAAATTGCCTCAATTATATTACCCGGATACAGCTCACGCAATTTGGCGTTGTGTAACCGTCTGAACTCTCGGTCCGAATATTCTACGCAATACTTTATTTTCAAAAACCTTAAGACGCTGCTCATCCCTTAATGTAAGCGGCCAAGTTTCGCATCCATAAAGAACTGTAGGCAAGATAATTGTTTTATAGATTCTAATTTTTAAGTTTCGGACAAGAGGCGCGAACTGAGTAGTTTTGTCACTGAAAAATAACAAGCATTCCCCGCCTTCAGTCTAACCTTAATCTCTTCTTCAATTTCGTTTTTTCTAGTTATTGTAGAACCTAGATACCTAAATTTATCTACCTGTTCAAACATATTACCATCTATATCGATATCACCAGTAGTATCGCCATTTTTGCAGCTAACCATATATTTTGTTTTATCCACGTTTATTTTGAGTCCTAGTTCTTTACCGGCTTTCATTAACGTTGTCGTATTTAGTTTTATAGTGTCAAGGTCTTCGCTTATTTATATGCAAATACAGAATTCTATAACATAAAGTTAATATAGAATTGGAAAATATGTACTATTTTTATTATTATTATTTTTTTAAATAGCGCATTATTGGGAGGAAATTTCGGTGACTCAAAATATGCTCTATTCATCATCACAAAATATTCCTTATGTAATGTAATTAAGAGATAATCACAAATTTATCTTAAAGTAAATTAATAAAAACAAATGTTAATGATAGTGATTAACTTATAACTGGTCCCAAATTAAATATATTTTAAATGACAATCCTTTTTCATATCATTTTAGGTACAGATATACATATTAAATATAAAATGATTTACCTGCTCAAAGAAATTTTCCATATTTTAAATTGATTCATTGATTTAGTAACCAAGCCAATCATAATCTAACCAACTTATCAAATAGAACTAACTTGATTTAAAAAAAAAAATTAAAAAGAAAAGAAAATATGTTAAAAATTATCAATGTTGCCATGACAACATAGTTTTTATTTCTAAAACCAATGATTAAATAAAATGCAAACAGGCAAAAAATAAAAAATAAATAAAGAAATTCTAAAAACATATTAATAATAATTTATATTGAAGAAGCACAGTTTTTCAATGATATAATGATTGTGAAATATTATAAATAACAATTTTCAATAAGTTCAAATCATAAGATTACGGGCTCAAATCTTGTTTAATTAGAAATAAATTATATTAATAGTTACAGTCAAAAGCACAATTTTCAGCAAGCTCAGTATTATTTCGATAAAGATAAATAACTTATAATTTTATAAATAACCTAATATTTTATTTTTAATATCATTGATATATGATAATTTTGATCACATGTTTAAACATATGTAATGTAATACATTATATAAAAGCAATTTTTTCTGGCACTTATAATTGAGATAAATAATTTACATAACAAGAATTCTTTGTTATACATCTTTGTAAACCAACACATACAGGTTAGTAAGCTTGGTCGTTCCAAGAAAAAATGCCATATTAATAAATAAAACAAGAAATACTGAAGTAGGCGTGCTGGAGTAAATATAAATCTTTATAAGATTTGGCACCTTTAAAATATTCTGAGCCAATAAAAATACATTGAATAGAAAACATTGAATGGTTTATTTTCTAATAATAAATAAATTTATTTTGTGATGTACTACTTCTTTCAAATTGAGAGCTTCTTACTTACTTAATACATTTTGCATAGTATAATGTATTAAAAGAAAAATAAATAAAAATTAACAGGAAATGTCAGTTATATAGAATAATATAAATTTAAATTACAAGTGTAAGTATCTGAGTAAATAAATACAATTTACACTTTGCACATAATAGTCAGTCATGCACTTTTTCTGAATAAACATGTTCGGCAATTGATAAACAATGACCAATATATATATTTATAAAAAACAGGCACATTAGCTTTTTATTTCTTACTTTTTTTTCTGATTATTAAGTCATAATAGCAAGAGGTGTATGGAATGATTGCATGGCAGTTCGAAAATGGTTATTATTTACTTATGTTTTAACTCCATTCAAACTATCCATACATCCATCATCACAACATACATGCCTTTTAGGCTTTTGTACACAATCTGACTAACAAAATAATAATGATGTACCTATAATACATTTTTTAAAGTTTTATTTTCCCAATGGCAGTGCAGTGAACAGCCAAGCCTTTGCTTCCATTCCTTTTTTTTTTTTCTTTTAACCTGTATTTAACTTTTTTTTTCTTCAATATTCTGTGTATAAATAGTTTAATGCTTGGAGATCCACTGTTTTCACCATAATTTCAACTTGACCCTTTCTTTTTTTACAAAAAGGAAGACAACAGTTCTGTTTACAAAATTGTACATTTAAGTTTCTTTCTTTTACATCTATCTTTTCCACGACCATTACTCATTTTATTGTCTTCCATCTTCCTTGAACGAATCTCTCTCATCAAATCAAAAAAAACCTGGAACAGAAAAATTTAGAGACGAATTATAGCAGATTGTTCGAAGGTCATCTTGGATGATAAATAGTTGGACATATCCGCCAATATACAAGCTTGCGAATCATCTGGGCTAGTGAATTCTCTGATCCTAAATAAAAAAAAAGTTATGCAACTCTTGCGTCAATTTCAGAGAATTCACTTGTCCTGATAAACAAGGTTGGGTTGAAACGAATATATCCATAATGATGGGAGCCATTAATGAATGGCTGATATTCCTAAACAGAAAGCTTAGGTATATCATTAATTTATACAGAGAATTTGTTTTTCCATCAAGCAAAACATTTATCATTAAATACATGTATTCTAAGGTTTTTATATAACACAAAAAAACAGAAATTTAATAAGAAATCTATACTTTTTATTACTTTTGCTTACTTTTTTTAAAACTTAAGTAAGTTTTATAATAGTAATGAATTAACTGCATACATAAGAAACCTTCATTAACAATTTGCCCGAAACACAAGAAGGGTGCTTGAGAGTCCTAATTACAGCAACACTTCTCTATTATCCTACCGCTATAAAGTGTTCTCATGGGTACTATATATAAAAAGCTTCCGCCCTTTGCTTCCTGAGGGATAGATAAAGAACAGATTAAATTTTTCTGAGTGAAACATTATAGAGAAAGTAAGGGAACATAATATAAGCACTCACTATTCATTAATTGTTTTTATGAAAGGCTATGATAGCATCATCAGTGAGCAACTGTACAAGCCTTTGCTTCAAATATCAGCTAAAATTATGATAAAGGTCACTAGGACAGAAGAAATCCAGATAGAAGGGAAAATATTCAATAAATATACAATGATACTGTTTTTTTCCAGCTGATATCAATATCATCGGAAGTACCAGTTTATGGATATGATTTAGGAATTTCTTGGACTTGAAAGAGCTGTTATTTTAAGCTGACCAGTATGACTTTTGGCAAATGTGGAAAAAACAAATAGGTAGACAAGTAGAGATTGTGAATAACATCTTTGAGAGGGTTGGGACAGTTGGTTTATCGAGGCTTCCAGATGAACTATGATAATCTGAAATTGAATATTTTTGCACTGGAATGGTAAATAAAGATGGTTAGGGTAACATCAGGACATAAAAAAACAACAATAAACAAATGATACAAAGAATGGAGTTTTGTGAATTTGGTTGTCAGAACATCACGAAATTTTTTCAGTGAGTCTAAAAATATTATTCCTGTTTTTATTATGTATTTTACATTGTTTTGTTTTGTAGACCTCTCCTCCAGACTTTAGTTTATTTGATTTTTAAAGTACTTATTTTTATGCCAAAACATTTATGTACTGAATTTTTTTTTGTATTACACAATAACCTTATTTCAATTTGCAAGTTAAAGAATTCGAATGTATACAATGTTTTGGTGAAAATAAAATTGAGGTGAACGAAAATGTTTACGTATGAGGAAAAAATGTATATTATATATATTTTAGAGTGAATTTCGTTCAATTTGGATTATCAGTAATCCAGTATCAGGTCCTTATCAGGTCCCATCTAGTATAGATTAATGGATTCCTGCTGTACTTAAATAACAGAAAATTTAGCTACTTAAAAACTAGACGTTTTATTTAAATTTAAGATGAATGAAATGAAGAGTAAAACTAATAAAACAAGAAAAAAAAATGCTATTTACCTTGTCAACATTCTCCCTAGTTTTGGCAGAGGTTTCAACATAAGGAACACCCCAATCCTGGGCTCTCCCTTGAGCTTCAGCTAATGTAACTTTTCTTTTTTCATCCAAATCTCCTTTATTTCCAACAAGGAGAAAGGGAATATTTTCATCATTTTTCACTCGTAGAATCTGCTCTCTAAATACAATAATAAAACAAAATATTAAAATTTGTTATTGATTAATATTCTTTGAGTAAAAAATAACAGTATAAAAACATAAAAAATATAAACAGTCCTTATCATGACTAATTCTTAAACTGATGTTAAAAAACGTCTGCCAAGTAAGGTCAGTATAGCTTCCTTACCGTTTTTATTGGCTAAAATATTACAAGTTATACAATTTTTTGTATGAGGATAAAATCTCTGGGAAAAGACGATTCGGAAATACAGTTACCCTTCAATTCAACATTCGCAGGTTTGATAACCACGAATTTCGTTTAACAGCTAATATTAAAATGACAAAGACTGCCATATTTGATTATTCTTAATTAAAAAAAAAAAAAAAAAAAAAAACCAATGCATACTGAACATGCATTTCACTACTGTTAGTACAAAAAGTCGTATGTAAAAATTGATTGTTTAACAAGAGAGCATAAAAACAAATTATTTCTTTATGCTTTGTTAGTATAATTTCAAATTTTATTGTCATCTGCTATTTTCCTTAGTAGCAGACTACTTATTTCAGTTGCAGACGACAAAATGTCACATTTAGCACTAATAGAATAAAAGTTGAAAATTTTTATTTACAACCTTTTGCACTAATAGTAGTGATATATACATAATAGGTATGTTTTCATTCGTAAAATGGATGGAACTAGAAAATCCATAGGAAAAATTCAACTTGTTGTTTCTTCGGAGTTAATGAGACCAATACTTTTCTTCATTCAGTACAAAAAGCATTAAGCTAAAAAATATGAAAATCTGGATGAAGTTCACACAACTTCGATATTTAAGGAGGAAATCGAGACAATACGAACAGATTAAACTTCAATGGAAATAAACACAATCACAATTAAGACTTTTTTTTCACAAACTCAGAGTAAAAATTACTTTAAATATACTGAAAACTTCATGAAATCGAAGTAACAGCAGTAAGTCTCATGAGAGTAACGTTTGGAATCGACCAAACAATAATACATTATCAATTAATTTTTTGAATAAAACCTATAATTTTATAACACCATAACAATATCGTAATAACGTAACTCCCACTCCATATGTTCAGTGCCTTTAACATTTCACAGTCATTATATTGTTAACAATTATTTATATTAATTTTAATTATTAAATGGAATTCAATGAAATTGATATTAAGTTATTTCTATACTGTTCTCCAAATTTCCTCCAAGTTTAGGTCAAATCGAATGCTCCATTTTCAAATTATAAGCTTATCAAATAACACATTCCTGATCTGAAAGCAGAAGTATTTTTTTTTTTTGAGTAGTAGATAGAATTTGGTAAAATTGATGCCTATTTCATTTTACGTTTACCAATCCCTAAATTTCAACCAAATTTGAGCCAAATCGAACTTGCAGTTTTAGAGATATAGACGTATCAAGCAAAACACGTTTGCACATATGTAAGAGAAATCAACAGACAGAATTCAATAAAAATGACCCTACATTATTTTTTCACAAATGCCTAGCTTTTATCCAATTTTGAGCCAAATATAACGAGCCATTTCTGATATATTGGCATATCTACAAAAATGTGTTTGCGCTTGCTTAAGCGGAAGTACTGATTAGAATTTAATGAAATTGATATGGAACCAACCCGCATAATTCCTGAAAATTTCATGAAAATCGGATGAACGGTAGTAGGTGATATCATAGTGGTAATAGGTGATTACATCGATTTGACTACAGATAGATACCAAACCAAATTTGATCCTTGATGTCTGAAACGTAAAACGCGAATGTAAATTTTCGATTCTGAGCACAAAATTTTTTTTAACCTCTCGCACGAATACAATGCCTCCCTACCTTCGGTAGTGAGGAAGCAAAATGATAGATACATAACTTCAAAATGATGACCTCTTGTTCATTTAGCTAAGACAAAAACTAAAGAAATGTCAAAGAAGCCAGCCAATGGAATGAGAGAACCATAGCCAAGATAATATATTCATTCCATAATATTCAAACATACTACAAAATATTTTTTAAAAATTTATTAATGTTGAGGAAGTATCAAAGGAAATTTTTTTGAGCTAAAGTATCACATTCTCATGCCAAATTATGTATGTTTATTATTTTATATTTATATTATATATCATATCTATATTATATCTAAATATTTTATATTTATATCAAATATTAATGATCTAATCACTCCCAATCTCTAAAATATTTATACTTAAATGATTGAATCACAGTTTTATAAATTGTTTATACCATACGTGTTTTTAAATCACATCTATATTTTTCATCTCACCTATATTAAGTCAAACTTTTCTTTCAAGCTTTATGGTTTTGGTATAGAAACAATTTTACAATTTATTTAAAAAAGGATATTTAAACTGAATTTATAATAATTTCACAATAAGTTAAGAAAAAAATTGAAAGATTCTCACTCCAGCGGGTACTGCTGTCGCTTTTTCATAAGCAAGAATTTATAGTGCTCTGTGAAACAAGTTAACATGATTTTTTCTTATTTAATTATTATTAATTTTTCTGTGTACATATACAAAAGTTTCCTTTTTTATGACTATTGTATGTCATTCCTTGTTAAATATGACTTATAATTAGATATATAAAAATGTTATTTTATATAATTTTTTTCTAATAAAAATTCAAGATGCATATACAAAAGTTTGGCCGTATGTGTATGGTTCATTGATTATTTCTCATGCAAATGATTTTTTAAATATTAAATAACAACCTGAAATCTTGTGTTGCCTGAAAACTTTCTTCTTCTGTGATTGAGAAAACACAAAGAAATCCTTCTCCACTTCGAAAATAGTTATCCCTGAAATTATACAAGAACAATCAGAAGAAATTATTTAATTAACTAAAAGATGGGAAAGAAACTATTTTCTTTCAGGTGGGGAAAATAGTCATTCCCTTAAAAGAAAAAAAGAAACTTTATTAACGTATAACTCAAAAAGTATACATGGAGAATTACAGCCATGATTATTTGAAATCTTACATTTCCCACAAAACGAAAAAAACAATCATTTAAATCAATTAAAAAACATGTCCGCTAATGCTTGTGTATTTTATTAAAACTTATCACTTACTGCGGCAGAAACTTCCCCCCTCCTTCCATCCCTTCAATACAAATTTTTATAGCAATCGGAAAATTAAAATTTTTTGCTGAGGCAAAAATTTTGTTGACAACAACAAAAATTGTGATAACTTCACCAATTCATATGAAAATCATTAGGAGTTAATGGCTTTATATGTTACACAAAATGGTACGACCCGACCTCCATAAGAAAATTAGAACCATAGATATAAAATAGAAATGTTTGCAAAGTTTTGCGTAATTTCTATCTTGGAAAGGAATGAAATCCAAAAGTAATTGATGTGTGACAGAAGAGCAGTAATTCAGCTTCCCAACACGTGTACTAACTTTAAATTGGAAGAAAATCTTGAGAAGTTATGATTACTTTAGTTAGTGGCATGGCATGTGATGGTATAGCAGGAATGGCATGCACGTGTGTGATATGCCATCCCTGCAAAATCCCGTGTAGCCGAAAGGCAAGGAAGAGAGGCATAAATAAATAAATAATGGCAAATAAAAAAATCCTCCAAGAAAACCATGCACTAGAATTCAAAATTATTGATTTCTTTAGAAATTTGAATTTAAGGGTTTCAAAGGACATTAAAAACTAATCCAACTTAACTTGCTTTTTCATACAAAAATTTACTAGGCCTACTTTACTAGAAGCTCCTTTTGGTTTTTGTAATTTAAGATACATTATAACCATGGCCTTTTATGCAATTGCATATTTTGTTTGCATGAAGTTCTTAAATAGATGATCAAGTATACTTACAAATCATTTCATACAGATGCAATTATGTGAATTTTATACTGCATATTTGGTGATAAATGCATATAATTGCAAATTTAACAATTTCAATCTAATAAAAAACAAACCTTCACTGATTGAGTTCTTCAAATTTTTTAATTTTACTTTCTAGCTTATCACCTTACCTTCTTATCCCTTTTAAACATTACACTATTTCAGTTTGTTTTTTGTTACCTTTACTAGGAGTAATATTTGTTATTTTCAATGTAATCTTATTATTTAAAATTGAAATCTTGGATCTGCCAGAATAACACCAAAGTGAAACTGTTATTATTCAAAACAAATTTGAGATTAAAACAAGCAGAAAATTTCAAGTGCACATAAATTTGTCCCATCTTATTTCTTCTAATGAAGAATTGATAATTCAAATCATTTTGGTATAAAATTTTTTAAAACGATAAAAGATTAGATTTTTCAGAAACAAATTTAGTAATTTATTAATTTATGTTAATGAAAAACATGTTGCTTACTAATCCATTTGAGTTTCATTTCTTTTGTTTATGAAGTAAATTAGTTTTTAAATACAATCTTTGCTGATATTATTAGTAGATGTTAGTTTTTATTTCTTTCATATTTTAAGTTTACTTTATTTAAGTATTATAATACTTGTACGTATTAAGTTTTAAAAAATGATCATGAAAACTTTTATTAACTGCAAAAATGTGCTAATTTATATATATAAAAATTGTACTAAGTATAACTTGTAACCAAGTAACCTGTGAAAGGGTGTTTAACAAACTTAAGATAGTTAAAAATCTAGTAAGGTTTACTTCAAGACAAGTCCTTATATCTTATTTTTTAATCAATGCTTTCTCTAAATATTAATTTTCGCTTTCACTTACCTATACATGAAATTTATAGTAAGGGGAAGTATTGCGATCCTGAAAATTTTTAAATCTGCATTTTCAACGGAAATACATGTTTTGAGTTCTCCTGAGTCCAAATAACCATGTCTCTCAAAATAGTCTGCGTGTGTGTATATGTATGTGAACAGTCTAGCTCAAAAATGATGTCATATGAAAGTGAAATTGCATATTTAACATTTTTATATACCTGAGATGTTACAGCAACTATTTCGTCAAAATCAGCTGACCGTACGTGGCACTTCATATAATCGATTTTACACATTTTTACAATTTCCTCGAAAATGGTTCCAACAATTTTGATTAAACTCTCTAGGTCAGTATATTATTAAGTGGTTTTTAATTTAAGGTAGGTTTTATCCTCATTGATGCAACCTGACAGGGCTTAAATGCCGATTTTTTTAAAATGCCCTCCTCTAAAGTACCTTCGATTTTTTTTATTTGAAATAATTAAAATTTCATATTAATCTCTTATATTATAAATAGATAAATATAAAATTTGAAAGCATTTCATAATTAACTAGAGGAGAAAGAAGAGATTGTAACAGAGAATAGTTGTAATGGAGAAACCAAAGGAATACAAACGCGCCAAAGCTCACCTGAGCTGGAAAGATTGGAACAGACTTCCATAGGTAATATGAGCATAATAATACAGACTTCGACAATGACAGCCATCAGCTCTGACTCATGCAGCCCTTCAAAGTTTCTACTTTTTGACTTTCTAATGATATACCCAGCTGACAGAAATTAATAATGGAATTTAAAGCATTTAGATTACAAAAAATAAAGTAGATTTAACATTTTTCATCACCATTTATTATATACTTGAATCAATTCAAGTTTAACTGAATATAGCCTAAGTCCCGGATAAGCTTGGTAATGAAATTAATTAATTTACGAAACGAAATCGTTTCAAAAAATAAAACTTAAACTTTTACTATACAAAATTTCTATAAAAATAACATGAATTTAGAAAAACAGTATGTTTGCAATTAATAGCAAAATATTCTTTTAAGGGTGGGGTGGCTGAGCAGGCTATGGATCCAGGCAACCCGATAAACTGAAGATTATGTGTTCAAGTCTTGGTGCAAGGGGCTTTTAACTGTGTCCTTAATCCTCAGTCCTCTCCCCTGAATATAGCTGAGGGCGAGGTAGGGGAGAAAGAAAAAAAAATGTATAGAAAAATAGTTTTAAGGCTTTAAAATTGCACCAAGTCTTGATTGGACATTTAGAGGTTTTAGGCACAGAATATGTAGGTCATCAGTGTACATGTTTTCTCTGAATTCTGAAACTGAGAGCGCAACTTTGCAAAGGTAATTCTGCTAATGAATCCAATTGGAAATATTACCTGATAGCAGCATAATCTTCTTGACCTGCAGTATCAAGAATATCTATCTGTACTTCTTCTCCATCAAGCACAACCTTTTTTCTGTAAGAATCTGCTTTAGTTGGTTCATAATCTTCCACAAACTAAAATAAAAATAACGTCAATTGTTTAACAATCATCAATTATAAGATTTTAAATATAAATAAAAAATAGTCAAGAGAACAACTTAGATCTAACCTTTATCACCTATAGGCAAATTATGTAAATGATTATAATAAAAACAGCTTTTTTAAATAAAAATGTACAAAAGTTTATAAAAAATTACTATGATTAGTAATAATAGATCATTTCAATTGGATTTATAGCAAACAGGGTATATAGGAAGGTATAGAATCAACTAAATTATCACAGGAGGTATTAGCAGCTCACTGATATATTAAATAAATTATGAATAATAATAATTAGGAAAGAAAGAAAGAAAAATAAATTTTATTCTGAGTCATTTAGTCCCCTAAGAATAATTATAATGTTAAAAAGATGAAAATTGTCTGGCATCATAAACAAATAAAAAAAATGAGAAATTTTTTAGCTAACATAACATAATAATCTAACCTTATAATTAAAATACATTAAGTACGAGTAAACATATTGATTTGTACATATTGATAAACATATTCCGATTAACAATAGTGATGATATGTAAGCAACAGTAACATAACAGTCAAATGAGAGTGACAGCTCTTCCCTACAAAATTTTATTCTTAGGTCTATTTGGAAGATTGATTGATAAGGAGGTGGAAGAATAAATGGTGTTTAAATGAGGTTAAGGAAGAGGATTTGCGCATTAAGATAGGTAGGGAATGCCAAAAAAAAAGGTAGCATGCATGATAAAGGATTTTTTAAAGGAAACGGTTCTATGAGAGAGAACAAACAGGTTTATGGACTGGGATCACATGTTAAACAAATGAACAGAGGAACAAGGAGTAAACAAATCAAGAAGGTAAGATGGCTTTTTGGTTGTAAAGGTTCAGAAAAGGAATACACCTAGGAAATATTGCTGCTGGAAATCCGGATAGAGCCACTTCAAGTCAGCATACCAATTGGAGACGGAGGAGTGCCTGGGGGCTCCTAAGATGAATCGAATGAAACAATTCATTAATCTTTTCAATCTGATCTCAAGCCCACCAGACAGTCCACCGTATACAAGGCAACCATAATTGAAGTGAGGAAACTAAGAATTGGTGGGTTTTTAGAAGCATAGAATCACGGAATCTCAGGAACTGTTTTAGGGTAGCAATAGATTTCAGATAATTTGGGAGACATGATCATTCCAGGATAGGTATTAATTATGTATTATAGGTATGATTCAGGAATAGGACAAGATTGGAGGAAACACATTCCACCATTTCATTAATGGAGGAATAGAAGAAGATGGGATCTAAGGATTGGGCTAATGTTTCAAGAAATGGAATTAGTTTTTCATGGGTCAATGAGCCAAGGTCTCGCCAAGTTGTTTGCTTAGGAGTGAATTTAGGAGTCGGGATGTTATACATATTCTTGATAAGATCATGATGTGAAAGAAAGGAAAAAGGACGAGCCATGTAATCAAGAAATGAGTATGATGGGTGAGTTGAAAGGGAACAATGAAAATTAGGTCTACAAGGTATGAATCGTATGGAGAGCCAGAGCATAAATTGGTGTTAAAGTCACCGGTTATTATAACATTATTGTATAAGGGAACATAGGTAGAAAGGGAGGATTCTAAGGCAGGATCAAATCGGACTTGAGAAGGAGGATATGTAATGACATAGAGGAGGGAAACAATTCTAAGGGAATTTCTAAAAATAAATACTCTTCATGAGGAAAGTCGAGAGAGGGAGACTTGTGAAAGATTTTTGTCCTCAGACTTTCATGAACGTAGAGACCAGCACTACCCCCTTTCCTGAGGGCATAGTTAGGAATGGACAAAGAAGAGGAAGGAATGTTTGGTTTGAACCAGAGTTCTGAAATGGCAATATGGTAAAAATTATGGAGGAAATAATCAATGAATTCGTCTATGTGGACCGGAAGGGATTGGGAGTTAACGTAACACGTTAATAGGATACTAGCCATGGAAGGATAAAGAAGGAAGTTCATCAGTGGGAAATTTGGAAAGGAACGGAACAATTGCAATTATGTGAATTTAAATTTCCAAGATAAATGAAAGATGGTAGAGCAGCAAACAACTAGATGGACAATTATATGTTTTAACAAAATAAATAAAAATTGCAATGAGAAAAAAATCTGGTGCAGTGCGCGCATCACACAACTTTCACTTACCACCCTCTTAGCAGAAATAAGTATTTTCAGACAAAGGAGAAGTGAAAGTAAAAATTATAGATGCTATAATTATTAATATTTCATTGTGAGTATTTTTATTTTTATTTGTATAAGTACTTTTATATATAGAAATTTTAATATTTATATCAGAGTAATCTATACAATTAAATATTAAATAATACCAACAATAGCATTTATGAAAACCGCATATATATAAATATATCCGTATTTATAGAGTCCGTATTATATTAAGCTCATATTGGTTATGGAAGCCTGTTAAAATCTTTTGGACGAGCTCTGGTACGATCAATTACAACTATTCTCCGTTACGATTTTTTATTTCTCCTTTAGTTAATAATCAAATTCTTTCATATTTTATATTTAACTATCTTTTATACTAGAGATTAATGTGAAATAGTTAGTTGTTTCAAATAAAAAAAATTGAAGGTACTTTAGAGGAAGCTAATATTGAAAATTAGCCATTTAAGCCCTATTAGAGAACATCAATCAGAATAAAAACTACATTTTAATTATGTATTAAAATGTATTATGTATAATGTAGTTTAAGCTGCTCAAGTTCAAACTGATATGAAAAATTTAATCAAAATCGTTACAGCCGTTTCTGAGAAAATTGTAAAAATGTGTTTAGCCTATGATATAAAGTCTTTGTTACTGACAACGACCTGCAAGCCGTCGTCTTTTCGGCATCTAACACGCCCTCTGGAGAACCAGAATCTATCTGATTTTTCCTGCCGCCTTTCTCTGTCTCGCCAGCCTGTAAAGATGATGGTTGTACGAGGTCATTTCTTCACCGATATAAATTCTTTCATTGGTATCCCAATCGAGGTGGTTAGAGGTAAAATCCTTTTTTTTTTTTTTTTTTTTTTTTTTTATATTATATTTATATATTTAATTAAAATCATGGTAATTACAAGATTTACAGATTCTACAAATTTAGCCAATTTCATTTTCGAGCTCAAAGTTATAGGAGCAAGAATAGCAGAAGTGTAAATGTGAAACCACAATTTGTCCATAGATGGCTCTAGTTATTAATGTAGTAACCATTAAAAGTCATTATTGGTGAAATTTTGTTTCTTCAATAGCTGGTGAAGGTAATCAATTCAAAACAATACGAGTTTTGTATAACACCACCGTTTTAATACAGTTGAACATGTTGAGTTTTGTGCCTATTAACTAAGATTTGCAGACAGCATTTTCTATTATCATTTAAACAAAATTGCATCAAATGATTGTAAAAACTTATGGTGAGCATGCTCTTGGTAAAATTTAAGAGTACGTGGTAATTTTGATGAAAGAAATTAATAACTTGGTAGACCAATGAAAAAGTTTGAGGACAAAAGACAATGAATTGTAGGCATTATTGCATGAGGATGATGCCCTATAACTCGTGGATCAATTGAATATAACATAAGAAGCTGTCTCCATATGTTTGAAAACGATGAGGAAGATCTAGAAGATGAGAAAATGGGTTCTAAATGACTTGAATGAAAATATATTTTATTATTCTGGGACTGTTGTTCCTTTAGAACAAATTACAAGTGCTAAATTCATGTGTAAGTGGTCATAAATAGAGTAGATGTTTACAATATTAGTTATTTAAAAGTAAAAATACAGACGGAAAGACAGAAAAAGCATAAATATACATACATAAAGCGTACATAATACAAACAGAGAAAACTAAAATAACAGAAATATTTTCTGGGGGTACTTAGATAGCTCTCTTAGGTTTATTTCGTGATCAGGCAGATTGAGAAAGGAGTAGGTGTTTAAAGAGGGGTTTGAAAGAGGAAACTGATTGTGCGAGTCGAATATCAACAGGGATGGAATTCCAGAGGAAGGCGGCTTGAATTGCAAATGATATGCAGCAGTTTGGTGAGGAGGGGGATAGAGGTCAGAAGTGTGAGATCTAGTAGGACAGGATTTGATGGCGAATTTAAATTGAAAGCTATGGAAAATATAGGAGGGTCGATGAGTTCTAAGGATTTGGTACAGAAAGGTAGCTAGGAAGTACTGACGGCAATAGAATGGATAGAGCCACTTCAACTCTGTGTAATACTGGGTAATATGCGTATCTCTTGAGATTCCGAAAACATAACGTAATGCGCAATTCATTAGGCGTTTAAATTTGGTCTCGAGATCTCCTGAGAGTCCACCGTACATCATACAGCCATAGTCGAAGTGGGGGAAAACAAGAGAGGTAACTAGGAGTTGACAGGACTTATATGGAAATGCTGCCCACCAGGTAAAAAAGAAAGTCATTTGTGGCAAATGATAAAAAGTGGATATTTTGAGAATCCTAAGCATGAATAACTCCAGATGAACAATCAATATTGATTGCAAGGCCAAAACAATATGGAAAGAAGACAATGCTGTTTGCTTAGTGAGAAAAGAAGGGCACTCAGTTGGAAAATCCAGGCATGTGCATGTGGCTTACTCACCAGAATCAGCTCTGTCCAACTACTATTTATTTGCATCAATGGGGCATGCACTCGTTCAGCATTGCTTCCCTTGATAAAATGTATAAAAACTGCTTAATGACTGGCAATTCATAAATTGCTAAAGAGATTGAAAAAATGCTTAGCTAGCGAATGACAATAATTTGAACAAAATATTTGTTAACATTTGTATGCAAGTAAAATGTATTTTCTATACAAAAAAAAACTTATTTTTAAATTTACACACGAAGTAAAAAAAAAAAAAAATATATATATATATATATATTTTTTTTTAGGCTTTTACTTTCAACAGTTTTATAAACATTCACAGTTTAATTCATTTTAACTAATTAAAAAAAAAAATATTTTTAAAAACAACAAATTTTTAAAAAACAAGTATAAACCAGTTTTCTGTGTTAAAAAATAAACAGTAAACTAATATCAATAAAATTACACCTGGACAGAATTTTTTAACGACTTCTCAAAAATTACATATTTCAGTATTAGAAAGTCATATCTACAGATTTATTTGAATTAAGGAATAATAGAATAAATTAAATTTAAAATATTTTATGACAAATGAAGGATTGGATGACAGCTCATAAACACTAAACCCACTTATCACTATCACAAAATGATAAAAGTTGATTCACCTGAAGGAAACAAAGTAGATGATTCATAACAATGAGATCAGAAGCTTAATTAGTTGAATCATTACTATTTTAGAAAAATATGTAAACATTTTTTATTCAATTTCATATTAGTAATCATGTAAGTAATTCAATCTTCATGCCAACATTTGGCATTTTTCCCATAGAATACAGAGGTATTAATAAAATTGTTTTAAATTCCAAACAATGAAAAAAAAAACAACTTAATCTTAATGTTTTTAATATAGGTACTTAGCACAATTGATTATTGAGCATAAACAACTTTTCTGTAATAAGGATCGAAAAACTGCATGTATCAGATGGAATTAAAAGTTATACAGAGATATTTATGAGATTAATATTGAACATTTAAATAACAAAATCTTTATACCACTTAATGTGGTAAAAGCAATCTTTAAATATAAAAAATATTTACCAAATAACATTTAAAATTTTAAGCCATAAATCACAGAAGCAAAACAAGAACAATTCAATATTGGTTGGATGGACAATGTTATTTGAAGAGATGCTCAGAGAATTTCCCTCAGAAAAAAAGAAAGTGATGGAACCATGAAAATGAATTTAACAGCTCACTTAACAAGTGAGGCATGTACACGACTTATTTAGAACAGAAAGTAGGTTCTTTATATTAACAAATCAATAGGTTTAGAACTTCATTACTTACACACTATTGGTTGTTTACTAACCTCATCATACATAAATTGAAGGGTTAAAGCTGATTTTCCAACTCCTCCGCTACCAACCATAATAACCTTATGCAGGGCAGGCTGTGGAGCAGGCTTTTTCGACATTTTGATAAAACTTGAACATACAAATACATACAATTATCCTACAAATCTCAAAACATGATTCACTAGTTGGGAAACTTTTTTAATAGTCCTATTGTTATTTAATTGTCTAGGTCACCTAACTCCCACACTTTAGAGGTTATTGCTTAGCAATAAACAAGTGTATTGTTGGCACTAATATTAAAAGAAAACGAACATTGTCGAAAAAACTTAAAATCAGAGAGTATTTGTACATATTAGCACATCTTCTTATCTTATAAATTAACATCATGAAATAGTTTTAAAATGTTAAAATAAGTTCATAAAAACAAAACTAAACTTACCAATATATTTAATCAAAATTTACAAAAATTACGATATTTCAAGAAAGTGAATTAAAAATTAAACTGTTCCTTTCCCACACCCAGTTTGAAGTGTAAAACAACTGTCACTTCAACAAGATCACATCTATAAAACCTGGAACCCCGAAAGCCAAACTGTTGGCGCTTCATGCGCATCCAAGTGGGTCATTTGGAAACTTCTTTGGGAGGGAACTTCAAATTGAGGGTAAATTTACAAAACTTCTTAAAATATTGTTTTTGCTATTATGTACTTTATTTCCAATATTGAAAAGACGTATAGTTATAACCATCAACATTATTATTTTTAAATACGGTATTTTCATTTTTTAAACTAAAATTTCTCATTCTATCTGAAAGTTGTTAATGGTGCTATGGAGGTATTAAATTTTTACTTTTGGAATAGTATCATATCCATTACAGTGGATAAACATTATTATGTCATAAAATAATCCTTAAAGAAGAAGTACAAAAAAATTGATTGCCTCTTAAAAATCTTCAGTTTAGAATCATGTCTCAACAAAAAAAAAAAAAAAAAAAAAAAGAAGCCAAATAGCTCTATTGTGGGGGAGAAAAAAAGGAGCTTTATGATAAACTTTAAATTGGCTATTGTTCAACTTAAAGTTTTCAGATCACTTGAGATTTTAATGATTGCTAACTTATGGGGAGTGGTGTGGAAAGGGGCCATAAGTTATTTATATACAATTTTAAAAGACTAGAGGGATACACCATGACCGCCTATCAGTGGATCAACCCTCATTTTACAAATTATACAACTGTTCATTTAATTGTGCTACTTGTTGCTCAAATTGTATAACAGTAATTTACAATTACAATTTGAATTCTGTAGTTCAGTTTATATTAATTTTTATCAAAATAAAATAAACTAAATGAAACCACAGTTCAGATAAATTTTTAATTTTTTTAAAATCTATATAATACATTGTGCCTTATTGCCAATTTATATTATTGCATGACTAGAATTATTCTTATTGCCAATTTGAAACCATAATATATATTCAACTTGTCCAGCTTCATATAAGCCCAACATCAATTTTAGTCTTTTATTTCTAATATTTTCATTATGTTTCCTTTTTGTATTTCTTAATAATTATAATTATTTCACAATATAATATAAATAATATTATATATAATATAATAATTAGAATATTGCATTCAAGATCTAGATCGAAAAATAACTAATAGGTAAAATTAAACTACTATTTTCATGGTCCCGCAATCACTTGCAAAGCCGAAGTGGGTGCCGTTCTATATGCTCCTGTCACCAGTAGGAGAGATCTTCTTTGAGCTTGCTCCAGCACACTGATGTCTGACTGTCTCAGTTTCTGGCCCCAGGCTGGCACTATATATAGGCAATAGGCAAGAAAGCAGCCTTATATAGCATTTCCCGGTAACTATATTTGAGACCCCAGGTGATCCCTGCCATCGTTTTAAGGCAGCTGTAACGAATAATAGTTTTGCTCTTAATCTCTTTTAGGTGGTTAGTGAAGTTACACCTCTCCCTCAATAGGACTCCCAAGAACTTCCACTGCCCTTATTTCCAAATCTCTCTCTCTCTCTATCTCACACACACACACACACAAATATTTAGATTTCAATAGTCCTGTTACCCATCACCTGTATACCATCACCTTTAATACCAGCTTATGCGTTTGTGATACCACTGCTTTCCAAAATAACAAAATCGTCCCACCAGGCTTAAATTTCCAACAACTATATCACTGTCACAGAAATTAGTTTAGTGTTATTCACTTCTAAGTCCCATACATCTTAAGTTTTATATTGCCCTTTTACTTTTCTAAACAGATAATTGACATCTTCATCATGCATTGCTTATGACTCAATTGCAAATGAAGTTAGTAAAATTTATTGCTAAGGACACGGCATTAGTGACTAAAAAGTCTTCATGTTTGAAAGATTTTGTTCTTTCATTACAAAAGACCTAACAAGGCTTGAGGGAATTAACTAGAATTAACTAGTACTACTATTGGTAAGGCTGTATCCAAACCCTCCAGTATACAGAATAAATTATGACTAAATTATATTTCTATTTACCAGATTTAATTTTATCAATTAAAAAATAAATATTAATTTGTAGCAGACCTGAATAAAAAGTATTTTAGTTATTATTTTAAAATAAAGTATTTAAAATGTCATGTATTTTGTGATTGAAAATACAGTCAGGGTGGCTACTAGACAGTTAAAGTAAAATTCCCTGACTTTTCCCTATTTAGTGATAGTTTTCCCTGATATGTCTAATATGTCCAGAGACACAAATATTAAAAATGTATTATTTCTAACTAAATTTATTTATTATACATGAAAGAAAATCAATTCAAAATGATTTGAGTAAAAAAAATCATTCTTTTAAATAACAAATATAATATTTTAGAGGAAGCATTTTTTAAGCTTGATTAGATTTTTTTGTTTTAGAAAACTACACTTTTAGTTATTTATTATTATTGCTTTTATTTTATTTTCATAAATTGAGAGAAGGTAAAAGTTGACACTTGACATATAATGCTCTGATTTTCTCTATTATAAAATAAAGTTACCTACAAGGGACTCTAATATTGATTTAATTTCTCATAAGTAATTTAGTTTCTTTATTACTACAAACAGCATAATAATTATCCCTATGAGACGAACAGTGACATTTCTGGATAATAAATTCATTAAAGAGTACCATGGGTTGAATTAGTGAGTGCTTGCCAGCCAGATCTTGACCCAGATATATATATTACAGATAGTAAATAGTATTGGTATATTTTTCTTTTCAAAAAAGCACTATTTTAATTCCATTTTGCTTAAATTGCATTCATTACTCTGGTTTGATTTCAATATAACGACCAGTGCCTTTATTGACAGTCAAAGGTGGATAAATATAGCGATCGAAGTCGTTTTTAACAACAAAGTTTACCCCTTCTTCAAGATCATTATAAATGATATCCACTGTATATTTATTTCCAATTTGAAAAAAATATTTGCATACTAAAAAATTCTCTGACTTTAACAATTTTTCCCTGTTTTGAAAATTTCCCGAATTTACTATTTTTCCAAGTAGTAACCTTCCTGTAAGGTGTAATACAATGTTTTTAAAATGTTTACAGAAAAAGTATCAACTGGCTGAAGTGTGGGATGATAAACAATTTTTATCACAAGGTTGTCCTCCAGGATTTGAAAATTTTTTCATCCATCTTGTAGAAATCTTAGGTTTTTAATTTAAACTAAGCGAGAATGGTATTTGTATATAAAGAGGTATTTGAATTATTTTCCTAATTTAGGTTTATCATTTGCAGGCTCAGTAAATTTATCAAAAATAAATATATTTCAATTTCTTTTCTCTCATTATATTAAGTGATTAGCATAAAACATAAATTACAATTTATAATAATACTTTTACTTCAAAACAAATATTTTTAATAATTTCTTATGTTAATTGTAATTTTCATTAGCAAAACTTTACTTGCAATTTTTAGTTGTATCACTTAAACATTTTTTTTTTAATATCTTGAGCATGTCTGATTTGTAGTAAGTCTTTTATATACAAATTATTTAAAAAACAATAAAGCATGCTTTAAATTAAAATAATTTTTACAAAGCTAACATTTTTATTTGTATTGTATGTCTATGTTGTCGTCTTTAAAAACTACAGAAACACCCTGTAATATGCTTAAGTGAAAGTAAAAAGAGTCATTGAATTAAACTAAAAAATATCCAATAGTATTCGTAGATGTATATATACATATCTATATCATTTGATCAAAATGGGTGAGTAAATGTAAAAATGGAAAAAAAATGAAATTAATATAAAAAATAATTAAGAAAGACATTTTATTAAAGATTTAATACAGACTATTTTATTAATTTAAAATCTGACAATATATATCAATGAAAATTAAAGGTAAAAAATTTGGTTACTGAAAAAATTAATTATTTAAGAATATAGATAGTAAATTTCTACACTATTATTGGTAAATAACTAAATCAGAGATAAGATCCCACATGATTGAAATAGTTGAACTGTAATGTTGTCTGGAATAATATTAAACCATACTTGAGGAAAGGGATAGCAGGAATTCGGTTAGACAGTAGAAAATAAATCAAGAAATTATTAAATATTCTACTTTCTTCTATATTTTCATTTATTAAACACTTAAATGAGAGTATATATTAAGCTACAATTAGTTACAACATCAAACAGATACAGACAATCGTGGGCATGCAGATTCCGAAAGACATACCTATAGACAATAATATACATCAATGTCCTTAAAAGTTTTAACCTTACAAAAACTAATAGGAACTTTGGTTTCATTTACTCATAATATACATTTATTTACAGAAAAATGTGTTCATAAAATATTTGACACCAGTTGTGCTGCATACCAAATTACTACATAATCAAATCATTCATCAATCAATCATTAGTTAAATTATACATAGTTTTTATGGGTTAAATAGGTAAAAACAGATTTGAAAAAAAAATCAAGTAAAAAAAAGATTGTGTGTCAACAAATCAAAAGGGATTTTTTTTTTTTACTAATCTAAGAACATTTCTTACTCACATTCATTCAAGTAATTTTATACATGGGATAGTTAAATGAGAGGAAACAGTAAGATATTATTTAAAATACCATGGTTTAGTAAAAACTTGAGGATTTAAAATAAAAATAGTATAATTAGTTAAAATTCAGTGTGGCGATATAGAAAAAAAAAAAGGGAGCTTAATTTTTTTCCTTTTACATTATTTTATACCAAATGAGTTTTAAAATAAGTTATTAAAGTACTTCTGGTTTTATAAAATAGATTAACTAGTTATAAGGTTATAATAAATTTTATCAAATACTCAAAATCTACTTTACTTACTGTTTAAAATATATAATACAAATCCACAGTATTTCTATTATGAACTGTCACTTTTATAAATAAATAGTTTTAGTTTTAAATAATACAGAACTAACAACAAATATGCTATAACGGTTATTGGTTACCGTATTTTGGTGTTAGTGAAGTAGTACATTAAATATTATGGCAATGTGACTCATTTACGTAAGTCAGTAGCATGTGCAAACTGTCCACTTTTAATTCAGAAATTAATGCTGTTTATATCAATAAAAATGATCCAAAAAAACCTCTTACAGGTTATGAATAGTTTTTTTTTTTTATCACAATATAATAATTTAGAATTTTCCTTTATCTCACTTTTAGATTTAATTTACTTAAATAAATGAGTCTCTTATCACAAGTACCTTGTGGTCATTATTATACATAAATACAAATTAAATCAAATAAATCCTATAATCAATATTTAACAATAATAATATACACAAAAATAAATAAATGTTCCTCATTTAAAGTGATGATCATAAATTACACTAGGCCTAACCAAAATACTGTTTTAGTCTTAGGTCCCGTATTATATACAATACATTTATATGCATATTGTACACTTGTTCATATATACATAAAGAACCTTTACATTTTGGACGAATAGGCTTGTATAGGTGCAATAATAGCAATATGATAATTTGATAATGAGATCATAAATAATGTATATTAATAAATATAATTATTTAGTGATTATATACTGGCAATTTAATTATATACTTTTTAATATATACATATATATTTTTGGAACAAGTTTTATATCACTATAAAAACACTTATTTAGTGAGAAATCTCTAAATAATTCATAACTTTCTATGTCATTTTGTGAAACATGACTTAATAAGTGAAATTCAACATTGCACAATATGCACTTGTTGAGGTTTATTTAAATTCAAATCATCAGGTAAAAAAAAAGTTTTATTGATTTAAAATTTTTAGATATGTTTTTAATATTGTTAATAAAATGAATTATAAATGTACTAAAATATAACTTATAGAAATATGAAATATATATACTATTACAATAAAAAAATTCAAAAGTTCAAAATTTCTTGTCACTTCTTTCTCTGCGTTATTCGAACACAATGTTGCTTATCATCCCCCAACAAATATACCTGATCATGAACAAGATGAAAAGATAGATGTCTTGAGGATTTTGGTGAAAATATGGAGGAAGTCTTTAAAGATATCGGTATTCTATCCTATAATGTTTTAATAAAGAATTATGAGGATGAAGATAATAAAGATAGATCATAGCATCGGTAGTGGGTATTCTAGTTTCTGATGTATGTATGTGTGTACAATGAAGCTTGACAAAATAATTAAGAGTAGAAATGAACAATTTTTAACTTTATTTTGATGTAAAAATACAACACCAACTGTGCAGTTAAAAAAAAAGAGATGGTCATTATAAAATATTTTTTGTATATATACTATTTCATTTGAAACAATAAACCTCAACAGCATTTACATGGTGCTGAAAACTATCTATGTAATTATTTACATAATACTTAATAAATTAGAGTGCTTGGACTCTCCATATGGCCACAGTCAACAAAATGTTATAGACTTCACACTCACTTAAGTCCTTCACTTTATCAGAATATCTCTTTTATTTTTCCTTGCAAAGAAATGTCAAACACAACATCATTGTCCTGGTTGCAAAGAATTTAGTCCAAACTATATATATACTTTTTACATTTTCTTTTAACACAGTTTAAAATTTTCACTTTTTACACCATAATTTCCTTATGGCCAGGCAGGTGGCAGCTAGGTGCAGCCTTTAGACATCATCCTCACAGTGTTCTTAAGAGCCTGTCGTTTGTTGCAGAACCAAATTCGGATCACTTCCCTTTCATATCCTAACTGGTGAGCAAGTGTTGTTATTTCTGTACCTGAAAATTTTAAGTTTAAATTAGTCAAATAATAAATATTTTTTCAGCCAAATTGTATACTTATCATTAATACTATAAAATGTTATACTTCATGTAAAAAATCATTAACGGTTACGATCCTTGAATGAAGAACAATTTATTTTCATTAAAGGAGAAAATTTTAAGTTAATTACTTAAAGTTACTTTAAGTTAATTATTGATTAATTACTTTAAGTTAATTACTGACTGATGAATGGAAAAAGTACAATATATATTATCACAATAAAGGTTCATTCATAGAAATAAAAAAACTATAGGGTACAAATGATTTTTTTTTCTTTAAAAATTTAGTTAAGTGTGGTTATGGATACTTAATGCATAAAGAGTGTTATGCTTATATTCATGGGATATACAATATAGGTGAGGAGCCTGTGATCTCCAAATGTTTTGAAGCTATATTTATTAATCTAGCCCTGGAATTAATTAATATTTAATCATTTAGACTACATAAATTTGAAAATAAATAGAATAAGTTGATTATATGTATATGGGAGTGTGTATTTAGTGATAAATAAAATTAGCAACAGTATGATATAAAAAATTGTTGTGGCCTCCAATAGTAGTGATTAATCTTACTGCAGCCTCTAATGAAAAAAAGGTTTCCTATACCGCATATACACTGTATATGGGATATACAGTGGAACCCTAATATAAATATTACACAAACTTAAACGTTTTTGATAATATATCAAAATGTTTTAACTTTAAACTGCATTTCTCAGAATGATGATATTGGCATTTGTAACCACCGGCTTCCCTCATGCTTAAAATTATGCACCTTACAATTTATTTACATTTTTTTTTATTGTACTTTAAAATGTTGAATAAATATCTAAAATGAATTTGGAAAATAAAATGTAACAAAATCCGTTTAGCGGTTCAAGAGATTTTCTTAGGATAGACATACAGTGTTCTTATCTAGTATTAATAAGGAAGTTTATTTTTATCATTTCTTTTTTGAAGAGTTTCAGCATAACAATTCGAAAATACTTTACATTTTTCTACTATCTTCATAAATGCAAAGAACAGGTGCATATAAAATTATAAGCAGCCGTTATTTTGAAATGAAATGGTTAATGATACCTAGTGCAAAATATAGATTCTATGGATTTCAAATGTAATATCTCAAATTTATAAGGGGATTACTTTTTTTTTATTGGTTGAATAATAAGGTTCATTATTGAAAATAATAAAATAAAATATTTGAAATCATTATACAATAATATTAAACTTTTTTATTTTTATGACACCATTTCTTATTCCCCTTAAGTAAGGCAGGTTGTAATGGATTAGTACAAAAATCAACCAGCTATAAAATTGTTACTATATTGTATAATACATTCATTAAATGTGTAATAATTTTTTTTGTAACATTTTTAAACTAACTTCCAATAAAAATCTTTTATGTCAGATTTATCTTATATATTTATTTTCTAACAAAATATACTTAAAAAAAGATGTTTCAATATTTTATACTTACCAGATGGATGGGTGTTTCTTTCAAAATGCGCATTAAGCAGCTCTAAAGCTTGAGGTGTGAATGAAGTTCTTCTTTTTCGTTTCTTTGATGGTTCCACCCCAATAAATTCAGTCAAGTGGTTTTGGCCACTCTTATACCTGCTCAAAATTTATTTTACAATTAACTTAATCAGAATTTTAACTAAAAATTATAAAACAATAGTAATTATAGTTAAATTATTCCATTCTATTTAGTTAAATTATTTAAAATTTTCCAATCAATTATAACTTTAAAAAAATTAAACTTTCATGATAAATTAAAACCATTAAAATTGCTGACCATAACTCTATGATAACTATTTTGTATTGTAAAAATATAAATAGACATAAATTAATTTGAATAATTATTAATTAAGTAATCTAAAATGAGTAAAAGGCAATTTAAGTAAATTACCTCTCTTCAGCTTCTTTCATCCACTGCTCCAAAACCGGTTTGATTTTTTGTGCACTTTTTGGAGTTATATCGAGTTTTTCAAACCTGTAAATAAATTAAATTTTCTATTAGCTGAGAAAAAACTCAAAATCTCAATACATTTCTTGAAGGAGGAAGTGTATTGAAAACATTATTATAATAATGGTGATGGGGAAAAAAAATTGTAATTTATGTTATTTTGAATGATATTTAAAATTATTTTATAGAGTGAGTATCTAAGATCAAGTCATTTATAAGAAATGAAAAAGTAAATAGATTTAAAATGGGTATGGAGGTCAGTTCTAAAAAGAGCTACATTGGATGTCATAATTGATTATGAAATTTAGTTCCCTTTAAAGCTAAAATCTATGTTTTTTTATTTAATTTTTGGGTTTTATTTTCTGTATTGAAATAACTTGAAAACAAAGTAAAACATGCTCCTAAATTCCTTTCAAAACTTTATTCCCTACTTCCAAAAAAGGCATTGAGGAACCTTAAAGAACTCACTCTTATACATATGTATTCTTAAAACACATCAAAATTATAACATAACAGACGTACATTCAATAACTATAATCATGCAATTTCACATGCTACTTTAAATATAAGGAAGAAAATAAGGGAACGGATTTTATAAGCCACAGCACCCTGGCACTCCACCAAATACATGAATATTTATGAAAATGTATATTTTTAGTAGATTATTAAATTTGGAAATCAGCGCCAGAGCCCTGTGTGGCATGATTGGAGTAGTTAGTTTGTATTTTAAATGGGAAAGGTGCGTTACAACACACTTACACACATCAAGTGTTAATGATTACTATACAAAACAACAATAAAATATAATACATAATGATAATACTATATAACATACATTGACTGTTGCTGGGAGGCGAGTTGGGCACAGTACATCTGAGTTGCCAGGGCACTGAGACACAAATACTTAAATTAGTATTATGTGATATGAGGAAAAAAAATAAATACACTTTAATGAATTAATATCTGCTTATTTCAAACAGTATAAGTTTAGTCAAAAAGCTGTTTAAAATTTATGACTTTGATAGATTAAGAAAATTTAAAAATATGAGGTCTCAGGTACATTATAAATTTATTTAAGTAGAACTAGAGAAGAAAAAAAAAATTATAAACAGTCTAAACTTTAAAAATTATAGGCCTAGGGCTAAAAAAAAACAAAACAAAATAGTAGACCATTAATAAAAAGTAAGTATATTATGAAAATGTTTTTGTTAAATGAAAAATAAAGAAGTTTGTATAATTTACAATTCCATTAAAAAAAAAAAAAAAAATGATAAGATAGTTTTAATAAGAAATGAAAAAAAAAGTATTAAAACAATTTTTATACCTGCAAATAGCAGATTGACTGTAAGCTGGCCCTTCGGTTATGCTTAGTGCTTGACCTACTTGTGTTTGTGTAAGACCCAAAGAAAGACGTCTCAGCTTAAAAGCTTTTGCAAATTCCTTTATCTCATCCAAATTGATTCCATCAACAGTATTGCCCCTGCTCTCTGATATCATAGGCTGATCTAAATAAAAGTATATTCTTCTTATACCTTTTAATGGTGTATAAACTATATACTATAGGACTATATAATTTGGTATAAGTAATTTGAATACACATCATTAGAGCTATTTACACTTACTTGATTCCTCCATCAGATCTAAAGGTGAAGGGCTATGCTGGTATGGAGGTATCTGAGGTTTGTTAGAACTAGTTGTAATTGTCAAATCACTATTGCTAGCGGCTAAGCGACTAATTGTGTTGAGTGGTGATGATGATGGGTTCGTTGTTGAACCATTGCTCATTCCGTTTATTGGTGGAGATTTTGAACAATTTGGAATTCCACTCTATAAAAAATATATCCAAACAACATTTAAAGTGTATTCACATACATTTTGATTAAAACTAAAAACATTAAATTTCTTACTTACAGAATACTGGTTTAGACCAAGTGGTGATTTCTGGGATTGTTGTTGACATAATTGCTGAGGAACTTGTTGCTGCTGCTGTTGTTGTTGTTGTTGCTGCTGTTGTTGCTGAGCTTGTTGTTGAGCTTGCTGCTGAGCTTGCTGTTGCTGTTGCTGTTGATGCTGCTGAGCTTGTTGATGCTGAAGTTGTTGCTGGGCTTGCTGTTGCTGGAAAGCATTAAGTAAATGCTGCTGATGTTGTTGTTGAGCATTGTGTCCATTCAACAGGTGTGGTAAAGTATTCGTCAAATTTGGTCCAATATTATGATTAACTCCAGCAACTGCAAATGATTAAAGCTAATTATGTATAGAATAGAATAGAAACCACATTGTTCATTTCCAAGATTTAGACTTATCAATACTTCATTATTATAGAAACAGAATTTACCATTGGTGTGGGCATATTGATGAGCTAAGTTAGCAAGAGTAGTTGTCATCACTTGGCCATTACTCATAGGCATATTAACCATTTGGTTGTTTGTAACAGCATTGATTGGGATGGTCAAGATAGTCTGGGTTGCTATTCCTATTAACATTAAGGTAATTTCTAAAAGTAATGTAATAATTACAACAACAATTATTTATAATAAATTTTTTGTACGATTATAATATTTAATGTGGACTTATAATGTTTAATAAATTTACATTATTATTTTTTTTTGACATGATTTAAATAATTTTATAATTTAGACACTTACTTCAAAATTTAATTAACTAATCATTACCTGCTACTATTTGATTAATTAATTACCTTGTGATGTTGGTATAAGAAGTTGAGCTCCCTGAATGCCTTGTATTATTTGTCCTGAAGCAAGGATTAGCTGGGGCATAGCAGTGGGTTGTGGTGGCGTTAGAACTTGCTGGGCAGTCGGCAGCAAATTGGTATTCAAATTATCTTAACAGATAAAAAAAAATAGTAAGACACTCCTCTAATTACTTTTATTATTATTATTTTTTCATTTTTTTATTATTAAGTTATTACTGATTAATTTTAATAATAATTGCTCTATACAACTCATTGCTTGCAGGGATTACCCATTTCTTTATTTATTTTAACTATGTAATTCTCATTTTTTTCTAAAATGTTCATCAATGTCAAAGATTTTAGAACCAAAACTTCCTGACATTCAAGAGATCATTTTTAAAAATAAACGAAAATGGTCTAAAAAATATTTACTAATGAGATAATACAAGCACAAAAACAAGAACATCTCCCAGACAAGTCAGGCAAGTATGAAAAAAAGGAAACTTTAATCACGCTTAATTTAATAATGACACACTTTATTGCCGGTTATATTCTTAATTACTTGAAAATGTCCGAAATTCCCTACAAAACGAAAAAAAAAAAAATTAAAATCGGATCGTTGATAGCAAAGATACGATCTATTTTAATTTGTACTTGCGTTGTGGTTTATGATTTTGAATGAACTATCGTAATCGATAGAGAAAAACAAACCCCCATCTCATACTACTTTGCAATTTTTGAGTGGCTTTTTTACAAGTGATTTCTAAAATCAATAAACATGGCGTCAAACAGCTTTGAATTTAGATAATCCTGATTGATTTTTTTGCGTCGGACAAAAATCGGTGATTATAGTTTCAAAAGAACTAGTTATCGCGATTTTTTAGTTTTTAGTCTTATAATTCAATTTTCCATTTGTACTTTGAAATAAGGTATATAATTAAGGTGTAATTGTTTATTATAATTAAGATATTGTTTCTTATAATCGGTGATCCATTGAGCTTTCGGTGTGCCAAGTAAGTAATAAGTTTGTTATTAAACAGAGAAACAATTTTCATGATTATACACATTCATTATCAAATCCTTGTTGTTCATTTTTTCCTACTTTGTTTTTAGTGACCAAAAGTTTAATTTTATATCTTTGAGATTCTTGAAATGATTGTATTTGAATTTGATCATCCTGAATGGCTGAATATCATGATAAATTTGATTTCCAATTATAATCATTCCGTTTTCAAACCTTATAATTATTAAAGAGAAATTAATGTATAATTTAAAAATAATAAATAAATTTAAGAGGGAAATGCTGAGTGTATTAAATAATGTATAGTCTTAGGAATGTTCTTTTTTTGTTTTAACAGCATAGTTGAGTAAATGATGGGAGCTACTAATTAAATTTTTTTAATGTATTGAAAGGAGCCTAATTTTTTTTTAAAAATATCTATAGTAAATAAATTAAGGCAATCACATGAAGTGGTTATGATTGTATAATACATCAAACATATCTGAGCAACCTAAAATTTACTTGAGGAACACACTGAATGGTTGTTTATTATGCATAGCTGTCACACGCCTCGAATCAATCTATAACCTTTTATAACGAGAAAACGAAGCAATGAATATGTATATCATAAATAAATTCTGATGTACCATATTAAAGGAAGGGTTTGTAATCTTCGTATAGGGGATAATTATATCAGACCTGACCTCGTTTTCCATCTAGGAGGCACTTTGCATGGGGATTACAGAATTTCGTTCCCTTATACCTTTCACGTAACCAATGTACCACCTATGTTATCTAATGTTTTATATTTATAAAATTATTAAACTAACGATAGTTGAGTTTCATTTAATGATGATTTATTTTATTTGTAGCTATGTATGTTTCAAAACCTATTTGTTTTGTCACGCAGCAATACTGTCTAAGTTTCGCTAAGTATATCTAACTTAAGGTAGGGAGGTCAGTCGAAACAAAAATTTAAGATTTACTTAAGTCTATTCTTTGGGATGACAAGGTCCAAGAAACACGTGTAAATTGGTTTCCAAGTTCCAAGGAATCAAACAAAGTGATATTAGTGGTAACTTCGTCGTTTTTGTAACTCGCCTATTTCCCCACATACTGCTGAAGGATTGATTGGCTTTTACTTGTATCCGTAGTAATAAAAAAACCCTCACCACGCTAATAGTTTATTCTTTCCGGTTTGTCCGTTGGAAACTTCTGATTTCAAATGGATCACGATGGTTACGAGTTATAGAATCTTCTGAGGCAAAAAAAGCAATTTTTTATAAATGTGTTTCTGTATCATTTACTGCCGGATTTTTAACATTATGCACTATCCATTGGTGGTTCGCGAGGGTGTTCCGGTATGCGAAGAAGAAAAAAATGATTAATAAAGAAGTGAAATTTAACTTCAATAATACTAGGCATTAATCTCAAAACTCAATTCCAAGCCTCTGCCACAGCAGACCGAATTTCATCAAATTTTCTATTGTCTAATTAAAGAGTATTAACAATTTAGCCGACCGTGGAACACATATTACATCCTTTTTTCTTTTTGCTATATCCTCTCTGTATTCCTTTCGTATCAACCAATCGTTCCTCTTTTTTTTTTCAAATTGAATATCGATTCCCTTCATTACTAACGTCAATTACACTACTCAATTTGGGGCAGGGAAGGTCGCTCTTTTTAGGAGATGGAAAATTAAAAAAAAAAAATACAATTAAATTACCACCCATTTTCCAACACTAATTCAACAAAGGATTTCAATTCCAATTAAGTAATTGCCGGAGATATATGCCGTGATGAAAAGGTAAATTGAAACTGACATAATAGTAATCACTTTTTCTAAATCAATTAAAAGGAAAGTTAAGAGAAAAAAAAAAAGAAACCACTTTCTCAAATATGGTCCATTCCATGTTAGCATTGCTATTGGCTCCTGTCAAAAAAGTTAAATAAACTTCATTGTCAATTTATTTTTATGTACATAAATCTTCATGATTTTAACTTGCCGATGACAAATGATTAGCAAATATAACAAAAAGGAGCAATGTCCAAAACATTGTAATTCCAATGAACTATCAAAAAAAAAAATCAGGTTATGGTAAATTTAATTGATAAAAGAAACAATTTCCCTCAATTATTAGCTATTAATACTAATAAATAATGGGAGGTTATCAGCCACTTAATAAAGATGTGTGCATCTTGGTATATATTTGTTATAAATAAATGGTGTTCCATAAGTTAAAGATTGAGTTTAGTTAAGATGAGAGGGTCTGGAGTTACATATTACTCTTCAAAGCAGCAGCAGATAGATATTTTACTGTCTGATTCAAAGTTTCTTTGTTGAGGAAAAATGTACTTTGAAAAAGAGTAAATGTAGTCTTGATATATTGGCGTTTTCTATTTCACGAAATACAACATTCTCTGTGGAGATTTAAATCGTATTAAGTTAAACATGGAGTGGAACTATGTTTTTCGCTAAAATAAATTTATTTTATGATCGTGTTGTTATAAGAATTGATAGATTTGATCGAGTAACGGACAATGAGAATCATTACCATCATAAAGCGGAACGGGAGGATAATGAAGAATTGGCAATGTCATTGTTATGCTATAATAAGTTTGTAAATAAATTCTGCATATAAAAAAATCGACTCTGAATGCTCCAAAATTTCAAAAACACTTAGGTACATAACATTGCTTCTCAATCGTTTAAAAAAGGTGCAATCCAATAGAAAACAAATTTGCCTATAATTATTTTTTTTTACTGTTCAGAAACAAAATAGAACTTCCCGTCAGAAAGTGAATGGGCTCATCATCATCTTAGGGATGAAAATGAGATTTAGAATTAACTTGCTTGATGATTATCTGCAAGAAATCGTGTGCTGAGTCAGTTTTTTAAGTCCCTAATTTTTCTTAGAATTTTTCCTGCAATACATATGAGTAGGCTTTCTAGGATTTGGTAGTTTTATGGGCCCTAGCTGTAAATATGTCTTGAATTTTTCAATAAAAAAAAATATTGAATATTACTTTTTACCACGCTGTATCAAATATTTTGACATCAGGGCTATTATAATAAGTTGTAACTTTTTATCTATTTAAAAAAAAAAAAAAAGAAAACATATTGAGAAGCAGTATGTGGTTCAAACGGGCGCCTTTTGAATATAAGTATAAATATTTTACCTATTTTATACTAAATGGTGTCCAATTGAAATATTTAAATGAGCTGAAATCTTGAATAATTCATTCCTCATTCGATGAGAAGATCTTAATAGCATCTCGAAGCTAATACTCATTTCCTATTTAGAAATTTAATTAAGATTCCATTGTATTTTTTTGGTCGTTCATCGCGAAATCATAATCATTATCATCGATAGCTGAGAACTATATTCTGAAAGATGGGAGTAAAGAGTTCAAGGAATGACGATTCTAAACTACTTAACCTTCTGATAATCAACAATTTTCAAATATTAACCAATATTCAGTTCAACATCCTTTTAAAAAAGCTGGATGTTTTCAAGTTTAACGAACATCCAAGGAATTATCTCTCATGTGAGTGAGAAATACAAATTAAATAAATAACTGGAGTATTATTCAGACGTATCGACAGGCCTAATGAGGCCGTGGAATAAATTATGGATACAGTAAGGGAGGGGTTCAACAAGGCGCTTATTTTCTTCATTATTTATTGTTTGTATTCATGATTAGCTTCTCCTCTTTAGTCTAACTAATTAATGATGATCTGAGAAAAATTGTACAAGTATTGATTACGTTTATATTAAAGAAAAACGTTCTAAACATTTCTTGTTTTTACATAGCAATATTTTTTTATATTGATTTATTAATGAAGAATTTTGTTTTGTTTTCTACGTTATATTGATATTGTGATCTCAGATAAAAAGGGGAATATTTTAGGAGGCCATCACATGAGATGTGTATACTTCATTATTATGGAGTAATGATTGTTATCTCTTATCATCATTGTCATCTCCGCTTTAAGCGGACCCTACACGGTCATTCGGAATTGCATTCCGAGGCACTAATGACGTTCCGAATTATCGTGTAAGGTAGTGAATGAAGTACTGATGGTGGTGCGTTGCGGATTTCCGAATATCCCGGAAATCAAATGTTCATTCACGAAAAGTGAAGGGCGGACTGAGATAAAAGTAGTGGGGAGACTAACCATACTGCTGGATAGGTTAGGTTACCTAGGCCTCACAACCATTATAAATTTCTGATTTTCATTATAAGTAAATAGTTAAATAATTTTTCATATCCCTTGTTTATATTTTTAAACCATCTTCAACTATTTCTTTTAAATAGTCAAATGGGCAACAAATTAAAAAAAAAAGTGGAAACTTCACAATTTACTTTAAGAAAAAAAAAATTTAACGATGTGTATATTTATCAGTTCTTTTTCTATTTATCTCAACAAATTTATTATTTTCGCAATACCTTTCCTTAATTTTTGTAAGTAGTAGACTTATATTTTACTAACTTTTGTCAAAACCATTTTCTATGAGAATAACCTTACTACTAGATAAGTTAGTTTACCTAGGTCTCGTTTTTAAGTAAATAATTTCATAAAAGTAAATAGTTGTTTATATCCCTAGTCTATATTTTTATTAACTATTTTCAACTATTTTTTCTTTAAATAGTCAAGCAGGCAAAAAATAAAAAAATAAAATAAGTGGAAACTTCACAATTTCCTTATAGAAAAAAAATCTTTAACTGTTGTGTTTATTTGTCATTAATTTTTCCATTTTTCTTAACAAATTGATTATTTTCGCAATACTTTTCCTAGATTTTTGTATGTAGTTGAATTATATTTTTCTAACTTTGGTCTGAACGATTTTCAGCCACTAGGAAGTAATTATTATATCTCCATTTTTCTCTTGATGCCCAATATTATATATGACAATGTCCAAATAAGCATATCTATGCTGTTTCTTTGTTTATAACTGAGCTAAATTGGTGTCAGCAACGATAAGTAATGATCAGTAATGATTGATCAGGGGTCTTCATGATCAAAACGATCCCGAGCAATCTTAGCCATTCTTGTGACTTTCATTCATGAATTACCGTGTAGGGTCCGCTTAAAATAGAGTTACATAAAATATTAGATAAGAGAAAATTACATAAGTAAAATAAAATAAAAGGGAAAAATACAGTTAAAGAATATACATATATTTTAAAATTAAAGCAAGCATAAGATATTGAATGAAATATTAAATAAGTAATAAAGAAAATATTACTTTTGTACTCACTGGTGGCGTTTAGGCTGAGGTTGAGTGGGGTGTTGATGAGCTGGTTGTTGATGATGCCTGGGGGAGCGATGGGGGGCCCACTCGGCCCCGCAGAACCTAGCCCCCCGAGGGCCTGCCCCAAACCGGGCACCGAACTCAGGTTGAGGAGTCCTGCCGAAACATATTGTTACAAATAAAAGTAATTCTTATCTTAAATCGAAAAGTAAAAACGAATGTATCAGGATGCATTAATAAATAACCTAAACGTTGAAATTCATTTTCTACAAGTACCATTACCCGCAGAGATAGAGAGGAAGTGACGCTAAAACCAACGCAACAAAATTGCCAAAGAGAAGAAAATTAATAATGCCCAAAGACCAAGTCATAAATCAGAGATATACTTATAATAAATGACGGTGAGGGTTTTAAAGCGGTACATTAATAGAAGGGTGTGTTGGCAGCAGTGACGACTGTCAGAGGACCTCAAGGGTAATTGGTACAGGGCTGCCAACCCTAACTTTGTTTAATGGAACAGGACCATAAGGGTTGGCAGAGCTGGTTTTTCCCTCCCTAAGGGACGGCATAACTCACGTGTTAGCCTTTGCAAAACCCCCAGTATCGTGTTTCCTCACCACCGGCTTCAACAACTGACGCTAACCTTTATCCAATTTAGACCGGTGTATGTTAGGAGCCTTTTTTTTTCTTCTTTATTTCTTTCTTTTAACCCTATGAAAAAAACAAAAAAACATATCTGTTTAATTATACCTTTTAGGAAGGTATGGATTTCTAAGGTTGTGGTTATTATCCATTTCACAATTTCAAAGTATCCCAGAAAACCTTAAAGTATTTAAGACTTTAAGCTACCCGACGGTTTAGTCTTGTTTGGTGAAAGTTCAAATGTAAGGTCGAAAAAAGAACTTATTAATTCATAGAATTTAATTTAACACAAAATCGACAAATATATGTTTTTTTGGAATTATATAGAAACCCTGGTGTCACAGCTTTCTGAGCTATCGAAGGGTTTTCATGGTACTCCTACGGATATATTAGGAATATAGATCGTATGGAAACGTCACTCACTTCTCGAACATGGCTATGCACGAGGGTAATACCACAATTCCGTAAATACAGGCTGTTTAAATTAAAGTAATGTATAATCTATGCTTACACTAAAATTATAAAAGGTGATGAAAGTAAACATACCGTTCATTTGCTTGGATTGGTCATTACAGGATTGCGGCGGGCTCTGCCCCCTTTGCTCTGGGGCTCCCCCCATTCCTCCTTCTCCACAAGAATCGAGCGAACTGCAATCTTCTTCACTTTCCTGTTAAAAAGAAACAAAAAATAATTAGTAATTATAATCAAGGACTGTCATCTGTATGTAACACTTCTTAAAACTCATTAACACCCAAATACCATACTTTAATAGATAGTTATAGAAACAAAATTGTAAGAATGAAAAAAGCTGAAAATTATTCCACAATGTTTTATGATTTCCAAACAATTTAACATCAAAATTAAGATCACTTTCCATGTAACATTAAGGAAAATACATAAAAAGAGATTCCTAACATTGACCTTTATAATTTTATTTTTTATCATTGGTAATTTCCTTAAAAAAATAGACAACATTGCTACAGTTGATGCAAACTTTTCAAAAACACAAAACACCAAAACAAAAGACATAAGCACTGCAGTAGAACATATAAGACATATTTAGAATAGTATACCATTGCTCCAAATTGTTCGATTTTAACGGTTTTTTTTTTTTGTTTTCTTAGTAAAATTCGGAAACTTTTAAAGAACCGTACAATATTGATAAAAAATCTTATATATTTTGCGTTATTCGGAAATGTAATTTTATCACGCCTCGTAATTTTTTTTGCAACTTCTTTTCGTTTAAGTACGTAATATAGATACATTTAAAGGTCATCGAGGGGAAGAATTTAGCCAAGTTTCTTTGAAATCGGTACATTCGTTTAGGAGCTACGGTCTATATCAACACAGGTTTTTCGGCCGCCATCTAGGATAGTAACGTCGAGGTAGGAGGATCATCCTCGGGTGACCTTTCACTTGGATTTCAAATTTGAAAAAAAATCGGTTCAGTAGTCTCGGAGAAGAGCCGCGGGCGGCGGATGGATAAAAACATTTTTATTCGATTTTCGATTATCGTGAAGCGTAAAACCTCAAATATTGAGGAGGGGGAGGAGGGTCAGGATTTAAATTTTTGATTTTTTTGGACGATTACAATGGTTCATTATTGAAAATAATAAACCAAAATAGCTCAGTTAATCTTGGGTTAGTATTCTGGGCAAATAATAAAAATATCTTACTGGAAGTACTGAAAATCCATATAATTGACCAGTCGACTTTTCACCCAGCTCTAAAAAAGTGAATAGTGTCCCATGGCGACCATTGCAGCAAAAAGGTTTATCTCGAAAACAGTACATTTCAGAACTTTAAAAACCCAGGATTTGATGTCTCCCTCAAAATCTTAAAAATAAAATTTATCTCGTCTTTGATTTGTAGACAAAATTGATCCGTTGACTTTTGAAAGCCACCTAATTTTTCAAGAACTTTTATTGAAGTCGTTGAGGAATTTAATTTTTTTAAATTTCTTAATGATATTTGCAAATGTATTAAAGAAATACATTTAGTAAATTTGAACATATGGATATAATGACGTGAAAATACTTGTTGAGAAACTACCCAATGATAGCACTCTAAATAATATGTCTACTTTAGGAGATCACAGGACCATCTTCTTTTCAGAGGCCTCGGAGGGTTATCAGGAATTGAAGAGGAAGCAAGGTTAGAACCGATAGGATTGGGATGATTCTGAAGTTTATCATGGAAGGATAGGTATTTGGATTGGGCCAGATCTGAAACATAAGAAACATTAAGGTCATTATGGATGGTTTTATTTATAACAAAGTAGGGAGCATTGAGGATTTTGGATTGTAAGGATTGGATACGAGAGGAATTCGATGGTTTAATGGAGCCTCATAGCTCAACTCCGTAAGTCCAAATAGGCCCTATTATAGTCATGTATATGAGTCTTTTGTAATTAATTGGAAGTTTAGAGCGTTTGTCTAGTAAGTGCTGAAGAATCGGAAACGTCGAGCGGTTTCTTGTCGTTTCAGTCTGGTATGAGGAAATGTAAGGATCGGAATTGAAATTCGTCACTTCTCCGTGAAATTCCCTTTCGTTTTGGTACCTTATCTATAAAAATCCATCAGGCGGATCTACCGAAGGAGATGGAGGAAGGGGGAAGGAGGGTAGTAGGGCTTGCGGATTGAAGCCCCGCAGCAAAATGGTAAAATATAACCATGTTTTATGAAAAAAAAAATCTATTATTATTATTCACGTAATTATATTTAATAGGACTTATATAGGAATAATTTAAACAACATTTCATATAGGTAGTTAGTTTCTTTCTTTTTATTTTCAATGTAATTATCGTTTTATATATATATATATATATATATATATATATGAAAAAAAAGCTTTTGGGATGTAGTTCTTCATACAAAATTAAATCCTGGATCCGCTCGTGTACTACTTTGTTATGAATAATGTAGATTAGATAAATGCGAGTACAGAAAAAAAATAGAATATGAATTTTTTTTTTTCAAGGCAATGGATTTAATTCTTCCGTAGCCATTGCTAGAAGTTTGTTATCGAAGACTCGCGACAGGGCTCCTATGTTGCCGGTGAACTGTTGGCTGAGTCGGAGATGAAGTATATAGGAGAGGTAATATCCTCGCCCTATTAATAACTAGCTAATTACTAATTACGACCGAGGGAGGAAAACCTTAATTACAAGCTCCCTATATATGTAATCTGGATCGGGGAATCGGGGTTCGGCAGAATCTACTTACCCGAGGAACACGTGAGGCTTTAGGGCCGCGTCCTAACCCAGTTTAGTCGAGTAATTACTGGGGTGTCGGAGGGAGCTTGGGGAGGTTGTACAGCTAATGGCACAAAATCAAATGGGACTAAGGCGTAAGGAGCTGATTGCAGGCATCTTCTTCTAACTTTATTCTTAACAAAATTTTTAAACATATACTAGGATACTTTAACTCATCTATTGTAATAACCATGATGAGACAATACGTAGTACATATCAGCTAAGAGATCATATACATCGCAATACATCCTAAGTGTAATTCATTTTGTTTTGGCGAGACAAAAAATTAACTTTAAATCTTATAACTCAACATAAATACAGCCTTTCTACCCAGGACCCCTTTCCTTCAAAGTTATAACAACATGCCATATCCTTTAATCATTCCTTTGACTTCGACAACCCTTCCGTCCTTGGTACCATATTTAACCATGAAAACGTCACCTCTTTGAATCAATTTTTATCCAACAAGAAAAAATCTTGTTAACCATTTTTTTATTTTTTTATTATTCATTGATATTTACAACTGTATTATAAAAAAAAAAATACAACTAGTAAATGTGCACACAGTAATAATACAATCACATGAAAAGGCTTGTTGAGAAACTACCCATTGGTAGCACTCTAATTAACCATTAAATAGATAAAGAGACAATTACATCAACTTACTCCATTATTTCCCGTCTTCCAAAGTCATAATATTTAGTTTTAAGCCTATTGTATGTTTTCATTTTAGATCTATCGATTAATTAATTGAATCATCTAGGGAGGAATTAAAGTAAATTATATTAAACAAATATCTTTGATTATTATCTATTTGAGATGTATTCATTACATTGATGGTTAAAATCATTGACGAGGTCATTAAGTTTTATTTTCAGTTGCAATCATATGATCATTGATTCCGATTTTGCCCATCTCTGGTTAGTTAGTTTAGTTGTGATGTACTTTTTTTTGTTTTCGTATATGCTTATCTTCAAAAATACTCTTAAAATTTTATTTCTTTTAATATTTACATTTAGTTTCGATTTTTTTTTTTAATTTTCGGTTAAATAGTTCTTAAATGACCGTTACCCCACATCTACTTTCCACACATTCTACCCAAAACCGTACGATTTTATATTACTGTTATCTCACGTGTAAGTTCCACCTTTTTTTTTTAATGGTTTTATTGAGTATTAATGCACTCTGCCACAATGAAGGGCATTGGTACTCGGGAAAACTTAATAAATATGATTATTTACTGTATATATTGACGGTTTTACATCCTTTTGTTAAAACAAAAGGATTAAATAAAAGAATAATTTAAATGATTAAATTAAAAAAACAAAACAAATAAGCGTAACTGAAAAGTCTTTTGAGTCGCTTATTTCTAATGTGAAACCTAATCGATTTTTATAGAATCTGATATAAGTATCGTTTCGCAAGTAAAAACACCTAATGAATCCGATGGTGAAATTATATTTTTCAAAAACGAACTTAATTATTAAAAAAAAGTGTGAAAATATGTTTATTTTTTTTTCCAAGGAATGTAATGAAACCTAAAAAAAAAACATCAAAAGCTTTTTCCATTTAGGCTGAGGGATTACATACAAATTAGTTTTATAAATATCGTAAATAGTCAATAAATAATCCATCTCTTACCGTGAATAGTTCTGACAGCGTTGAAACAACAAAATATTATTGTTTGTTTATTTTTATTTTTTATTAGGAACTTCTTATATAAGAATTAACTCTTAGATTTCTAACGCTTTTTGCCCGACTGTTGATCATACTTCGATGATTTTCTTTTTTTGGGGGGTGGAGATGATGTTTAGTGGCAATTCAAATTTAAACTAAAGCCTGCTGGATGAGAGAAAATATATTTATTTACTGAAGAATCTACGTTGCTCACCTCACAGATAGCTAATGGGGGATATTTATGCGGCAATAACAAAACAGCATATACCAGTTGCTATGCAAATGAATTACTATAAATTGAATCTTTACATGAGTTATTTCTAAATTGCAAGACCTATACTTTTTTTTTTAATTCGTAATTTAACCCTCTCGTGTCATGAATTATTGTTTGTCTTAAATGATTAACGGCTGATTTGAGAATTTATTTGCATATTGCAAATGAACTGGGCAATACAATGTGTTCTGTACTCGTCCATCTTTAAATTTACATAAAATGCTTATTTAAAGAAATTTATTATTAGGAATAAAAATCAAAATAATAAGAAACATTTAGAGATAATATTTGAAAACACTTAATTGATTTTTGTTTGTTATGAGTTTTTACTAACTATGTTTCTGATTTGTTTTTGCTGATAACGTTTTTTGTTATCGAATTATTAACTTCCTGATTTTGAAAAAAACATTTATCTCATAAAATATTTCCGGTAAAGAAAAACTGTAAAATAATTCAACAATGG